CTTCAAAGTGCCATCGTATCACAGCAAATTCGGCTCATATGTCGAATGGCGGTGTGAACATCCGGACCTTTCCATCCATCTTCCAACTACCCCTCTAAAGATTACCCTTCACATGCTCTCAAACAGGCGCTTATACACCGTCTCGAGTGTCTCAACCAGATGCCCCAACACCATACCGACGATGAAGGGGTGAGTATATCTAGACCACTGAGCGTCTACGAAGGATTCTGTATGCCTAGGACTAGTGGAAATAAACAAGACTCTGCACGGGCGTTAACGCCGAGCCTGTTCAATCAGATTCGAGGCTGGCCACGGCCCGGAGCGCCACAATCGCCATTGGAGGATTGGGAATGCCGATAGGAGCGCCCTTATAGTAGGTGTGAAGTAAGGGAAGAAAGCGTGTTTCTTGAAGCGTGCCATCTCTACCATTGTCCAAGGAGAGCCAACAGCCCATTAACGAGGCTCCCCATACGTGGCATGCCGAGTGACGCTCCATAAGTGACCCGGTTTATATGCTTTTCCATCATTCTGACATGCAGCGTTGAATTCTCAATGGCTAGTTTGCCAAAGTGTCAACACCGAGAACAAGAGACACGAAATGATAATCAGATGAAGAGGTGTGTGCAGAGTAAACAAACATCACGGATGCTCAGAATAATCCATGGTCAGTCCCGTTGGTACACAGTTCGCCTATGTCGTCAGGTTGATAAATCCTTCCTCCTGCAAGGGTCGAACACGGTGTAACTAACACGACTCATCTATGCCTAGCTAGCCGTCGCTAGCAAGGAGATTCAAGGCTGTGGCAAAAAGCTGAAAGTGGTGGGCTAGATCCATATTTCCCCAGAAGCTGCCTGGCTTGTCTGTCGGTTGCGGCTTTAGTGATGAATTCGAATAACTAGAACATAAACGCTGGAAGCAGCTGAGGAAGGCATAGCTGAGCGTCTCTGCTCTTTCTTTTGCGCGTACGGACACGCCGACATACGGCATCTCGTATTCCTGAGAGTTGATTGTCGTGAATGGGCCTTAGCATCAAGGACCCGGACCAACACCCTACAAGCATATGTATGTACGTAATTTTCAGTCAAGGAGCGTGCCCGACGGACAAAAGGACAAGGGGGGAAAGCGTGAAGCTAAATGATGCAGATACTGTAAGTTGATAGAAGAAGGCGTTCTCTCTCATACCCGCGGGGTGCGTCGCACAACCTTGGGCACACCATCATTGCCCAGTCCAGGATCAATAGCTCTGCTATGATGTCGTGGCCCAACTAGAGAATAGAACGTAGCGGGAAGGAATGAGAGACGATGAGAAGGGCGCCTTGTGGAACGAATGGCATCGATGCCCACTCCTCTGAGATGGAGAAGGATTGGTGGCTTGCATCTTCATTTTACCACTACCGACCAAAGTATACGCACGACTAGAGCCAAGTCGAACAACGCAGCGATGCCCAAGTGGAAGCACAAAGGCCGAGCGGATTTCAGCAAATTCATGCACGAGAGTTGAGAAGAGCCTCAAAATCACTGGGGCACTGCTTGTTATAGGCCTTTGTAGACCCACTCGAAATCAGCTTTTCTACATATGGCATGAAGATGATGACTTGGCGGAGCCGTTTATAATGCATGTTGGTTGGACATGCTGTCGACCAACAACGTTTTTCAGGCCAGAGTCCGGAAAGGATGCATCACATTGGTGTTAGTATATGCCTGACTCACGTAGAGACTAGATATTTCGGTCATTTACCGGGCAGCTCAATCGTGAGGAGTAGCGCATGCTAGTACATGCAGTATCGATGCGATGTGTACTCCATACCACTCGTACATCCCGCGAGGTATATTCGCAGCGTTCAAAGCCTCCAGGTCGCCGACCTTTGATGCGCTTGCCTTGGTTAGCGGAAAATGCTGCTGAAGCGCCGGAAAGATCCTGAGGCTTGCGTTTCCATCTTCCTTCATGCAAGCGTAGAGCGGCGGCGCTTAGGCTGGGGTGTAGTGGTGGCAGCTCCAAGATCCAGAAGCATACAAGTAAGCGTCTGCTAAACCATTGGCCGGGATGCCAATTAGCCCGGCTTCAATCCAGAGGGCATGTCCATTTGAATCCAGCGCCCGTCGGCTGCAGAAGCGACTGTGGCCGCAGTAAATGGCCGCATTAGACAATGCAATATGAGGTCTAGAGGTCTAGATTGAACGGCAGCGGCGCCTTGCTGGCGCCGTAAAGAAGCGCGCTCATGTATATGCAGCCTGTCGGAAGAAGAATAAAGCTTGGGCCCTTTTGCAAGAGGCGAATGAAACAGAAAGAGGCGGGAAGAATAACCGGTGGCCCTGGTCTGGCCTGCTTCGGACGGTCATGCAGCCAGCGCTTGTTGCTACGGTTCCATCGCGAGTGCATATTTGACCACGAGTGACTAAGCGCCGGCTATTGCCAAAGCTCGATCTGAGGGTTGGGTAAGGGAATGGCGCCGGGACGCACGAAACTGAAGTCGTCTGGAGACGGGGAAGCATTCTTCGAATCCAAGGCGTGAGGTGGTGATTCTCCATAGACCAGCCGATGCGCGCGCATCGATGCATCGAGAAGAGGCTGCCAGATCGTGGGGGTTTGCCTGTAAGATGATTGGGACTGGAGAGACGGCGAGAAGCGCTGCGAGACGCTGGGTCGCCCTTTATCTTTGTTTCTCAAAAAGTGAGCGGTGCAGTCGGATTATCTGTTTGTTATGGTTGTATCAGGACAGGAGGCTGGGAGAAGGTTAATTGGAAGTAACTCAGCGTCTGTTAGTTGAGCTGATCGTTGAGATGCCGCCGGGGCTGCTCCCAGTCGCAATGTGTCGTTGCCCAACAGCACCTGGTACAACATGCTTGACCCCCCCGGATCGTAATCCTCGCTCGAGATCCCCCAGCTGATTGACGATGGGATCCAGTGACTGGGCTGTCCACGCCACCCCCAGAAAATTGTAAAGACGAAACCGGTAGCGATACGCACAGACAAAGGCATCATAACCTCTGTGCTTTTGGCAGCTTCTTATTCTGGGTCTAATTTCAGCAGGCCTACCAGTCCAAGTGCTCTCTCGCCGCATCTGCCCGCTCTGCATGCCTGTATTCCTTTGTCCGCTGAGCCCAGCGCCGAGCAGCGCTCACCACCACACTCCGCCGTGTTGCGGTAGCTTCTGCTGCCTCGACTCCGCTCCTAATGTTCGTTTCTGAGCTGGCATCAGGCTCTGGGAAAGGCGACGGAAATCGCGTCATTCCCCGGTTTTCTTTTTGGCCCCTCCCATCCTTGGGCTCAGCAGCCACGCGAACGGTACCACCAGCCGAGCGCAAAAGTTGAGCGAGAACTGCATCATCCATCGTGACCTGATTGCTGGGAGCTCGACGACGAGGCTAGTGACCTGAATCACCGACCGGGCCAAAGCTTAACAGGTCCCGACCCAACCAAATCCTCCATCACCTCCAGGCCCAGCATCGCCAGCCCACTGCCAGCGACTTGTCCCCGAGCTAGGGACGTCCGGCCTTCCCAAGCCTCTGGGACCAAGCCAGCAGTTCGCGCGATGCCGTCGCCGGGAGAAGTGTCATTTCGCTCGCTCTCGAGTCTGCCCTGGGTCCCGAACCGCTGGCCCCTGGCCAATCAGCTGGACACAGCGGCGGCTCGCGCCCATTTGCTTCGTACTCGGCCGTCGAATCACAGTCGTTGCCGACGACCAAAGCGGCCTAGCAGAGGCGCCCGGAGATCTTCCCCTTGAACCACAAGACCTAGGGCAGGTTAGCCAGTTCAGTTGGCCGTGTCTGTACGGCGCACCCCTCAGCCGAGGACAGCACCAGCTGGCATCGTCTTCTCTGCTTTTTGCTCTCTTTTCTTGTCGAAAGAGAGGACTCTTTTTGTCCTCCCCTCAGCGTGGCAGCTGAGCAAAAGTCAAGTTACTCGGTTGAGAGGCATGCCTCGGAAATTTGTCGAGGCCACTGCAGCTTTGATTGCGCATGCTGACGGTCTATTGTTAGCAACGCTCTTTCCGTTACTGTAGATTCTGTCTTGTTAGTGCTTGGATAAGCCCTGTGGCCGCCGCTGTACTGTAGCGGTCGAATGCCCTGTAGCCTGGCAATGGGTACCAGCCCAGTACCTTTCGGGATGGCCTAAGACCTGCTGTCACCGGCCACCGACTATGCGCCGCCAAGGTCGCATCGAGGTACCCGTGCGCACGCCCCTCGGCCTCGCGCTGCTTTAACGCCCAGCGCCCCTCTGGTTCCCCCCCTTCCCTCAGTGCTGCCTGCGCTTTGAGCCTCTCATCACCATCAGTCAGTCCATCACCAACGAGCAGGTGCTGCGCAGGCAGAGCCGGTCACTCTTTCCCAGGGAGATCCATGCTCCTCCCTCCTTTGACTTTTGCCCAGGACTTTGCTCCAGGGCTTTCCATCAGGACTCTTTTCCTCTCCTCTCCTCTCCTTTTCGTATTCTTCTCCTGCGACTTCGACTTTCCATCATCCTGGGCCTATTATTCGTCCTTTGCCATCTGTTCTGTTTATTCGTTTTGTTTCGGCGCCAAAGGGCCATTCGCAGCACGGCGCATAATTCATCAAATCCAGTCTGGGTCGCAGCCAATTTGCTGCTTGCGCGCTCCGTCTTCCACTCCATCCCCTGCTCCCACCCCCCTTGGGAAATCCTTTCTGCGTCGTCCAATCCGCTTGGCCATCGGTAACCTGCAATAGGCGTCCAGCGGCAGGGATCTTCCAACGCCTCCCACCCAGGCCACCGGCGCATATCCAAAACACAGCCCCTGTCCGAGCCTTACACTGCCTGCTGTGCGTTGACTGGCTCTTCTCAAACAGCCAAACCCAGTCTCGCCTTTGCCGCCAAACCCCTCGTCGGCCGGGGTGTTGCTGTCTCTGACGCTTTCAACCAAGGAACACGCCTCCCTAGAAACACGCCCCGTCCACTGCTTCTGCTGCTCTGGCCACGGCCAACGATCCAACACATTATAACCACCGCAGCCTGCCTTCTTTCGTCCCCCGCCAAACTTTTCTCTGGCTTCATCTCGTTGCTTTACAAGTTCTCAACAGTCTTTGATTTACGAGTACCACTGGCTAAAGCTCGAGGCCTCAAGGCTTACAAGCTGCCGCGGCTGCTCCCCTTCCTCTCTCTTACTCACTCGACCTGCATTGCTCAACTCTGGCTAACAACCACTACAACCCACCAACTCCCACTACCGAATACAAAGGCAAATACAAATCCACTTGCACCTGCGCATATACTTCGACCTGTATATCGCTGCCATCATCTCGTTCGACACCCGCAGATATTTCAGCGACTACCACCGCCATCATGCCTGCAGCAGTCACAACCAGGCCCAAGCTGGGCAAGCTCTCTACTCCAGTGACGAGCACATTTCCTCCCGACATCACCTCAGCAAACACGGCTACTCCTCGGTCTGCTCTTTTTGCCTGCAAGCCTGACCCTAGCTACATCCAAACACCGATCAGTCCACCATTGGCCTACACCGATTTCCTCTCCAAGGCCCTAGGATCGCTCAACTCGCCAGCTCTCGCACCCGGCGAGATCTCTCCCGAGTCTGCACCGACGTCTGCTGCTAGCGACAAGTCGGATACCTCCTCAATGGACGAACGTCCATCCCCAGCTTCTAGCGCTGCCAGCAGCAAACCCGCTTCGCCGGCATCAGCAACGGCAGTTCCTCCAACTCCATTCACGGCGCCGCTGCCCATGTCTGCACCGGCAACTGGAGCAAATTGCTTTCCTAGCCTGAAAGTACCGCCTAGCCCTGCCATTTCCAATCTGGATTCTCCCATGAGCTCCCGACTCATAGGCTCTCCGTGGAGCGCTCGGTCGATGCACCCTGTGTTTGACTGGGACGCCGCCCTCAAGGCCCGCCTTGGAGAGACGAAGAAGCAAAAATCCTCGCGTGTTAGTGTGCGACACATTCGTGAGGTGGTGACGAGAACTGTCACTTACACCCCAAAGATGGATCCTGCCCCCAGAGGCAAGCGACGGAAAGTTGAGTGAGGAATGAGAGTGGGAAGCCATATTTCGACATTCAAATCCTTCGCACAACATCTACAATACTGGGCTCCGACCCTATCTCCTCATTTGCCAACCGCAATGACGTCGATCTACATATTCTTTTAACTACCATCACACCAACTGTATACCAACCATGATTCGACAACACAAGGTGTTTTCATTTCTTGTCTTGATGACTACATCTCCCTGTGGGAGACAACAAAAGCATGATCGGAGAATTGGAAGGGCGAGCTGCTTCCAATTCACTTTTTTTTTTACGAAACCTTCAGCACTAATACGCTGGCCGCAGCTGAAGTCGACGATGTGATGGTTAACTATTTAAACCTAGGCGAGTCCTAGCACGACACTACTACTGGCGTATCATGGAAGAGTGGTGTGGGGGAGTTTTCTTTTACTTTTCTTTGTCACTATCACCGTGCCGGATATCTCGTTTTTATCAACATACTCCTCCTTTTCTGTGAGGAATTGCGAGGGCGGAGGCTTTTTTTCCTTCATGCGGAAGAGTCAAGGATTTTCCTTGAGGAGTTTATGGGCGTTTTCCCACGGACACAGCGCCCGACTGACGGGCGTTTCTGCAGCGCATGGACCGGCTCGATACTGAAGCCTAGACTGTGGATAATGGTCTCGGCGGGGGCGGCAGAGGGTCAGGCGATTCTGCGTGTGTCACCGGAAGCGGGAACCAAGAGGGGCCGATGGAGGCAGCTTCGTTCTTGAATAAGACGGGCAGCCAGCTACGCATCGCAGATGCCTCGATGCTTGTAACACATATTACTATATATACACTATTTAGAGACACAAAAAAAAACATTGAACAAAATAATTCAGCTGGTGTTGCTTTGCAGCCAATCATTCTTGCGAAGACTGCTTTGATTAGCTTGATAATCTCCGACTGTAACGCAAAGCCGAACATGGCAGATGCAGATTCTATTGGCACATCGATCAGTTTTTTTCACCAACTTAGTGATCTGTCGTTAGTAGGATTTACGGCTTCCCGTGCGTGTGTGTAGCAATATGGAGCGGCAACTGTGCCACAGGAGGAAATGTCGGTATAAGTCGGGCACTTGATTCGTGGCTTTCATATCATGCCTTGCTTTTTCTTGCCCTCTTGTTTAATTCACGCAGACGTGCATATTCACGGGCCAAGTGAGTGAGAAAGAGATAGAGTGGTAAAAAAAAAGAGAAAAAAAAAAAAAACTACAGAGGCCGGGGAGGATGATGGGCCGCAGAGACGGTCGCATAGAAGTGGGCGCCTATCCGTTGAACCCCATGTATACGTTGCTTTCTTATGCTCTGAGTGGTGAAATCTGCAGAGATTATGGATCAAATGGAATGGGAATGGTAGGCTGTCATCTGTATAGGCAAGGTAAGGCAAGGCAAGGCACCTGGTGACTTTTTTTTTTCAATGTAGCAGTAGTACTATGTAGTAGTAATATTATGGGATTGTGCAGGTTGAGTTGCGGTGACTGCTGATACGAGAGGGAAGGTTGTATGTAGCTGCGGTAGTGTATTTGTTATGTTATTTGCTAATGCCTAGCATTTCGTTTTATTGTGCATGAGGGCTTGTTGGTACCATGGAGAGAGAATGAAAGAGAAGGATTCTTCTTACTTTCCACATATCGGATAGTACCTATATAGAAGTTTAGACAGGACGATTTCTACTATAAAAGTCTCACGGCGTCCAAGACAGCAGGTCACGGACATGGCCCCCTTTGAGAAGAGATTCAAGAAGGCATCACCACGAGTTGCTTTACCGCTCAGCTTTTTCCCATTTTATTGGGCGCGTGGTTGTTTTATGCTGGACAGCTTTTTGTGTGTGAGTGTGCTGTATGCGCGGTGGGTGTGTCTGGGTCGGATAATGGGCCGGACGGGAAGATGCTTCCCGCTAGGTCACGATGGAAGCGGCCGCCTGCTACGATATTGCCTGTCATTTTTTTTGTTTTTGTTTTTGTTTGTTTTGGTCTTGTTCTGTTTTATCGGAACGTGGTTGCGGTTGTATGGAGTCGAGTCTATCGGAGGGCATAAACGCCGCCTGGCTTCATGTCTTTTTTGATACCCGCTGAGCGGCTATTTCCACTCTGTCTCAGCAAAAAGCAACAACAGCTGCATCGGCAAGGGATATATTGCTGCGTGCATGATAGGCCATCTGCGTTCAGAAGAGAAGAAAAGCAAAAGGCGTGGCATTCACTCCCTGCAGAGAGATTTGGGCGAATGAGATGAGGCCGCTGAGTCTTGTTTGTGATGATCAACCGACGCCTTCGACATCTTGATTGAAACCTATCGTCAAGCCCTCTTCCCTGCCGTGCAAAGGTCCAAGCTCACCTATCACACGCCCCTCATCTTTTCAACGGCCAAAGTCCGTCGACGGGATGGCCGTCATAGCAACAAGTGCTGCATGCTCTGTACTTTGTGCTGTTCTCCTGTTACGCCCGTATGACGCCTGTTATTTGCCCTTGCTGTCGTCAGTCTTTTCCCTTACACTCTTGTGCTTGCTTGCTTCCTCCTCCTTCCATCCATCTTCAACGCTCACCCCATCCTTCGTCCTCCGGGCACATCCGCCGTGCTTTGGTGACGTTCGCCGACGTCACTGGCCGCACACCCTCTTCTGTCACTCTTGGCCCCCCTCCCCGTCCCGGTCTCGTAGGACATCATGGACCTAGTAACCCAAAAAAAAAAAAAAGGACGTACAACAAATCTGGGAGCAGCTAAAAGCGGCGTCGTCCCAAGAGAACCGATCCAATTCCGCCCTAGCTCGTGCTAGTTGGCCTTCTAAGCGCCGTTGAGCTCCCGCGAGGCGTGTCATTGGCTGGCGTGGATATGGCTGTCACCCACCTTCGGGTCCAGTGTCTATGATTGGCCGGGATCTAAGCGCCCTGATATGTGGGCAGCGCACTGCTCAGTTGCAGACTAAGCCGTCGCTACAGTCGCGTTCAGGGTGCCTTTCTGCCTGTGCTGCTGCGCCTACGGGCATGCATAGTTGTACAGTATGTACAAGGGATGCAGGCAGCATGTAAGGAGTCGTCCCTAGCAGTATGGACCCTTCGTGCCGTGACATCGTCCAGATGTGTAGCGAGAATTTCTGCAGCCGCGCTAATTAGCCCGCTTAGCAGAAGCATGTAAGAGGGCCAGCAGGAAATTATGCGCGTGGGAGAGGGCAGAGGAGACAGCGTCTGGCTCTCAGCTTCGCATCCAACAATGGAAAGTCCAGTAAGCGAGTGTGGCTTCACGGGTTCAGCTCAGAAGACCGAAGGATCCCGGTCATCATCTTCAGCTATTGCTAGCGAGGTCAACTGCCGAATGACCAGCAGTGGTAAATTCTCCTACTCGCGAGGCCTCTTATCCGCGAGACTAGCACTGGCTCACCGCTGGGCTGGGAACTCTAAGCTTCCATCTCTTTTCATCCCTGTCTTCCAAGTATTAGCCTGCTTTTCTTTAATCACCTTCTCCAGCACTCGACTTACTCCTCGCACCACCAAGCTATGCAGTAGTACAGGTAGCCGTGTTGTCAAGTAGCATTGTGACAGCTGGCCATGCGAGTCAGGCTATCTCGATGTCGCCATGTGGATTAGCTGGTCCCAATGTTCCGTCAAACTAGCAAGACTGTCGACAAATTCCTAGTTGATATGCGATCCTGAAACGAGAGGGACGCGGGGGGTCCTGGCAGTATCACTGTGCTGAAACCGGGTTAAGCCGACATTGGAAGAAAATAGATTGGAGATGTCGTCCGTTTTACCCAGATGGAACATTCTGAGACAGTTTCCATTTGCTGCTAAATTTGGAAACACGCACGCACAGCGCTGTGATGGAAGCAGATTTCTTCCAATATCACACAGAGCACTGTGGGCCCCCTTCCATCAGCATCGGGCAACCAATCCCAGAGGGCTTTCGTTTTCGAGCCTAGCAGCTGCACATGGCAAATCAAGATCATCCCGCTGGGGCACTGATGGCCGGGTTCGTGGTGGAGGGGCGGTCTACTTTGTATGTGCACGCCTCCATCTCCACCATTTTACCCTCCATCACGATTGGAATTTGCATGCTTTTTTTTCTTCCATTCCCACTTGGAGGCATATACATGTCCGTACTGTAAGCGACTGGGTGGGCGAGGCTAGCCAATTTCTCTGATTTCCTTTGCGACGGCATTGCAAAGAGCAACTTTGACCCCGGCACCCGTGAGAACGTGGATCCACAGCCGCTGCGTGTCGCTTAGCCTGTCGTTTGCACTCTTGACCTCTACAAACATGGCCTCGCCTCTTGCCTTTCCTGGCTCTTCATTCTGAGCATCCTGAGCATCCTGAGCTTGCGCGCCGCTGTTTTCCGCCATTCTCCAGAGGATGAGGTCCGGGATGCCTCCACCTCGTTGCCTGTATTCCTGTGCCATCACCTTGCATAGAGCGGCTAGAGCGCTACCTTCGAAGCAGCGTACTAGCTCTAGCAAGTCCTCCACTTCAAAATCCCAATTGAGCCCTATCACACTCGTTCGTCGCTCGTGCTCCCTTTCCCAGACCCCACGTAGCAGCCGTTCACCCTCTCCGTTGGCAATCTCAACAAGTCGATGGTTGATTTCCGAGTTTCGAGCCGGGAAGAAGGCGTCTGTATGCAAGTCCAGGGGGCAGGTCTGGAAGGCCGTCTGGAAAACGTTGGGGATATAGAGAAACAGGATGTCGTAGAACAGATAGGCAAACAGGGTGCGGATGATACCCCCTTCAGCATGGTATCCCTTCCACCCCTGTGACTGAAAGTGACTCAAGCACATCTCTTCCACGGTGCATTCACCGCCAGAAGAGGACTCGTCCAGCCAAATGGTTCTTGTGCTTAGAGCCTGGCCTCCCAGCCTCGGTGGGGTATCGCGCTTCAACTGGATTCCCTCAACGGACAGTTCCAGGGGACCAGCAAGGCGTACATGTCCAAAATCATGCTGAAGACGCTTGGGGATGCGGAGTTTCTTCTCTAGCTTGACCAATCGTTTTTGTAAGTCGTAGTGATGTATGAGATGGCAATCCGGATCTTGGAGGCCTGTCTCACAAGTTGAGACCGCTATTGCTCTCCATCGCTTCTTCTGTTGCTCCAAGTCATGAGAAGTGGGATCTGGATCAAGGCTAGGCATATAGTGCTCCTCCAAGAGAGCTTTACGTTGGTACCACGCGCCTCTTCGGGCCAAGTGAAAGAGCCGTTGGTCCAGGAGTTCAGTCAAAAGCTGATGCTCCTTGAGATAATTCTTGAGCTTGCCAAACACAAATGCAGCCTTTACGATAATGCGAGTATATGAGTGGGCAGGATTGAACCTTCTGAGGTATGCCCTTTCTCCCATCTCGTAAAACTGCCGCTCTTTCTCGGTTTCTTCTTGGACCAGGGCGCTCCACCGAGGGTACACCTTTTTAAAAATATCAAGTATATGGTCGGAACCCTTTTCATCCAGTGGTCCGTTGGATTCAAGAATATTGTCAACGTCTGCTTCCATGCGTATTGCGGCCTCGTATTCTAACAAACGAGCTCGAGAGGAAAATATCGTTGAAGATCGAGAGACAATGTACTCGGGGAAATTCCGTCTGGCAATCTTTGCCAATATGATTGTCGTCAGTGACTTCTCCGTCCATTCTGTGGATCTGTAAAACACCAAGTGAACTCTTTCGAACAACTTGAAGGTAGCTGGAGATATTCGTATACAGGGGCCAACAATGGCAAGAATTTTAGCTAGAAAGTGCTGTTCACGGTTGGAATCTTCTCTCTTTAGCTTTGAAGCCGCCTGGGCAGGATGATCGGTCCTTGTGGAAGCGCTCGAATCCGCACTATTTTGCCTACTGATACCTAAAGCCATCAGCCCGGCTTGCTGCTGGCTCATCCGGCACAAAGCCTTGATCATGTCCATTTTGGTTTTTCCTTGGACTTTGGCCTCTTTGGCAATCGCCTTGAGCTCATCAAGGTACAGAAGCGATGCGGCTTCTTCGACTGTGTCGATATGGTCCTCAGACGCATCCGCAAACGTAAAAGCATTGCCATCGTCCGGGTCTTCTAGCCCAACGCTTGGTAGCTCAATTTGAACTGGCGGACTGCTTGCGACCTCCGATGATAGAATTCTGCGTTCTTGAAGTGTAGCAATAGCTGTAGCATGATCTGAAATGTCGTTGAAGTAACCCAAACGCGATGACCGATGCCAAGCTGCAGTCTTTCGGAGAAACAGACGAACGTATCTGCCCCATTCAATAAGTATAAGCAGGGTTAGCCAGCAAGGCTACTAATACTTACAAATACTGCGCTTCATAATTCAGATTCCTCCATTGGCTGAAAATCTCGAGTTCTTTGCTACTAAAAAGAGACGATTCCTCTTCCAAGACGGTATCTAGTGTGAGATTGAATGCATCCACGTATATCGAGCTCCTCCCTTTGATCCACAGAGGGGCTATTTTCTTGTCTGGAATTTCTTCTCCGGTATTGCTTTGCGAAGATTTAAGAGTCTCATACTCTTCAATCGCTTCTTGGCTTGCCTCAGTTGGCGGCAATGCGTTCTCAAAGTCAGTGACTCGCTCTTTGGCTCGGCGCTGGTCTTTTTCATCCGATAACGCCTCTTCCGACACAATTTCACTTGACTCATGCTTGACGGTCAGCTCAATTGGCTCTTCTGGTTCAGTGTCCGATTCAGTGTCCTCATTCCTCTTCAGACGTTTAGTAGGTCTCTCCACTGCCGACGACGCATTCTGCAGCGGGCGCTCGTTGCTCTGGGCTTCAGCATCTCCCCTTGGCAGCCTTTTTACAAAAGCATCCATAACAAATACATATCAAAATGACAAGAGTATTGCATTGCCTCTTCGCTGCAAATCAAACGCCAAAAGAGCTGATTTTGTTCTGCACAAGAAGAGACGCAGTCGACGCGGAGGCCCGTGAACGAACTGCACGCGAAGTCAGCTGACCCCTTTAAGCACCTCCAAGCTCAGTCCCCACCGCAACAGCTTCCTCGAAGTGGCATGGGCAGCTTTCTCTATCCATCTCCGGCTCGCAGACAACCAATTGGCAGCGGCTGCACTCCGTCATCATGGCAGACGAGGATGCCAGAACGACTCTGGATGTGCCGCAGGTGTCCGTCTCCAACAATGAGGCACCATCAACGCAGCAAAGCCAAGGGCAGGGCACGCCGCAGCGAGACGTCGTGATGGCCGATGTGCCGACAGATCAAGCAGTAAGACCGATCCATATTCTTCTGCTTCACGGAATAAACAGCAATTTTTTCTTTCTTTGATAACTCTTCAAGAGCCCTGCTAACCGTTTCTAGCAGTCACCAGCACCCGCGGCTTTTGCGCCAAGTCCTGCTCCTGGTCGCACGGGAACACCAGCGCACGGCTCTAGAGCGGCCTCAACGCATCCGGACCCTGGGTTTACGATGCCTACAGAGGCGTCTTTACACGGCGACTCGACACGCCGATACCTGAATACGAAAGTCACTGGTGCTTTACTGGAAGGGATGAAATTGCTGGCCAAGGAAAAGTAGGTTGTCCTGGCGGGTATCATTTCTGCTCAAGTTGACTCTTTCTAACATATGCACGATTATAGACCAGAAGACCCTCTTCGAGTTTTGGGCGAATATCTGATACAAAAGTCAAGAGATTTGGAAGGTACAGGGTGATTTGGGTTTCATTTCAAATAGCATATTTAGATCATGGGACTAGGCACGTTGAAGGCGTTGAGGATTTCGTATTACGGATCAGAGATATTAGGATACCCAGAGCACATCTATGTCATGAGCAGTCCAATTGCTTTCGATTAGGAGCATTTTGACTGCCAGCTTGGTCCTAAAGACCGGCGCAGAAGAATCGTAGCTCTAAATGCAGCTTTTTCATATATGACCCAAACTCCATGACCCGAGAAACCTCCACGACCATGACCAAATAACCCGTCGCTTTTTTGTTTTAGATTTCGCTATTTAAGCGACGATGGTGCTGGCGGTAGCGGACTCGTACTTCCAGGTAGGGGGAAGGACACCGACGGTCTTGTAGTAACGAGCCAGACGGTGGATACGGGACTCGATCAGAATGAGGCGGAACTTGGAGTCCTTGTCCTTGCGGTTGCGCTCAAGGTGCTTGCGGACAGCGACAGCCTAGTGGTTGGTTGATTGTTAGCTTTGAGTTGTTCCAAAGATGGGCTAAAAAAAAGTCTTCATGCAGCCGCAGTCTCACCTTCTTGATCAGCATGTACAGGTCCTCAGGAAGATCAGGGGCGAGGCCTATAAAAGATCACTCTGTCAGTCTAAACCGCACAGAGGCACATGAGATGTCTCATGAAAGAATGTATGTATAGATTGATGCACGTTCTGCGCGTATGCGCCGTTCGAACACCACATTCTTCATGTCGTTCAGGGTTCCGTACCGTTGGACTTGAGGATACGCAGGATTCGGTTACCTGTTGTTTCGCAGTTAGTCAAAAGTTGCCCCCATTGAATCTTCCCCAATCTCTGCCTCTCATCAAAACATACCAGTGACAACCTTGACCTGGGTGATTCCGTGGGAGTCACGGAGGACAACACCGATCTGAGAAGGAGTGGCACCCTTCTTGGCCAGCTTGCAGATCTGGTCAACGACCTGCTCGGGAGTGGTCTTCAACCATGAGGGAGCGGATCGAGAGTAGGGGATCGCGGAGGACGAAATGCCCTTGCCCTTGCTGTGAAGTCTACCCATCTTGTCGGATTTGGTGGTATTTGCTGACGATGCAAAAAGTTGTCGAGGAGCTGGTCGCGAAGTTGCTAAAGCAGGTATCAATTAGGTCGTGTGGGGGGGAAGTTGAAAAATTCGCTTAGTTAGGGCAAAAGGGCGGAATGCGCCGTGTGTGGCTCGTGGTTGGTGGCTAGTGAAGTCCGATAACCAAATCTACGCTGCGTCACGTGATGTAATCGGCGGCTTCACGATGGCTCAGTTTTGCTTTCTGAAATTTTGACCCGCAACGCTATCTTCCCTTTCAATCTTTTTTTTTTTTTTTGCTTAGCTGGCTTTTGCGTTATCTCGGCAGCATCCTCCCTTGATATCTCTGCTGTGAAACCGTGCTTACACGATGACTGAAGAAAGGCATCGTATGGCAAGCAGATAGCACTGAACTGGTAAGCTGATTTCTACTCTTTTAAACATACACCACAACAACACAGCGTCTATATGATGACCCAACACATTTGTTATACTTATTCTGGTACCTCTTATGTTAGTTTGAGATGGCTTCATGTCATCTCATTCGATGAATGAAAAGGACTTCTGATCCAAGCGCTTTTCCTCTCATCTATTCTTATCTAAAGACTGTTTGATGAGACATATTGCTAATACAAATCATACAGACGATTATAGAATCAACATATTATAGCGATAGAACCATAGTAAAAATAATGAGACAATGGCATTCCAACGTCGCTTACCATCTGAGATTTGATTCCGTGTTTGTTCTTCGCAACCACAGCCAAGCAAAACACACAAACGCCATAGCCTTTTTTTCTTATTTCAAGCCCATGATTTTACGTTGGAACAAAATGCGTTGACGTATATCTGCAACAATTTCGCCCTTTAACCAAAGTCCCCATAATAATTCCCATGGCTGCAGATGTGACTGTCACAAGCTATTAAACTATTTCGCCTAAATATTACACTGTCTTTACCAAGCGCCCACTTCAAAGTTTTCCTACAGAGGGTTAGCGGTTGACCGACTTGAATGGTAGGGACGGGGAATACAAACCTCTGGGAAATAAGTTGCCACAACGGTCCTGTCGGCAAACTTTCTACCAGCGAGAGCAGTAAGAGCTTTGGTGGCTGACTCTTCCGAATCATACTTTACGTAGATCTTGCCTACGCCGGCAGATTGTCTGCTACCGCCAGATGGTCTAGGGACCTTGAGCTCCACGACTTTGCCGAATTTGGCACACTCATCTTGGACATCTTCGCAGATTTCTGTTTTGTCTTGGGTTAGAATGCTGAAGGCAATAAACATGACAAGCTTACATACCTTCATAGTCGTCGTTGTCTATCAGCTCCTCAGGAGTGACCATATTCAGAAGCTGAATAACAGAGCTCCTCTCAATATCATTAGATGTCTGAGAGGCGAGGCCACTAATAGCAGTGATGCCCACGTCGAAATTGGCAACCTGGGTAGGTCCAATGCTGGCTTTTGTCACCTTGAGCTTCTTGCCACCGACATCCATTCCGTTTAGGCTGTTCAGAGCAGGCTCATTTGCTGAGGAAGGCTCAAGGTATTCGGTAAACGCGATTCCCTTGGCTACGAGTTAGCTCTTCATACATTTAGCAAGATGTCTGTAAATCAAGCCCGACTCACCCTGGATTCTTCGGTGCTCTGGTCTTTCACCAAGACAAAAGCTTTGGGCTTGCCAAAGGCAGCCAGAAGTTCAATAACTTGTTCTTCGGTGAGGAATGAGGGAATGTTAGTAATACACAGCTTATGCACGGTGTCAGGGACGACATTTGATATGACCTCGGGGTCGAAAGGCATCTCGTCTGGTAGAGCGGGCATGACATAGTCTTTGGGTCGGCGAATGTTCAAGCCCGAGCTTACACCATCGGCGGTACCATTCATGGCATCGTCAGCCTCCATTGAGATGCCGTCCAAGGCAAGCGCAACAGTTGCGTCAGACGCATTTCTAAACTCCAAGACTGCAAATGCTCGGTCTGCAGAAAACTGGCAAAGGACACAAGGATCGGAGCTTTCAATGACATTTAGGCCGTTCAGTTGCAGGTTGAAGAATGAGATCAAAGCATCTTCGCCAGCGCCACTAGGAACATTGGAAACAAGAAGACGCTTTGCCTGGCGAGAATTGCTGGCTTTGAGACCTGCGCTAGTGACTTGGCCACCAGGTTGGGTTATGAAGGCCTGCAGCTTTGTTGGGTCCATAGGCTGTTGGCGAGGAGCACCTGGAAGAGGAAACATTCCAGAAAGCTTGGCTTGCTCAGCCGTCACGAGGTCATAGCCAGGAGGCTTAATGTCCCATTGTGTAAGGCGTCGCTTTCGCTCGAGGATAGGGACGACATCCGTCAAATCAGGGGTGGGTTCTCTTTTCTTTGGAGGTGATGGGCTGCGACGCGGCTGCTGCTGCTCTTGCTGTCTTGCAAACCCATCATCGCGCCTGTCTCGTCCTCCTCTTCGACGGTCATCGTAAGGGTCTCGCTCTCGTCGGCTGGGTCTCTCGTCATCGTCACGTCGGGCGTCTCTGCGGTAAGAACCTCGGTCACGGTCCCAATCGCGGTCGCCGCGACGGTCGCGCGCCGATGAGTATCTGTCCTCACGTTCTCTATCACGGTGGCTGCGACTTGAAGAGTATGCGTCAACGTCTCCTTCTGTGCGGCGATGGCTGCGGTGATCTGGTGATCTAGAGCGTCGGCGATCACGGTCTCCTCTGTGTCGGTCACGACGGTCGTCTCGTTCGCCTCTTGAGCCCTACATTCAATCAAGATTAGACATGGTGGGTAGAAGCGGCAATTGGCATACGAACACCATAATCTCGGTTCCTTCGCCCCCCATCTTATTGACGCGACACTTGGTTAGCAAAAGGACCAATTGAGGCACAACTGAGAACGCGTGTCTTACCTCGAGACGAGTAACTATCGCCGTTCATGGCTGCGATATCTTCTCGCAAACGGTAGCGATCGGACGGCTCTTTGGAATTGATGATGGCGAGCTCTGTGGTGGAGCAGAAACGTCGATGAAGTTGCCGCAAGATATCCTGGCCAAAAGCTCCTTTGCCAATACTTTTGCATGGAGGCGAGGCTGGAGCTTTTTTGCAAGATGTGCGCTATGCCCCTTCTGTGCTAGCAGGCCGTGCGCTGGAAGGGTCTGCCGGATTATCTGCGGCTAGTGTTTAGAGACGCGTGCAAGTCCCCATAGCGGTGGCCACTATCAGGGACTCGGCGCCCTTGGTTACAGCGCCACTATTGCAATGTTCCGCCTCTATAGATGCCGCTAACAGAACAATGCTCTCCCATTTGTCGGTGCTGATCTGTAATATCTCTTGTATTCATCTCATTTTTATCGATACATAACACAGATTCAAACCCATTCAGGCCATCATGGCGATGAAGCGGGTCGTCGATTGGCGCAAGTTGCCGGTGAGCCTCACCGAGCTCTGCATTGACACAACGCTGCGATGCGGCCAGTCCTTTCGGTGGCGAAAGCTCAACGACGAATGGTTGGTGCCAGTAATCTATTGTCCATTCCTACTTGATTGACACAGTTAGGATATGCACATTACACGGGAGGATATTGGCTTTGAAGCAAGACGAAACTCATTTACATTACAAGGTAACCTGGCCAGAACGAGGAGAACGCTCTTCGCCTGGCTCCTCTTCCAAAGATTTACCACTCAGAAAGGACGATACAGAGGATCTCCTTCGCCATTACTTTAGCCTGGACATAGATCTTGCCTCTCTGTATCAACAGTGGTCGAAAGATGATCCAAATTTTCGCAAAAAGGCACCCAAATTTACAGGAGTTCGCATTCTGAACCAGGACGCATGGGAGGCACTGATATGCTTCATATGCAGCAGCAACAATAACATCTCTCGAATCTCCCAAATGGTAAGCACATTTATATGCCATGTAACAGACGATTTGCGCTAACAAACATCCAGGTACATAAGCTTTGCAAGCATTATGGCCCCTTTATTGGTCATGTAGATGGGGAAGCCATGCATGACTTTCCTACTCCAGAGTCTCTAAATCAAAAGAAAGTCGAGGCTCATTTAAGAGAACTCGGCTTTGGGTACCGTGCCAAGTATATCGCAGAGACGGCTCGCATTATTGCCCAGGATAAACCCTCGGCATGGCTCGACTCGCTACGCAACCCAGATTTTCCTGCGTTCAACGCCGTTGCAGTATCAGATGGACCATCATCTACCTACAAAGACGCCCAGTCTGCGCTTCTCTCTCTCACCGGCGTGGGCCCAAAGGTTGCCGACTGTGTCTGCTTGATGGGCCTAGGATGGGGAGAATCAGTGCCGGTGGACACACACGTCCTACAGATTGCCCAGCGAGATTATCGCTTTGGCAAAAAGGGACCTAAAACTATAAACAAGGCCATGTACGACGCGATTGGCGACCATTTTCGAAACATATGGGGCAAATATGCGGGCTGGGCCCATTCAGTCTTATTCACAGCCGATTTACGAGAGTTTTCAAGTCGCATGAAAGAAGAAAAAGACAAAGGGCTATTGATTAAAGAAGAGGTTTCAGAAGCAGAAGCGAAACCCAAGGGAAAGAGGAAAGCAACCGTGGAAATCGAGAAAAAAGTACATGTGAAGGAGGAGGATGATACGAAGGATACTGTAACCTTGAAAATAGACACAACCGTTAAAAGGCGGCGCACAAGGGCTCGGCCATGATCATTTATAGCGATTAATGTGCATTCCTATAGATTAGATGTATGAATTCAAGTTTTAGTAATTTAACATAAGCCACAAAGACCAATGCCTTAAAGGCTGTGCTCAATTCCAGGTTCAGTCAAAACAGCTAGTCACTCGGATGGCCTGAAAACCGGGGGGCTCCTAAATTTCTCGCCAATGGCTCAACCAGAGAGGTTCCGTTGCAAATAAGACCTCAATTGGATAAAAGTCATCAATATACCTATTTCTACTTTATACTTGTGAAAATAAAGACCATCGTCCTTTTTCTCTTACGAATAAGCAAGTTTCGTCTCTAGTGCATATCGGTGTTGAGAGCGCGTGGCGCGTCGGCTAAATATCGGCCAAATGTTTCCTGGCGGTAGACTTTTTGCCGCTTCAATTTCGAGCTTCGCTTGCAATCCCTATTCCAACCTCAGCCCTCTCAGCAGCACATCTCCATGCGCAGCGATCTCGTTGGAACCACTTCAAGCACGTTAGAACCGGGATGAAGCGAGAAGTTCGATGAGCCAAGATGTCTGATGCAGATTTCGAGACGATCCAGCGGCTCCAGCAGGAGCGCAACGCTGCGGCGGCTGCCATGAAAAGCTCCCGCGCGTTGGCAGCCTCAAATCAACGCAATGACTCGACGAAGCAGAAGCTCACCGACAGCGCCGATAATGACCTGTACGACCGACAAGCCGACAAGTTTGCAGGATACCACACATCTCTGCCCATGGGAGATGACGATGAGATGGAGGATGGAGACAACACGCGTAGGCTCGTTGGTCAATACACGGCTTCCCGCGAAATCATTGACGAGTTTGCCCGCGGCGATGGCGTTGAGGAAGACGATATTCTTGCTGGCAAAGGCGAGAAGAGCAACCGCATCACAGATCGTGAGACCGATTATCAGAAGCGAAGGTTCAATCGTGTGCTTACGCCGACTCGAGCCGATCCTTTTGCTCAGAACAGACAGGCTGGTGCCGCAGAGGATGGGACCAACTACCGAGAGATCATGGAGATCCGTGAGCTTGAGCGTGAGGAGGAGCGTGTAATACGAGCTATCCAGTCAAAGTCGGCTAATGGCGATAATGATGATGAACCCAAGCCGACACTCGTCGATCACGACAAGGAAAACGCAGAGGCAGGCTCCACGGAAGCGGTCACGTCGGTGCGCAAGCGAAAGAAGAGATGGGACGTATCTTCGACGCCTGCTGAAGAAGAAGAATCCAAGGAAGAGAATGGGGCGGCGGAAAAGCCTAAGCGGTCTCGATGGGATCAGACACCGGCTGTTTCTGGCCCCGGTGCCATGGAAGCTCCCAAGACCAAACGCTCGCGATGGGATCAAGCGCCATCCGCAACCCCGATGGGCAACCAGGGACTAGCAACTCCCATGCATCAGCCGCAGACAGTTGCAATGCCTACAACCTTTGGCACTGATATTTCTGGACGAAACATGCCCTTGAGCGATGAGGAGCTTGATCTACTCTTGCCTGGCGAGAATGAAGGATACAAGGTCCTGGAACCCCCTCCTGGATATGAACCTGTTCGGGCCCCAACTCACAAAATGATGGCGACTCCCGCGCCCCAGACCGGCTTCACGATGCAGGACCCTGACCAAGTTGGACTAGGCGGAAAGCCAATGCCGGCAGAAATTCCGGGAGTCGGAGACCTACAGTTCTTTAAGCCCGAAGACATGGCTTACTTTGGCAAGCTAACAGATGGCTCTGATGAAAACGCCCTGAGCGTCGATGAGCTGAAAGAGCGAAAGATTATGAGACTACTTCTCAAGATCAAGAACGGAACCCCGCCTATGCGAAAGACGGCTCTTCGACAGATTACGGATAACGCAAGACAGTTTGGTGCCGGTGCCCTCTTTGACCAGATTCTCCCTCTTCTGATGGAAAAGACGCTGGAGGATCAGGAACGCCATCTGCTTGTCAAAGTCATTGACAGAATCCTCTACAAGCTGGACGACTTGGTCCGCCCATATGTACACAAGATTCTCGTTGTTATCGAACCGTTGCTGATTGATCAAGACTACTACGCTCGAGTCGAGGGTCGTGAGATTATTTCCAATCTTAGCAAAGCCGCAGGTCTCGCCACCATGATCAGCACAATGCGGCCCGATATCGACCATGTCGACGAGTATGTTCGAAACACTACCGCCAGAGCATTCGCGGTTGTGGCATCCGCCCTCGGCATTCCCGCTTTACTACCTTTCCTCAGAGCTGTCTGCCGAAGCAAAAAATCATGGCAAGCCAGGCATACCGGTGTCAAGATTGTGCAACAGATTCCCATCCTGATGGGGTGTGCAGTTCTCCCCCATTTGAAAGGCCTAGTCGACTGTATCGCACCCAATCTTAGTGATGACCAGACCAAGGTCAGGACAGTCACTAGTTTGGCCATTGCAGCTCTTGCAGAAGCCTCCAACCCCTATGGTATCGAGAGTTTCGACGACATCCTGAACCCGCTGTGGACTGGTGCTCGCAAACAGCGAGGAAAGGGACTGGCTGGTTTTCTCAAAGCTGTGGGATACATCATTCCTCTCATGGACGAAGAGTACGCAAACTACTATACCAGCCAGATTATGGAGATTCTACTGCGAGAGTTTTCCTCCCCTGATGAAGAGATGAAGAAGGTGGTCTTGAAGGTGGTATCTCAATGTGCAGGTACAGAAGGAGTAACGGCCGGCTACCTAAAGGAGCACGTTTTGGATGAGTTTTTCAAGAGTTTTTGGGTACGACGAATGGCTCTGGACAAGAGGAACTATAGACAAGTTGTGGAAACCACTGTCGACATTGGCCAGAAAGTGGGTGTGAGTGAGATTATCGAGAGAATCGTCAACAATCTCAAGGATGAAAGCGAGGCCTACCGAAAGATGACTGTCGAGACTGTCGAAAAGATTGTAGCCAGTCTGGGTGCTGCAGACATTGGCGAGCGACTTGAGGAACGTCTGATTGATGGAATTCTCCATGCCTTCCAAGAACAAAGCGTTGAGGATATCGTAATGCTCAATGGTTTCGGCTCCGTTGTTAACGCTCTAGGAGCGCGCTGCAAACCATACCTACCACAAATCGTCAGCACAATCCTGTGGAGATTGAACAACAAGTCAGCTACCGTTCGTCAGCAAGCGGCGGATCTGATTTCTCGAATCGCAATGGTGATGAAGCAGTGCGGAGAAGATGCTCTCATGGGTAAATTGGGAGTTGTGCTGTACGAGTACCTCGGAGAAGAATATCCCGAGGTTCTGGGATCGATCCTGGGAGCCCTACGATCTATTGTCACTGTTGTGGGTATTTCTCAGATGCAGCCTCCCATCAAGGACTTGCTCCCTCGCTTGACCCCTATTCTACGAAACAGACACGAAAAGGTGCAGGAAAACACCATTGATCTGGTTGGACGTATTGCCGACCGTGGCCCTGAGAGTGTCAATGCTCGAGAGTGGATGAGAATATGCTTTGAGCTTCTTGACATGCTCAAGGCGCACAAAAAGGGAATTCGAAGAGCGGCAAACAACACATTCGGTTTCATTGCCAAGGCCATTGGTCCCCAGGACGTCTTGGCTACGCTGCTGAACAACTTGAGAGTGCAAGAGAGACAGTCTCGTGTCAACACCGCCGTTGCTATTGGTATCGTCGCCGAAACTTGTGCTCCTTTCACCGTCCTTCCAGCTCTGATGAACGAATATCGTGTGCCGGAGCTCAACGTCCAAAACGGTGTGCTCAAATCTCTATCCTTCTTATTCGAGTATATTGGTGAAATGGCAAAGGATTACGTCTATGCTGTTACACCCCTACTCGAAGATGCTCTTACCGATCGAGATCAGGTTCACCGACAGACTGCCGCCTCAGTTGTCAAGCACATTGCTCTCGGAGTGGTTGGCCTTGGCTGTGAAGATGCCATGATTCACCTGCTCAACTTACTCTATCCTAATCTATTCGAGACTAGCCCCCACGTCATTGACCGCATCATCGAAGCTATCGAGGCCATTCGTGTTGCCGCGGGTCCTGGCTTGGTGATGAACTACGTATGGGCTGGACTCTTCCATCCCGCGAGAAAGGTGCGGACACCTTATTGGAGGCTGTACAACGATGCCTACGTAGCGGCTGCCGATTCCATGGTCCCATATTATCCTAACCTGGACGATGAAACTCTGGATCGACCAGAACTGGCCATTATCCTGTAGTTTTTTGAGAAAAAGATCTTGCTACGATGTGGGCAATAGCTTGGATGGAATGAACTAGGAGGTGAATTCTCTTTTTTATTTCTTGACAAGAGGAAGATACGAGAGAGAGGATTTGGGAATTGGTATGAATTGCGTTTGTTTGAATTGTAATAATGTATAGGAGTGGATTACGGTGGTATGCGTTGGGCGTTCTTTTCCTGCTAGATTACCCTAAAAATGACGAAAGTGTTTATCGACTCGTCCTATAGCAAATTCATGCAAGTTGTTGGCAAAGCAAGCCTTTACGTTCGAAGCTGTGAATTGATAAACTAGCTACATTCGAACTCGCTGCCTTGTGACCATTTACTCTCCCAACATTGCAGTAAGACATGCCCTTTTCTGCCTCCATCTGGCATATAAACCCATTTCAACGAGGTCAATCGTGTTGATGTTTGACACACACATACTTCATACAACCCTCCCCACCTTGATTCCCTAAACAATGTTGTAAAGGGAGAGAGCGTTCGTTTCAAGAAGAGACAAAATCAGACTCAGCTTCGCAAATAAGCAAACCGAAAGAGGGAAAAAAAGAAGAACGAAATCTTTGGAATGAAGAAGCAAAAAGAAAGCCCCTACGTCATGAGACATTTCTTTTTTGTCTTGCCTCACTTTGTCTCACCGTGTAGCCCAACATCTCCGTGCGTGCGGTTATCGTCGTCATTTACATTTCATCAGGAGTCGCTGCAAGGACTTGTTACCCTAAAACTCATTCCAACGAGTGGGGAAAAGAGGGCAATTTTGCATGGATTGAGAAATTTTATACGTGGCTGATGCAGAAAAAAGATGATTGGGCAGAAACCGTCAAGCAGAAACAGCAATGTAATAACATGACTTTGTATTTTGTTGAATGTTGTTTCATACCTAGGTAGGTGATCATTCTACTACAACCACATGGCAGCCGAATTAGGGGGCTGTTACCACTTTCGGGCCGTCGGTGTATCAGTTTCTCCGTACTGCCAAGTAGAGCCCAACAAAGAAAGAAGGGAAAAAAAAAAAAAAAAAAAAAAAAACGGTTCAATACAGAATGTCCAACTCGTTGTAAACATACGCAAAAAAAGAAAGCTGCCCACTATCAGAGTCGAACTGATCACCTTGTCATGTCATAATACTAGTGACACGCTATACCGCTTAGCCAAGCGGGCTAACCGCTTCTGAGTTGAACAATCGGAGCTCACAACCAGAATATGGATGTTTACGACCCAGCAAGAGGACGTTCTCATCACCATCGCTCTGGCTCCGGCTTCACCCCAACGTTTGAATCTCAGCAACAATAGCAGTCTTGCATCTGTACAAGCTTCCATAACAGATGGATCAGTGAATGGTTGGTTGACGTCACATCTCACCGCTCGTCTGAGTCCCCCATACCAACTGAATGCTCCATACACTGCTCTGTATCGTCGACGAACAATCTGCCATGCATCATCCAAGTCTCGCTCGCCCGAAATGTCTCACTTATCTGGTAAGCGTGAGCAGCTCTCTCAGCCCTTGGAATACTAGTAGTTTGCCCGGCAATAAACTAGTGACATTCTCATTTCACTACCGGGATGGATGGGTCGATTGATTTGATTTCACAAAAGAAGAGGACATGGCATGCACATAAGCACACAATGTCACACAACAAGACAGCGCTAGGATGCAGAGACAAAAAGCCTTTTGCCGCAAGATCGAAACGCGATCTTTGCTCTCTCGCTACAGTATATACGGATCCTTGTTCGCCTTTTCGCTCCTCGCGCCCTCCTTGGGCCAATGGCGTCCCAACCCACTCCGGTGCAGTGTGCATGCTGCGATGCATGCGTTAAAAAGGTGATTCGTAGCCCCGTCGTGCAGTAGTGTGCGGCAGCCCCCCCGATGGAATAAGCAGTGCGTGCAGCTAGATATGCAGGTCTGAGTTCGCACCAGAGAAAACCAAGCAGCCATTTGCCCTTGGCAATGATTTCGTTGGCTGGATGCTCTGTGGGATAGTGTTAGTGTAAGCACTTCGTATGTGATCCCGGCAAAATCACAAGCTCAAAAAAAAAAAAGAAAAAAAAAAAAGGCCAACGGAAAAAGGCGGTCGGATGTCTTGAGCCGTTCTGAAATGCTAGGCGGTACGGAGACATATGGCAAAGTTCGTACTGTACTTGTAGCATCTCGCGCTCCATACAGGTGCCGCTGCTTGGCACGTCTGCGTGTACTTGTGGGCTGTGCAAAAGTTCTCATGTTTCACTGCAATGTCCGAAGAGAACGTTATTTCTCCTTTCCCAACGGGAATCGGAGGGAAAAAAAGAAAGAAATCATGTGTGCTCCATAACCAAGCAACCGAATCACCAACGGCATCTGACACCTTTCTCGATAGCTGGAATGGCCGATTCCCTGGGCGCAGGGATCAATGGTATATTGCTGTTAGTCGAGCGAGTCTTGATATGCCATGATCCTACGGAGCTCGTCCATGGGATCTGTATTGTTTAGCACCATCGGCTCCCCAGCCCCTGGGTTTTCCAAGCCCATGGCATTGGTTAGCAGGCTTGTGTCTTTTGGGGAGGGTCGAGTTATCAGTAGCACAGCGTCGTCGTGGGAGCGGCCGGTCCAACGCCACGGCGGCGGAGCAAATGTTGTCAAAGCGTCTGGGAGGGATCAAGCTTGTACAGTAGCAACAGCAGCAAAGTCGCACAACAGCAATCAGCCACCTGCTGGAAGGGAAACCAACGACCAACCAAAAGGGACTGCCATGTCTCTCCAGGGATCCAGGACTAGGACAAGCAAGACAATGGCATGCTCCGGCAAACGCTGCCCTGTATCGTCCGAATCGGTGTGCTCGGAAATAGCCATGTGTATCACGCTTCGAAAAGACCCGGCGTCATTCAGCCATTGGCCTTCTTGTGCCGTGGCTGCGGACCGAACAAGTAGGTATTCAGGTAAACATGCGGTTGTGGTCGAAGAGGTGATGGCCGCATGTTATTCACGGCGAGTGCCCACGTTGGACCACATCCAACAAACGTCGCTTTCATGTCATCTCTTATGGATTCAGAGTCCCTAGGATCTCTGATAGAACGTGAGATGGCAAAATCATCTGCATAATGCTGGGTATCCAAGTACCTACGGTTTGGCTCGACTCAGGTCAGATTTTGTTCTCGTTGAAGCGCCATGCTTGGCTTCAGAGCCAAAACTCACCTGCTTGATCATATGGAGGAATCATTTCAGGAGTTATTGTACTCTCCATCGCAGATGCGTGGACAGATGCTGTTACTTGTAGTGCTTTACCGATACAACACCGCCAGTCTTTGACGGCTTCTACACGTACAAGGAGCTTCGCACTGTGCCGAGAGTACAGACACAGCACGGGCATTGCGTGTGCCGCAGCGAATACTGTGCAACGCGGTGGAATTGGAATCGGAATCAGTGGGGCTGCTGTACTGTACAGTATGGACAGCAGGTGAGATGTGAGAGCGTAGCAAAATCGACGTCATAAAAGGTCGGTCGTTGGCCGAGCATGCAAGTCTGTACGAATGCAATCCCTGGACTACCGTAGGCGAGGGCAGGTCAGTGAGTGCGTGCAGTATAGGCGCAATTCCCAGCAGTGCTCGCAAGCAAGTGCGCACAAGACGAGCAAGATACGAAATAGACAGAGGCTCTCTTGGATCAGAAAAACCAAGAAGGAACAAAAGCCCGTAGCCAGGGCTTATTGTCGCAGCTCCTTTTCTCAGCTGCGAATCCCTGTAGATTGTGTCAAAACCGAATCGCAGCCCACCGATAAGGGACCGTTCTAGAACACCCGTCAAAGCAGATCTGACGTTGATCGTGGCCTTTTGGTTTCTTGGCCGGCGACCAAGGGAAAGAGAACCTGAAGATCATGGCCACCGACGAGTCTCCCGCACGTGTTTGCAGGCCGGTCTCTCCACCTTGGACTCAACTTTATTTGCACAACAGCAGAGGCTGAAATTCGGTGTTGGTGCAACAGCGTGTTGTTCTGTACTATATACTTGCCGGCCATCCCAACCATGGCCAGTGTGCCCAAACCTGTAGCAAGGGGAGATTAGCTGCACATTACATATTGTGTAGCTGGTTGGGAGCATGATTGGCAAAGGCTATCCAGAGCGGTGTGAGCTGGGACGTCTGAATACGCATACGAGCACCGACGTGCGTGCTTTCTACAGACCATTTTACGCGGAGCCGACCGCCAGCCGCCGTACTTGTCCGTTGCTTCCGCTGCATTTTTTTGTAGGAACAAATGCGAAAAGTCCAGAGTCCGGGACATGAAGACAGTGATTGCTGGGGCACTGACCGCTGTACCCCCCGAAGCATCTCGTCCGTGCAGGGCCTGCAACAATGCCGGCCAATTCACAGGGGAGACAAGAGCTTCTCTTGAGAACGTGGGCTATGCGGATACAAATCCCGTCCTCCCCACCCTTGTCATGACGAAAACGTGTGAGGATTCAGTGTGTTTGTTCCATATGGAGAGCTCCCACGCACTTGCAACACAAAAAGGTGGTATGGCATTTGCGTGCTTCAGCACCAAGACCCGAAATGAGGGGGACACGGGAGAAAAGGGTCAAGATAGAGCAGAGATTGTGGATGGACCCTACCTATGCGGAGTACAAGTACTACTCGTAGGTATCACTCTAAACGAGTGCAGTACAGAACAGTACAGTAGCATTCGCGCACACACACTCGTAGACACACGCCATCTCTCTATTCAGTATGCAGCACGTCTGCGTGCTGTGGAGGAGCAGGAGCGCAGAGATTGTCAACAGCCTTGTCTAGTCGGCGACCTCGTGGTCCTCGTGCTCACCGGTCTATTAATTAGGCTCCCGCCTCTCTTTCGCTCATTGGGAGGGATGCTAGCTCCGTCTCCAAAAGTAATTTCCCCCGGCCCTAGAAGCTGGAAGTCGCGGTTGAATGGCTGCTGGAGATGCTCCAATTAGCAGCTGTACCCACCCGGCATGCAGGCATTGATAATCTGGTCGACGGGAAAGAAAATACGAAGTTGCAGTACTAAAATCGCACATCATCAATTCCAAACAGACCTACAGCGCCTGCCCAGTGCTCTACAAACGATGCAGAGAGAGATTCGACCATGGCGGCAGGTAGCCAAAAAAACATGCCTAGGACGGATTGGTTAGCTGATGAAGAAGAATTAACGATGCCACCATCGTATGCAGCGGGCGGAGTGGCATTAGCCGGCACCCGTTCATCTGCCGGTAATGGCGCGACGATCGTCGCCGCCAAACATATCGGGTATCTGGTATTAATCTCCAGCGCTCGCTCGCTCCATGTACCACGACAATACATGATAAATTGCCAGCCACTGTCCACGCATGCTTGCCTGCTGTAATTTGAGCGTCGTGCCTCGCCATGCAGACGTAAATAGATTCCTCTTGTTGCTGATACAACGCATGTTTCTGCAAAGGGCCGACTCGTTCGGCGCAGCCACTCCCTGCGTAGTAGAAGACTGAGCACTGCTTTGGTCTGCAGCCAGCACCACTTGAGGGCAGTTGAATGTATCGGCTCCTCCAGCAGGTACTGTACTGCACCATTCTCATCATTTGCCTGCATCACACGATGAGCGCTAGTCCCCTCTGCTCGTCAACTGAGTCAAATCGGCACCATTAAACCGAACAGGCAACCCGACGTCGAGCGGCTCTTCTGCTCCTCAAGGCCGACTGGCATTCGCACACACCGACTGCACTGTGCTGTGATGTGGAGCAGGGCCGCCCTTTGGAGAAAAAGCGAGAAAAGGGATCCCTAGCCCAAGTGGCGCGTTTCATGTGTCCCAGTCCGGCCTACTGCCTCCGCACCCAAATCCTCGGTTCATGGGAGTCGCAAGGCGGGCCTCGTAAAATATGGACGTCGCCACTTTGTGTGTGACCCAGAGCCCACGGCCAGGACGTGATACTGTGCTCGTAGCGTGTGTTTGCCCGCAGCCAGTCTCAGTCAGCGCCTCGAGTCTCACTCTGGCGGACACCTGGAGGTCACATTAGTGATGCGCCGAGAGAATGTCTAGGACAGTGGATGGGAGGAGAGAGGGAGGACGAGGAGAAGAGAAAGGAAAAGAAAACAGAGAAAAGTCCCATCGCAGAGTCGGTTTGTGATTCGCGCACTCGTACAAGTACTGCGGGCAATGGCAACTGCTATGGGAGCCACTACAGTAGAACGGGACTTGAGAAGTGGCACTTCTTCTTCTTTTCGCCCACGGGTGTCCCAAAGCAGCCGTGGCCTGTGGGGACTGCTGTATTTTGGCGGACAGCGGAAAGACTTTTGAGATTCAAGTCATTTCGAAGCTGCTGGTGAACCTGATACACTGTACAGGACGAGCACGACGGCGTTCCTAGCCTAGCAGCCTAGGCGCACGTTAATTACAGATCGAATTGAGATGGTGCTATATGCTATAATAACGGAAAAGCCGTAATAACTAGCAGCTGTCTAATAATGAATGGCGGAAGAATATAGTAGTCTCCACAGAGAGCGGACCTTTTTTTGTCCTTGTTCCTTGCACAGAATAGAATTACTGGAGCGGTTCTTCCGAGTGTATACAAGTAAAGTAAACCGGATGCCTCCTTCGCCTTACTCGTGCTCGATGTTTTGTGCGAGTGCGGAGTGGGATTATGGTTGTTTGGGGGCGTCTTGGTAGTGGTAGGAAGGTATTAGCGGCCTGTGTTGAAATGAGATATATGAGAGAGTTTAAGCAGGGAGTGCTAGGCGAGTTTTTCCATTGGGACTCGAGAATATTACAGGCTAGCCCCGAGTTTAGAGCGTTGAAGCAAAGTACTCAAAAAGTGTCTGATAACAATGTTCCTGTATGTCGATGCCAGTGCCTGATCAATCATCACAGCCATGTCACTCAAAGCGTATGGGGGCGTCGAAAGAGCAACATAGCCTTTCCCCCTTTTTTTCCTTTCCTCAAATCTTTCTTCAAAGCTTCTTGTCCCTTTTTTTCTTCTTCCCTTTTTGCCTAAGCGGAGGCGTACTGGAGTTTCTCTTGTACAACCAACCCTTTGAAGCAGTGCGCATGTGACACTATCTCTAGAGTATACACTAAGCAAGTCTGTGATTTAGCACGAACAACTCTCCAGTAGCACGTCTGGGTCTCCCTCCTCCCTCAACGCTTGTGAACAACGTAATCTTGAGCCGCAATGTTACTGATGCTTCCCAACCCAAAAGTCAGCCATGGACCATCATGGGGGCTTTTTTTTTTTGGCTGGGATATATGTGTTAGCGAGAGCTTGGAGGAGAACAAGCAACAGACTACAGGCGTAGTGTGGCCGGGGAGCATCGAAATGGTGGAGCAGCCGCAATGTGGAGACTCCTTTTTCTTTTCTTTTTTTTTCCCTTTCTGATGGGAAGCTAGCAGCGATGGAGTACTCGCAGTATAGCGCTTGTATAGTGGTGGGAACGTTTTCTTGGGATCCCTGGAGCGGTCATGTTAACACCGATTGCGGGAGAAATGGCCGGTAAGGAGATGGCCTGCCAGCAGACATGGGACCGGCACAGTATGGGCAAAGCGGCTGGTAGCTCTGAAAGCTTTCCTTTTCTCCTTTTCCTTGTCCAGATTTTGTCCATATTACTGGTCCCCGTCAAAAGCTGATTTGGAAGAAAGGAAAGAAGAAAATTAAAAAGGCAAAAGAACCAACACAATCAGCCATACCTTACCGTTAAAATTTAGCTCCCTGGTATATTTTCCGTACGAGGTTTCAGCTGCCAGCATTCCTGCATCTGCCTTCTCTGTTGGTCATAGCTGGATTTCACACTATCGTGTGTCAAAACGCAGCTTGAAGCTTCGTAGGCGATTTTTTTCTTTATTCCCGGCGGCAGCCAGCCCTGGGCCAGCGCCACTCCCAGCGCACTGTCAACCCTAAACAGGATGCAGGGAGAGAGGGATCTAAGGTGACGTACTTGTATATGGAGACAGTGCGGAGCAGAGACACTGTGCTTCCACATGGGCTTTTATTCGGGGCATTAGAGAAACAAGGGAGGCACATGTACAAGTAAGCGGCGAAGTCGCTGGGACGCACACGGAAAAAACACTGTACGCACTATGTTCATACTATCCTGATGCTATTGGACGCGGCAGAGGAACATGAGCAGGCGAGGGCTTCCGTTACGAATGGGAATTCAGATGCGTATCCGCGTTGCAGGGATGCAATTTCAGCAAATTGGCCACCACGGATTCCACAAACCCCAAGTCTCATGTGGTACCGCTTGCATGTAACCAGCCGCATACTGGCAGCGACAGGTGGTCGTGGTCTAGTGATGTGAGTTGCCATATCGACATGCCGAGTAGCACATGAACCCGTCATAGAGGGCACCGAGGCATATGGAGCACATGTGCCGTTTTACAAGAAGGGAGGGGGAGGGAGCGGGCTGGTTCCGTTACAGGCTTGCTTTCGATGCGCATACTGCTAATAACAACGAGGCCCAGAAAAATAAAGTAGAGGGCGTTGTACAGCGCCTGGCTCACGCTTTTGCCCTACCGTCGTCTAAACTCAGACGGGATAGGGAAATATGTCAAAGGCTTGAAACGATCAAGACAAGAACTTGTGGTACAGTTGATAGCGTAGCGATGAAATCGGCGGTGGAGATGTGCGTTTTGCGGCGCCGTTTGCTTGTTACGGGCGTTTTGGGGTCGCAACACGTACCGCGGCCGTCATATATTTTGGGAGGCTGAAATATAAATAGGCGTGCCAAGGCGCAGCATAATGACGAAAGGAGAGGCCAAAAACTTGCTTGAGGTGCTGCACAGGCGATGAGATGACGATGATGGCCCCGTCCGTTCTGGGACGGATAGGCGCTTCTTTGTACTTTTGGGCTGGCCCTGTGGCCTGTGTCTCATCAACACATGGGGAAGGGGGGTTGCCCAAATCGTCGAGATTGGCGCGGGGAAGCATTTTTGGCGGCGGCAGTAGCACTAGGCAGAGCAGTCAGCTAGCTAGCTGGCAGGCAAAAAAAAAAAAAAGCAGAGGTGGTGTGGTGGTGGTGGAGGTTATCGTGATGAGATCCACCCAAACGGTCATAGGCGTACGTCAGGGCTTGCTGTTGGTGTTGCCAGGCCTGCTGCCCGTCCCCCCGCAGGAAGCCTTGCTTTCAAGGCGTGAGGGCCTGTGTGTTCTCACCTCAGAACTGCCCCATTGATGCCTTGATTTTTTTTTTGTAGCACATGTATGCTATTTTCGAGTCGGGATACAAGGCGTTCAGGTTGCTCTGCAGCTTTATATGGCTGCCTACCGGTGCGCGCGCCAGAGCTGAGCTGTGGCCATGCTTTGATCGTCGTTGCTGCACTGGTTACAGGGTATTGCTACAGCCTCCACAGGCATATGCAGGCCGCTATAGCTTCAAGCTTACCCTTGAACTGCCGATGAGCGGCTATACATTGCTTGGGATCTGCTCAGAAAGATGGGCAGAACAAACATGAAACACAGACTGGAATACAAAAATAAAACTTACAAAGAAATTAATTCATACACAGCCTGCTTAGCGACCCGATTACCTCTCCAACCCTTTTTTCTTTGCCTCCCTCGCTAGCAGCAGAGCGCCCTGCCCTACCTGTGCTGCGTCCTTCGTCGTCTGCCGTACAGCACATCACGTATGTATGCACCATCCAACCTTTTTTTTTTTTTTTTGTTTTTGTTTTCCCCTTCTCTTTCTTCTCTCTGCCCCCACCCACCCCGGACGGCGTCGACGCCGCCGTGTTTCTCCCCCTGTTTGCCGTGCTAGAGGGGACCTTTACGTCAGGGCTGCACTGCGTCGACACCCGGCCGTCCGCCGCCAAAAACGTGTCCCCACCGGGCCGGGCTGGTCCCCTGGTCGCTGCTCCGTGTTCCGCACGGGGTCCGTACGGAGTACTCCTCTGGCTTCTCCGTATGAGGAATTCTGGCAGCCAGCGCAGACAAGAGGTTGCCCATTCTTACTGCCTGCACCCTGGCATGCACCCTTATCCGATACGGCGCAGGCTATACTTCAGCTAGCCAGATTGCTGCTCGAGGTGTCGCATCCCCCCCAAAAATCCTCAAACATTGCTGCAAAAGTGCGCGTACTTGCATATACAGGTGTGTAGTGTGTAGCATGTGGCGATGGGTACTTGAAATGCGTGATTCTGTACAGGAGAAGCGATATCCTTCCCTGTATCCTGTAAACCTTCTTTGTTCCTTGTTTATTTACTTTGATTTCATGTGTTTATACAGTCATGTTTACTTTTTCCTCTGCCTCTATCCGTTCTTGAAGCTCCAACGATTCAGGGCCCTCCAGGTTCAGAGTATCATATCCATTTTAGTATTAGCCCAGAAGGATATGCCCTTCAAAACATCCCAATCTCGCCTAGCGCCCAGTACCAGTCCCAGCGGCGACTTGGCTGCTCCCTGTAGGTACATTGCCTTGCCTTATACTTGTAGCAGTGCTACAGGCGCATTCCATAAATTTTATCAATGAGCTGCACCACTTGCTGTATATTGAAACATGCATTTGATACTCTCGTTGCTCGCCGGATATACTAATATCCTCGCAAGCCCTTCATCGGCAGTTGCTGTGAATACGACACACACATAGCGCTCATACACCAGACTTATAAGCCGCACATTTCGGCACAGTAGTCCTGCTGGCTGCTCAGCGGCCGCTGTCCCCTGCATAAATCTCCTCTCTCTCCGCAGTGGCGGCAAATGCCCCAGCACCCTCATCCACTCCCAACTTGCACTTGTCGCTGTTGCAGGCCCTGGGTTAAACTGCCGTAGCCTTAACCAACAAGCATTTTTTTTTTCTCTCTCGCTCTCGCTGGCCCCACCCGCAACTTTGAGCAACAATCCCTGCTTTGGCTCCCAAGGAAGGGAAGTAGACGCAGAGGTATACAGTAAAATACAGTGCGAATAGCAACCGCGAAATGTATTCGAGGCTCGCACATGCCAGCAGGGGATGGCCGCGCCCTCGCTCGTACTCTGTGCTGCACGCAGCCATCTTGCACCCAGCACCGACACGGAGTACTTGTGAGCGGTACTGAGCGGTACATTCTGTAGGACAGTGCAATACCCAAGGCAGGCAACAAGCCAGCGCAAGAAAGAGCAAGGCAACTTGGACCTTCTTTCCTCCCAAATCCTCCACCCCCCCACCTGCCTTCCCACCCCTCCCCTGTCGTGCCTTCCTAGTCCCACAGATTGCATCTCCACCCCCCTTTCAGATCCACGCTGGCTGCTGGCTTGTCTCTCTGTCGACATCATGGCTCCTGCTAGCTACACCCACTAAACCGACATCCAGATGTTGCTGCCACTTTTCGATGCATGGCGGCCACTTGTATCATCTTTTTTGCCTGCCACTTTGCATTCGTCTTTTGCTTCTTACTCGCAACGCATTTAATCTCCTCTTTTTTTCCCCCCTTGGCGCTGAATCGCCTCCATTCCATTCATCATCATTGCAATTGCTCCTTGTTTGCGCAAGATACCTGCTTGTACGCGTACGAGTCGAGTACTTCCAATCTCGAGGTACTGTACCTGTGTGGGAAATTCGCTGCCTCTACAAACACCTGGCCCTGCTGCTCGTGTCTCAAACTTGCCACAGAGCTGCTTTCAAACACAGCACCAGCCTTTTTACTTGCTATACATACAAGTGGCATTTCTCTTTTGCCTCCTCTTGTATTCTTATTCTTCCCCCCTCACCTCTCATCAGCGTCATCACCACCACCATCGCTTAGACAGTGGAAAAAAAAGCACAAATCACCTGGGGCCATACCCATACCTGGACATCTGACCCCATCTCCTCGATCAGAGACATTTACCTGCCAGGGCAGCACAAACGCATTCGCAAAATCCGCATCTGCCCACTCCCAATCTCTTCCCCTGCCCGCTGGCAGTCTGCAAACTTGTTTTTGGCCTTCGTCTTTGGCTTCTCCCCTCCAAGCAGTCGTCATCATCCCTATCAGTCCCAGCACCGTCTGCTGGCCGTTCTCCTCTCAGTCTTCTCCATACTCTCCACCGCGATTTGACCATAGCACAGCTCCATAACGGAGTTTTGGTGGTTCCCTGTGGGTTTCTCCCAAATGCTCGTCACTTAATTCAACTAGCCTGCAGCCCCCCCCGGCCGGTTCTTCTTCCTAGGGCCAAAAGCACTACCCTACTTCATCGCAGCAACCCTGTCGCCTCGGGCTTTACGAAAGGGACATTGGCCTGCCGATCACTTTGGCCCAGAGTCGTCACACCAGGCCAACCTGGGACCTCCTCTGGCATCCCGCTAAAACTGACGCACGTCAATTCACTGACCCGAGGACACACTTAAGACTTCGCTGATCCCACCTTGGTCCTCCCGACAAATCACTCCCAACTCCAGACGGGATCTTCTGTTATTTTGGACTGTGCTACCGACTTGGCAATCTTCTAGTCGGGATCCCGCATCTGATCAACAAACCTTCTTTCTACTCTCCCACGCAGACGCACCACACGCACGCACATCACCCAGAGCTGTCTCTTGTCCTTGAGCCTTCTCCTGATCATCACTTACACAAAGAGAAAGGAAGAGCAAACTCACCACAACCACGACAACACAATCAAATTACACACCGTTGAATTACACATTACACATTACACAAACACCAACATATCGACCAATCCAATACCACTCACTACTCCCAGCCAATCTTCACACTACATACACCATGACCATGACGCTGGACGCACCCCAACAGCAGCGATTTGGGCCCGTTATGAACTTTGACTACCCTCCTCACGGCCAGCAACCGGCCTTTTCAAATCCGTGGTCCTCATCACCTTCTGCCTCACAGACCGCCGCAGTATCAGGAAGCAGTCTCTACGTTGGCGGACCGGCGCCACCTCCTCTCAGTCACAGTCTCGTGGCCAAGCCTCACACCGCTCGCGCTCCCCTCTCCAGCGGACCTCCTTTACCATCCTACGGCTCATTGCCCGTCGCCACATCTGGAGCTGGTAGGTTTCTCATTCTCTTATATATATAATCTAGATGTACATGTATATGTGCAGCTGCTTACTTGTCTCATCATCAGATCTTCTCAGCATGAACCGCCTTCAGACCTCTTCTGCTGCCTATGCAGATGCCACCTACGCCACGACAGCCTCTCCCGTCCACGGCCACTTTGCACCTCATTCAGCTTCTGCATACGACACCATGGGCTATGCCCCGGCCCATGTACGACCTGCATTTGGTGCCCTCGGCCACGAATCAGATGCCTCGCGCAGATTTTCTCAACAGTGAGCCACTCCTTCGTTTGCTACTTATCAAGTTAAACATGACTGACAATTGCATCTCCAACAGCGTCCATACTGATGACCGAAGAGGCTTTGCTGAAGCTCTTGATGCCAGCCACGGCATGCTTGCCATGAGCCAAGAGACACCCAGAAACATCTATGGCCGCGACCGATCTTCTGTAGACTCATATGGCTTCCCGTCAACTCATTCGACCAGCTCCTCCGTCTCGTCATCTGGCGGCTTCGGCTCCTACTATGGCGACTCCGTCTCTGACTACTCTACTGCCGGCTCAGATATCGAGTCTGTTAGCTCGAGAACACTGCCTCGACCTCAGGGCATGATGTCCTCCTCAGTCCCTCCTGCACCCCAATCCATGATGGGCCAGTTCAGCTCCAAGGTCTCATCTAGCACACAGAAGAAGCACAAGTGCAAGGTTTGTGACAAGCGTTTCACACGACCAAGCTCTCTGCAGACTCACATGTACAGCCACACTGGCGAAAAGCGTAAGTATTCCGAAACAATATCCTCTGTTATACATGGTCTAATAGATATCATCAGCATTCGCCTGCGAAGTTGAGGGCTGTGGTCGCCACTTCTCAGTCGTCTCAAACCTTCGACGCCACCGAAAAGTCCACAGAGGCGACGCCCGATCTGAGGCTGGTTCAGAAGACCACCACTCAGATTAAATCTGATGTTTCTTTACCCTCCAAAACCGGACCCATCGATTGATTCCGGCTGTATTACTAGAACCTTTTATGACTGCGGCCTGTGTGAGGCCAAATCTTCAACCATTTTTTTTTCAGTCACCACCTCCCGCACATCAGCCATCTGTAGCAGCATAGAAGATGCATGAGATGTAGCTGCGGGAGCTGGGGAGTTGAAAAAATCGACCATCATTTCTAAAGATTTAATTGGTACAATACTCAGACTACGACTTCATCTCACGACACCAAATTAGAGGATGCGGGTTCAAAAGAATCCCGAGGTTAGGAAGGGAATTTTTTTCTTTTTCTTTTTTTTTTTTTTATTCAAGAGATGGTACGGCTATGCGCATGAATTTTCGCTACTTGTCAGGGATACCAGTGCGTTGCATTGCGAGATCACATCAAGAGGCCTTTTGGCTGATGTGATGCTCTCAACCTTTTCCTTTTGTTGATGTTGTTTATTTTCCTTCTGAATTTCTTTTTTTTTCTTTTCTTTTTGGTTTCTGTCATTTACGGCTTCATTTTATCAATTTTCTTTCTACCTTGGTTGCTTGCTGGAATGGCGACTCTTTATTTTTTGGGCTATGATCTCGGCTGGAACGATGGGATACACGAGCCTTTCCAGTCTGGCGTTTTGGCTGTGGGGGCACTTTATCTCAAGGGGATTATTTCTTTCTTAGTATGGAATTTGTGTCAACGTTCATCCTCGCCAGCCTTCCATTATGGATTACGGATGGAAGCAACTTGGGGCTTGATATCATCGGCACAAGTGGGAGGGATGGAAAATATGGCAACCGAGCGGCTTTTTTGCTGTTGTTTAGTATTGTATAAATAGGCCCTATCTCACGGTGACGATATACCCATTCGATAGCATTGTGAGTCTATTGTTGAATACACTAAATTCATTATCACTCAAGTTCTTCTCTTCTGTCCCCTTTGGTTGTGAGCTATATTTTTTGAAGCTATATTGAGTAGGTAGGGTTATCGACAGAACGCACTGCTGCATGGTCCCTGCCGATCACTGGGCCAGCTACCCTCACACGACTCATGGTACAGTAAGAGCTGCTAAGAGTAGTTGGTGGTTAAGGAGAGGTGGAAACCGGCAAGAGAGCAACTGGGGTTTCTTACGGCGACGATCACGGCGAGGATGTCCCAAACAGGCGGGTGAGGTTTGGCGGAGCAGCCGAATCATATGCATTCGCGGGCTTCTGTTGCGACTTCGTGTTGACAGCGGACGGGATCGACACATAACACGCGGGAGAAGCATTCGTCTCTGGGGAACCCGCAGCTGCCTAGCTTCGCGCTTACATGTAAGCTCTCTCTCTCTGTCTGTCTGTCTCTCTCTCCCTTTCTTTCTCTGTTTATAGCATGTTTGCAGGCTTGAGCTGAGTCTACGCACGCTACACCATCCAAGGGGAAAGGGAAAAGTGGAAAAAGGAGAACATGCATACGCGATATGTAGGTTGGATGGAGCATGGGATAGCGCTGGATTGATTTGATATTTGATATCTGCTCTCCTTTCTCCTTTCTCCTGCTTTTCTCATTTACCAATCGTCTTGATGGGCCAGTTCTGTGGAGATGTGATAGGAAATGTCGGTTGAGGCTAATACTGCTACTGTACAAGTAGGTACTGATAGGACTTGTTGACCACGATATGAAATTCATTCGAGTATATATGACTTCTCGGATGCATTGGAGAGAGCACGACATATTCACAGGACGATCACTTCCTCAAGTTGGAATAGAACGCGCGTTTCAGAATCGAATATCATTGCTAATTATGGGATAGGAGGGATCCAAGCATATGTTGTTAAGACCGGACAAGCTTTGTGGGGTTTGCGAAGGTTGTGACTTGGCTACATGCTGCCAAGCAAATAAATTTGGAGAATGAATGGTACATGCAAGGGTGATGATATTTGGAACGGGTTTGTGTGGATGGGATTATTTTGAACACACAAAAAAAGAAATGGGCTGCATGGGTTATCTGGCGGCTGAAGCGAAGCGAGGGTGGCGGGTTTCTCTTCCGGAAACCCGTTGATTTGCTTCATTTTGATATATGGAGGAACTTTGGGGAGTGGTGGGTATAGTGATTTTCTTTTCATATACCTGCAAGCGGTGTTTGGAAAAAAAGAAGGTGTGGTGATATCGAAGATTCTGCAGTTGAACGGTGCCATGAGGACGGCTCCTTTTCCTTTTTTTGAATGAACGTGACGACGAAGAGGAGGAGGGAGGAAGAGGGGAAAGAAGGAAAGACGGGACCACATTTGTAAAGGATCGACAATGGGCTTTACTCTCTTTGATGCAACAGCAGATGTTGCTTGTTTCCAAATGCATACGCTGATTATCGAGATGGGCTCTTGGAGGCTATGATGGTCTATGTATATCTCCCGTTCGCCGGTCTGGGGGCCTTTTTTTTTTCGGGTGGTGATGTGCAGAGGAGAAGACCAGAATTGGATTTAGGCAGTGCTATTGCCTTTGAGGGCTAATATAGTATATAGGCCTATTATTGAACACTGCGAGAGGCCTTTTGCCTTTGCTCAGCCGCGGTAGGCACACACACACACACACACACACATGTGTTATTGGGGCTATATGATGATGCTATTTACGGTGAAGGTGGGAGGAGCCCAAACTATAAGCCAGATATGTATGATGACAGCGGGCATGAGTTTGCTGCGGTGAGAGAGGAGTTTTTGCGTCTGCGTGAGGATGGCGATCCCATTCCGTCTATTTTTGATTTCAGGCCTTTTTGCGTGTAAGTGGTGGTTTTTGTTGATGTTATGATGCGTTTTTGGGCATGTGCCGCCGGGGCTGCCTCACGATGATGTGAGGTTGCTTTCAGCCTCGGCCTTGCTCATTCTGGGTATAGGTGCCGAACGCCTCGGTCTAACCAAAGTTCCCAAACGTTTATCAGAAAGAGATGGAAACATGATGCCGTCACCGTTTTGAAAATCCGGTTACTGCCCGTTTCTTCTTTTAAAAAGAAAAAGCCACGACGAAAGTGGCGTTTGAAAGTTTTTTGCTAAGGGTAGCGCAATTCGCACTTTATTTTGGTGGCGCAAGATGGCGCCGCCGCGAAGACGCTCTTTGGTAACGGGAAGGGCAACAACGTGACGTTTTGTTTAAGCGGCGATTTTTTGTTTATACGTGAAAGTACTTTGTTTTCTCTCTTTCAGTGTTTCATATCGTAATAAAGAAATACAAATATTTATTTTTTCATGCGATTTTTTTTGGGGGCGAGGTAGTTGTAGCGTAGTATTGTGTCAGAAGAAGCACATATCGGCGCCCAAATTTATTATCCGTATGGCTGTACCATTCTAATGAAAGGATAAGAGCTACAAGCCGTCAAGATGAATGCTGCCAGAGACAACCAGAAGACAGCAGGCTACACACTTGAGCTACGCAGAGCACACTGTACTACACTGGAAGCAAGAAAAAGTATACAGTGCCTCTCCCAAAAGGGAGCCCAGGTGATTGTGTGGGCTACAACAACCTTGGAGAGCTAGCAAAGAAAGCGAACAGGGATCAGGGGGCGTGTGATTAAAACAAGCTTTGCCTGCGTTTGCATCCCGACAACTGCTACGGTATTCCATGTACCAGGCCAGAATAGGGGGCTGTTTTGAGGGTTTCTTTGCACTCTGGCTGCGAAGTGACGTCTGGTGATACCAGATGATGGGAAAGGTCTTGGCCGCGTATCTTTAATCTTGTCATCTTTTGGGAGCAAATTTGGAGGAACAGAATAGCTAGCTGTAAGCGAAACAGCCCTTTCATTGGGCTTTCTCCTACCAAAAGTTGGTGGAGCGAGAAGAACTAGAAAGCCCGCTAAGCATCGCGGCCACCAAAAATCGAGGCTACCACAAAGTCCTACTCGTACGGATGTCATACGAGAAGACTCGCATGGTCACGACATCTCATCTGGGGACTTTAATGACAAAAACTCGTACTCGAGATTACTACCTTCTATAAAGCAACAAGAGATTATCGGCAATGGCGCTCTCAGCTGCCACGGCTACTACCCTTTCAACCTTTGCCCTACTTGAAGAGGAACGTCGTGCTAAGGAATACGATGAAAATTCTCCGCTGTATGCCCCGAGAGGAAGGCGACCTCTTGTTGCGTATCCAGCTGTGACGAAATGAATGTCACTGGAGGAGGAAGAAGCTGGCCCGGCGGCAAGGGTACCATAGCACAAAGTAAACAGTAGCAGTACAGAGTGGTACCACCAACGGGGACCCCTGTCAGAAAGGCTGAGAAGATCAATGGGTACAAGAAGTTTGAAAGAAAACGTCCAAGAGAATCAAGCATTTAACAGAGTGTGGGCCTAAAAAGCTTCTTTTCGTTGCCTCGACCAGGACGAAGATTTGGTGAACGAGATATAACCACCTTCCTGTCTGGGCGGGTTCGTGATGCCCGCACATGTAGTGCTGATAATGATCATGTCGATTAATACTCAGGTAGGGAGGTAACACAAGTAAGCATGAAAAGAAAACAATGTATGAGTAAGTGCTAGCATCGACTCTCCATCTTTTTCTCTCTTTTCCCTTTAGTGGATGAAGGCCACTTACACCGACAATTTTCGCATTGTTTTAGTGCTGCTTTTTTGATCTTTCTGTCCACAACACATTATTTTAAAGCCGTGCTACCGCGAAAAGGGGAAGTGGAAATTTTAAAAATCGGGGGAAGCGAACCAGGGGATGATGGGGGGGGGAAAGCGGTTTTTTTCCTTTTCCCATCATGTTCAGGGGATGAGCATAATAAGATGCATCGGATCGCATCGGATCGTCGTTATCCAGGTTAATGCGGTTATTTTGCTGTCTGGTTTGCTGCTGGCGGCCTATTTGCGGTTAGTATCACCAGAGGGGCGTGAAAATAAGTCCAAAGATTTCAATACAAAAAGAGCTGGTTAATATTCATGCCGAGGCACGGTGGGACCTCTTTTTGATACTACCATCGTTGTCCAGCGAGTCCTTTTTACACTACAGTAGCACCAACTGTGCTATGGATGCTAATGTAATTCTCCGTCCTATGTGGACCATTCTGCTCAAATGCTTTAAAACAAAGTAGCGTACAGTATCTACGTGGTACTTCTCCACAAATAACGGGACGATGCAAAGAAATAAGGAGCAGAACGAACAAACGGCTCGTCAAAAATCAAAATGCAAAACCGGATTTCAGCCAGTAAACTTGCATCTCAGCACCTCTCACTTCTTCCTGCCACTCACTAGCAGCAAAACAGGGACAGCGTCCAAACACAGAAGGTGCGCCTTGTGGTGCTCTTTCCCTGCTGAAAGGATGGCGATGGAGCAATTGACGTCAGCGGCTGCGGCACAAGGGTCTTGTACATGCGCTAAGGACACCCCACATAGTATGGATCCCGAAACGTCATTCTATGGCGCCGTCATTGGGCGAACTTGTTCATTGCAGGATTGCGCTGGGCTGGGGGACGCATCTCGCTGCGGATCCCGGAAATACTTTTGTGTGTTTTGGTCTTGCTCTACTGTATGAGAATAACAAAGTTACAGAGGACACTACAACGCTGCTGTATAATTCGATGCGTTGGTTGGTGTGTAACGGCATAGCACGGTGCTGCAAATCTGCGAGATGCAATGAATCTACAAATGCCATACCGCCCCATCCCAGCTGGAGAAACGCCCATTCTTTTTTTTTCAATCAAGATGCTAGCTTCCCCTTTATGCATTTCAGATCTACCTGTCTTATGCGCTGGCCGATGCGGCTGCGAAGTACAAGTAGGGATATTACAAAAATTAAACCCGTATATTAAATATGTGACAGCGCGAATGCACTGTGTGCGCGCACCGTGCTGCAGCAGATTCCCGAAAACGTGCTAACAAAGTACCGCAAGTACCTGCGGGGCCTGCGCACAGTGCGTCCCTGAAGCAACGGCCAGCGAGGTACATGCGCTACAAAGCTGGAGTAGAAATGCGGTACTTCCACTTTTGCGTACAGTGGACGGGCAGCTCCACCAGAGCTCCAGCGCAGGCAGAAAGGCACTGACATGCGCTGTATTTCTCCGCTTTCCCAGTGCCACAGCGCCGCTAACAGACCCGGCTCAGTCCCTAGCGGAGGCGTCAAGCTGGCGAAACTTGGAGCCACGATTTGATACTGGCAGCCAATTGCTAACGGTGCCAGAGTTGCAAACGAACTTTTTAGCTCAACGGCGCCTCTCCCATGTGTCAGGGCGTTGCCACTGACGCGTCAAGTCTTGGCGGCTGCTGTACTTGGAGCCAATGGCCATTTACCGTTTCTACAGTCGGAGCCACGCTCTCAGTGGCTTTTCAGCCATTTCGCTTCGTTCCTTGTTCTGCAAGTGCCTCGTGTCCAATCAACCCACTCCAGCGATTCTGTGGCGCCCGTTTCGAAGGTTTCGAAAACGGGCTCGAAGGAAAAAGAGGATATTTCTGAGAGTAATTTAACGTTTTGATATTATGACGGTGGGTTGTGAGTATACACAAAAAAAAAGTTCTTTGCTTCTTTTTTCGGCTGAATTTCCCGCTCCCCTTGCCACCACCATCATTTGCCGTTTCATATCAAGACAGAGATGGAAACGGCGAGCGGCTTTGATATCGATATGCGCACACTGTATTGGACAGTATCTGATATTCTCAGGGATACAGTACACTATTCCATAGAATATTCCAAAACGTAGAAGCATTTTATTTTATTTTATTATTTTATCATTCTTTTTAGAGACTGCCATGTGCCTAGTGATTATTCTCGGCTGTTTTACTATAGCAGCATCAAGGGGTGTAAAGAATAAGAGGGAATTCTAAAATAATCAGCACGCATTTCTCAACTTTACACACTACAACAACACTAGAGTTATCTCGCACAAGGTGCTAGATAACTTTTCCTTCAATAATTAATATTTATATTTCAAATTTGTGTATTAGTTTTATTTTGCGGTCCCTATTTGTCTTTGCACCCTTGCAGCATGTACATAGATTGCGCGTCTCTTTTCACTTCCTCCATGGCGGCTAAAAATAAATCTGTAACACACTAAAGCATGGGGGCTATTTGCCCATCGTTTTTGCTACTTTCGCACCACTCGTGCCACGCGTAATAATACGTGGTTCGAAATGCGTAGCTGTGCTTGGCCATTATCTTGTTAGATTGCTTTAATAAAATCCCCTGCCAATGCTTGAATTGTGTTGGTGGTGCATGCATTGCTCCTGTCTGTCCTCTTTACAGCATCTTGTTGAAATACACAACACAAGACAGATGTAAAATGCGTATCTTGTTAGCCTCGCCCTCTTCTCCTTCTTGCGACGAGCATAACCTGATTTTCCACAATCATCGTCCGAGCCACTCTTACCGACAGAGTCAGAGGTCTGTATCACATCCATCTTTGCGTCTCGTATCAGAAAAAGTGGGCGTCACAACCTTCCGCTATTAGCACCACTTATTACTTGTCTTGTCACATTTTCAACTTGCATCCATTATCTATACACACACTTCTCTCGTGTAGGTATCTATCTCTCAACTCTCATTTCTTACTAGAATCGAAATTTTAAAATTCCCCTTCCACCTTGTAAGCGGAATAATGTAGACTACCCCATATTAATCAAGCAATCCCTCTTCATGATCCCTGTTAGTTTTTTTTGCGCTTGGACGCTCTTTTTTCTTCCAAAACTGCTTCGCCCCTTTCGGTAGGTCCGGGGCATACCTGTATCTAGGAACCAAATTGGAAAGATACAGGTACAGACAAGGTTGTCCCCTGGCTAGAGCTAAAAGAATAAGATGTCGCCTGTTTGATGACAGCCGGAGATATTTCGACTGGCGGCCGACGAGCGGCTTCTAATCTACACACTATTTTTGCTGACACCGTTGGATCTCACCAGGGCCTATGCTTTTTCTTTTCCTTTTTCTGTCTAATTCTTCTTGTACTTTCGAGATGCTGAATTTGCATTCAAGCATCATCCTTTCCCTGGCTAAAAAAAAGAACATGGGTGGAAAAAAAAAGAAGACTGAAGCGACCCGCTGGTATAAGCTTTTCTAGAAATGAAGTAATCATATATTACTGTCGAGGTGAATTGGTGTCTCTCTTGAGATTACCATCCGTTTTTGGCTAATTGATCAATTTGTTTAATCTGTATACTCCTCTCCAGTCTCTAATAGTATTCTTCACTTGCACTGGAACTAGGAAGTTAGCTGACTACCTAACGTAACGTCGTCTCAGGTGATGCACATGAAATGAAGATTCTTGGCCCCAGCGATAATGAAACCACAATGGGAGATCAAGTGACACATGAAGAGATTACTTGGAGAACATACCGTGATTCTTGTAACGTAGTAGCTGCCACAGATGAACATAATCCTTCAAGTCTATTCACATGGCGCCATTACATCTCTTTGTGTCCAATCTCAGCCATTGTAACGCTGTTCAGCAATTTACCGTTTTAGAGATGCGAGCAGGTCAAATTCAATGACCTACTCCGACTCCATTTTCACAGACAGCTCCAAGGCGTAGGGATTGTCATTGATTTTGCGCTGGCCAAATGGTGCACATGGATATTCTCATCACGCATAGACGGGCATTGATACGATACGGGATATCTGAGATACTCTTTGAAATTATTGTAGGAATAGCTGGCACTGTGCTAATGTAGTTTTGTAAATCAAGTAAGAATGGAGATTGTTTGGTAATGACTTCTTTGGAAGCACCCGTAGAGCGAATTGAGAGGTGGCTTTGCGCCATCTTCACATTGAGTACTCGCATGTATACAGTTTTCGAGAAGATTGAAATGGTTGTCTCTTATAATATAACATCCAGCCATGTCTTGTTCCATGTACATATAATACTTCTGGCTGTAAACATCACCCATTCGATTGAAGAACGCTCCAAAAAGGTCATAAAAAAAAGCTCATGTACCGCTACTCTTGCCAAGTAGAAAGAGCATTGAATTGAACGTCACGACTCTACGAGATGAACCTGAATATTCATTTCATACATCCAACAACATTTAATCTATTTACATATACTACTTCTAGCGGCAATCTCATCATCTCGATCAAAGTATCCTTTGTGGGTTGCAATAAACGCCCAAGTTATCGCTACTCGTGCAAATTAGAAAGAACATGGAAATGCATGTTACGATTCTACAGGTCGAATCCCATCATGAACCCAAAGACTCATTTCAAACATCCAAATAACATTGTCTTCTGAACACCTCTCGCGAGACGCATTACTATTTAATAATTCTATTCATCGTCAACCAAGTCATCTTTGCTCACATCAGGCGGCTCCTATTCTATCCCTCCCCGTGAAAATCCTTCACTGGTGAACCGTCTTCCACCATCTCCGACTTCACGATAACTACCCATCTCATTTCCTGACTCAGTAGAAAAAAAAAAGATCCATTGACTTTCCTCGTAGCTCCATTCCAAAATAAGAGGGGAAAAAAAAGGCAAGATGACACAAATATCGAACGATGACAGTCTTTGTGTCGGAGACTGTCCGAAATTTATTATACATAGAATAAAAATTTGCAAGTAAAAAGAGAGTCAAGGGATATAATAACGTGGAATGAATCCGGGAAACAAGGTTGGACGCAAGAAGCGTCTATGAGGGAAAAGCGGGAAAAAAAAGTAGACGGGTTAATAAATATTAACCAGTGGTCATGATCTCGTAAATGTGAAAACGAAAGTTTTTAAAAAGATGTAACATATTAATGAGGGTCTTTCGCAGGAGGTAGATGTTGGCGGTCAATCGGTATTTCCGTATGCATATCCCGTCAAGCGTTTTCCTCGCATTAAGAGAGCCATGATAAATATGGCAGGTCGCTGAGTCGCCCTCTCTCCTATCGTCCTTTTGAACATTCTCTTTCTTTTGTAAGTCTTTTGATGTATTATCAAGTCTTATCCAAACGCCGGACGCTGAATCAGAAATGTATGCTGAAAAATTCATTCGCTTCTGGGCAATCTTTGCCTCATACCTGCGGGGCCTCGCCAGGTCGACTCCTCTCGAGTTGCTCCAGCAGTTCACGCGGAGGGACCCGTTGAATGCCGCTTCCACGATCGTACATGGAGGTTGGTGCTGGCGTATATCCTTCGCGCTTCTTGCGTATCCGATCAAGGATTATTCCTGAAGCGACTAGGATAAGAATGAGTGCCAGTGCAATGGCAAGGCCGATCAGAACGACGAAAACAAGTGCCAGGTGTTTTTCTGTTGAGCAACGTGTTAGCAAGAAACATCAAGGTGAGATATAATTGTGGCAAAAGAAGAGAGAATGAACATACTGCTAGGTGTAAAGAAGTTATCCTTTTGCGAAAATATCTTCGCAATACTTCCAGCTCCAGTATCGGTGCTGGTCAGAGCAAAAGGGAGGTAATCGGTACCGTTGTAAATGACTGCCGAAGCCATTCCAACATTGGCAAAAGGCATAGAACCAGTGAGCATCAATACTTGCTGATCGTCAAGAAGATTGGACGAGGCATGAGCTTTGGTGACTGTAAAGACCTGCAGACTCTGGATAGTGCTGCCCTGAGGAGGTGGCACATCAGGGCTCTGCCATTGTTTACCGTCGTATTTCATGATAAAGGCAGATCCATTCGGCGAGTTGCCCGAGACCCAAATTTGACTATTGTCATTTGAGCCGGCTGTAATGGCATTTACAGGGCCGGGGATCTGAGTGGCACCTGCAAAGTCCGTCCAACTCTGTTTATCGGCGTCGTAAAGGGCAAGGAATCTTGTGTCGGTACCGTTGGTACGGAGATCACCGCCAGCAATCAATTGAGTCTTGCTGTACCACAGGAAGCTGCTAACTCGCCCAGCCAAAGTGGTGCCGGGCCTGGACCACTGAGCAGTGTTGGTATCATACGTACAAACACCGGGGCAGTCCAACGCGCCCGCTTTCTGGAACGAACCGCCTGCATAGACGTCTGTAGTATCCGGTCGAACGGTGACGACGGAGACTGTGTGGTTTCCGCCCGATAGAGACGCAGGTTGCTGCTTGGAGAAGGACTTGGATTCAATATCGTAAGCGATAAGTCCACCAACACTGCTGCCATCAACAGTGCCAGTGACGTTACCGCCAGCGTAAAGGACGCTCCCAAGAAGAGTAACGGAGGTGAATACCGACTCGGAGGATATTCCGGATCCGAGCCCACTAATGGTGCCATTGTTTGACCCATCGACGAGTACTAGGTTATTAATGGTAGTGCCGTTGGGAGATTGGGCTGAGAAGTGGCCCGCAAGGACTGTGATATTGCTGCTGTTTCCGGTATAAAACGTGCCTGTGAGAACGCCTGACGTGGGCTCGGGAGAGAGGTCACGTCGTCGCTTGTTGCTTGACGATTGCACTCTGGGCTGAATGTCGACTGGAAAGTGGCCAATACCTTTATCAGACAAAGTGACGGCGCCATTTGCTCCCAGTTGTGAAGACTCCATGGAGCCTGCAAACAGGGAGCTGCCACTGGTGAGATTAAGTTGAGAAGCAGTGAGCATGCCACCAAAGTCGGGATTTTCACCTTGTAGATTCTGTAGCCAGTTCCCTTCCGATAGCATCCAAACCGCAAAGCCGTCAACAGACACCGCCTCGAAGTTGCCAAAAGCCCCACACTCAGTGAAGGAGCCCGTCAAGGCGATGGCATTTTCGGTAACGGTGCTAATATTGACTTGGAATGCCACAACCTGCTCGACCCTGCCGTTCACACCTGCGCCCAGTGGGTTCCAAGCCTGACTCTTGGTGTCATACACAGCGACGTGGTTCAGACCGCTCCTCCCCTTGGTTCGCAAGTTTGTAAAGTCTCCTCCCACAAATAATTGCGTGTCTTGAAGATACATGTCCAGCACTTGGCCATTGAGACCTCCATTGATGTCCATAATTTTGCCGCTGGTATCGATGGCGACAAAGTTCTGGTGCGCATCCGAAGTGAAGTTACCGCCGATAAAGGTCACATTTCCCGATGTTGCTAGGGAGTTGACGCCAGTATTCTGATCGAAGCTTGCGCCAAGTTGGTTGACCGGCGAATCGTCCAAGCTGTCCGCACTAATCTTCGTCTTGCTCGGGTCGAAATCAAAGAGACCGTTGAGGTTCCCAGTCGAGTTAAGAAGGGTGAACCCAACCTTTTGAGCTACAAAGGTCATTTCGCTCAGATCCTGTCCGTCAAGGGGGGTAAGTGTGACTTTTGGCTTGAATGTATCCGACGTCTTTTCAATGTAGCCGAAATAAATTTGATCATATTTATCAAAGTCGTTGGTTTGGAAGATTGAAGTAGTGAAGTCTGACTGAATAGTGCCAGTCGACATGAGGCCGGTAATGTTAACGCGACCTCTGGTCTGGCACGAGCCATCTGCTATGCAGCCTGGAGTATACATGTTGACGGAGTAGTTGCCAGATTCGATAATGTTGGGTACGAAAACAACGGATGCAGATTTCGAGGTGATGGGGCTGGAAAGCCGTGCCGTCAGATATTTCGAATCGCTTTGTAGAGAAGCCGACTGCTTGAAAGGCCCCGTGGAGGTGGCGCTAGAAGGGAAAGTGGTGTTGCAGGACGGCTGGTTGAACGAGTTGACGGCAAAGGAGAAGATGTCATCTTCAAACAATTGCACGCTGTTAAGACCGGCTCCTTTTCCATACCAGGCTGAAATGTCAATCTGGAAAGAGTCCATGCCAATCCTATTGACGAAATGGAAGTCTTGAAATTTCACTTTGGGGTCGTTGCTTAGCGGGCACTCGCTTGTACAGCTCGAGTTTTTGCCAGTCGCAGGATCGATATAGGTGAAGTTCATGATGCCGTCGAGCGGCAAAGCGACGAAGCGGAATGTTTTTGTGCCCCGTCCATCTTGATGCGTATTCCAAAGCCGCAACTTTGTGGGCTCAAATCCAAAGTCGAAAGTCGCCTGCCATGTGCCAGGAGTCTCATCCTGCAGCAACCAGGTCTTACCGGAACCGTTGGACCCATCGGAACAGACAACGCTCTTGGGGTCATTGAAACCTTTGGTGGTTGCGGTATTCTCAGCCGAGATGTTTGCCGTGGACAGATTGATAGCCTGGCCATCAAGCTTATTCGGAGCAGTCACGTTGCCTAGACCAGTGAAGCTTCCGCCGAAAATAACATGGCCGTTGCTTGCCTTTGTAATGGAGCTAACGGGGGCATTGAAGCCGGCAAAGGGAAGATTCGTCCAGCCACCGTCCACCTTCCACGCAATGGCATTTGTCGAATTGCCCCCTTTCAGATTTCCACCAATATACACAATTCCCTTGGAATTATCACACAATAGAGCGTTGACTTCGCCTTCCAGTCCTGTAAGTGGCGTAAAGGTTGTTGTGTTCGCATTGTAGATGGCGATGGCCGTTGACTTGATGCCGTCCATGCTCGTAAAATTTCCTCCAAGCACCACGCCCTCGGCGCCATCTTTGAGTGTTAGTGAGCACATGGCCAAGATAGACGCGTCGGTTGCGGCAATGGGAGCGAGGACGCCATTCGGCAACTGTGTGAGCAGATATTCGCTGCCATTTGTGCTCAAGGGCTGTGCAATCTGCTCCTGGAACTGATAGAGTGAGATTCCGTTGTAGTCTCCGGCAATGCCTATGCTGCCCAGCTGTGAGAAATCGAGGTCCGCGGCAGGAGCTGCAGTAATATTAAATGCGGATGTAATTGAGGGGGCAAAAATTGCGAGAGACGCAACAGCCGAACTGATCAGCCGAGGGCGTCGCGCCGGTCGGCGTCGTTGTGAAGATAATCGCATGGTGAGGGATCGCGCCGCGTTAGGGGGAGACGTCGAATCGATAAAAGGACAAAGGAGAGGCGGAGAGTCGCAGATTCCGGGCGACAGACGGCGCGAGCGATGATCGAGACGTCGGTTTCGACGGAATGCGAATGAGCATCTGGGGTGCAGAGAGGCGGGAGTGGGTTGAGGCTATCGCATCACGATGTGTTTGATGTTTCGATGCTCGATCGCGGAATGAAGTAATCGATCGCGAAAGATCGACGAGGCTGACGACGAATTATGCTAAAGGAAAAAAAATCGGGTATCGCAGGGAGGAAACGAGCGTAACAATTAATTTCAAGCCGAATCAGCAGGGCCGGGTATCCTGTATAGTAAAATGCTGTAGCGGTATCTCGTCGCCGGCGATGAGTGATGATGGACTGAATTTTCGATGGAGCGAAGGCGAAGTGGCTGGTTGGGCAGAAGCATGAAAGCACCAAGAATGCGGGAAATTGCTGGCCGCCGCTGTGATGGAGCAGCTGCGAGGGGGGCTTAGCCTTATAAGGTTAGTGGCATTGGGCGCCGACAGCGTGGTGGCTCCAGGGCAGTTTTTAGCCTTTGGGTGCTATAAAATAGCACCAGGAACGGTTCCTGTTTTCTGGACTTGAGGCTGCGTGCACAGTGATTCTCTGCGACGACACAGCAAGTCTCAGTGCAGTGAAAGAAAAAGAGTGACAAAAACGCCAGTGTTGGGCGGTGTGGTGGACCGGAAGCCAAGCGAGATTGTGCTCGACGAGACGGTGCTGGTCCGACTCAGCACGGCGTGAGCGAGGCTGAGTGCTGAAGTGGCCGCGTGTGCGAGGGCCGTTGAAAGCTTCGAGTGATGCCACGGCAAGCAACGGCGTGGTGCAACAGTCCGAATCGTCGCTGGTGAATGGGATGCCGCGGCCAATCGGGCGCTCTCTTTGGGGCGGTGCGTCGTGCAGAGTATCACTGAAGTCGAGCGCTTCGTGATTGACGAAGCGAATGCAAGGTACAAGGTGCTACAGTAAAGTATCGTGAGATGAAAATGTGGGTATACGAAGTATTGCAGGGGGAGCAAAAAAGGAATGGCAGAATCTGAATGGACGAGCTTCGAAATAAGCAACAAACAACTAAAAAAGATGGACGATTCCCCTCAGCTCCGTAAAAGACGGCTCTTTTGTGCTGCTTCCTCTCGGAAACGAGAGAGAGAGAGACAAGATCAAAGAGAAGAGATCAAGAGCCACTGGCGGAGCGATACCCCTGGCGGCATTTGTGATTGCGAGATGCATCGGAGCACGGCTCTGTCTACGGCTCGCCGTGCCGCCCTGCGTTCCTATTCGCGGGATGCTTCGTTCATATCATGCCAGGGGCACAAGGCGTCGGTCCACTCTTGCTTGGCTCAGGAACTCCCCAAAAGACGAAACAAGAGCTTACCAATGGGGTATAATGTGAAGCTTTGTTTTATGTACGGGCCCGGCTCTAAGCTGTTGAAACTAACTAGAAGAACACACGAGAATTTGGTAGATAACCTATTATTAGTTTTGAGCTGAAACGGCACCATGAAAGTTCAAGAGGTTTCCTCCTGGGGACGAGTATTGGATAAAGAGCGCCTGCGGAAGACAGCCGAAAATAGTCGTAGCACCAAAATCCGAGCACTCGCTGAGATCACCAGATGCCTCTGATGAGAATGCTACTGTGCTATTAAAAGTGCACAGCTGTCAAAGTCATCACGCTCGCCTTCGCTTCCGCGGCCCTGCTGTTGGTTGGCTAAAGCTCAGAAGCTATGGCTACCTCCGTCGCGTGCTCATGTCACCGTTGGCTATTCATATCTCGACTTTTTTTGTTTGCTGTTGCAAGGCCGAGTCTGTGCATGCCGCTGCGTTGACACCAAGCCGCTCATCATACCATACGATGACAGCTCGGGTCCGTTTATGCTCCCACCACCCAGCGAATCCCTCGACCGAGTCTCCCCTCGACGCCCCGTGGACTAGTTTCGGTGCTGTCTCACATCGTCCTGGCTAATTGTCTACGGAGAGATTGCTCGACTTTCATTCCAGTCCCGCGATTTGCATACAGTTGAAATGTATATCGTGTGAAAGCATCGTGGTTATGGGAAGCTCAAGTATGGGGTTGGCTAAAGACACAAAACACCCGTCGCCGCAGACTCAATCTATAGATAGACAGCCCCAAAACAAACAAACGTGTGCCATGGCAACCAGTGAGGCCTCTAGTCATTTTTGCAGAGTGCAAAGTACTTACCATCGCAATGGCCGACCTTACTCTTTGCCTTGCTGCGACGCCCACTTTGTCTTGTACTCCCTCGGACTCTCATAGGCCTTTGGATCCCCCGCCCACATTCCCTTGCGTTTTTTCTTTGCCTTGGCCTCTGCCCTCTCATATCGTTCTTTCAGGCCTCCAAACTCGCCGCCGCTCTTGGCTTCGTATACGGTGGCCAGCCCACTCTTAATCATCTCGAGTCCGACATTCCTGCGGAAGAGAAACCTGCGGACGTAGACAGTAGCCACGATCCGCTCGTATTGGTCTGTCTTGTAGATGTATGCGCGCACATTTCGGCGCAAGATGTAGCTTCGGAGCCACTGCAGGGCCTCGTCTGAGTAGGGTTGTGCTGGCTTTCCAAAGTGCGCTCCCTCTGGCGCATCAACCGCGGCGATGCGGATCGGGATCTATAAGTAGATACGCCTCTATGTTAGCAAATTCTCAAACATATTTGGCGGGAAGAGGGAAAGAGGGGAAGAGGGAGTCCTTACAGTCCGTCCCTTGAGCTCTTTTCTTGCCTCGGGGACCTTTCTAAGCCATCCCCAGCCCACAGCTTTCCCGCCAGGCGTGTGGAACAGATGGAAGTTGTCGCCATCGCCAACACTCGTCACTTTGCCGTACAGGCTCCGATTGCGAAAGAAGTTTGGCCGTACATAGGCTGCTCCTGGAATTCGACGAAGGTAATTCGCATATAGCTGCAGCGCGGCGAGGCCTACTAGAGAAAATCCAACCATGGGTGCCCATGCTTTGGCGGCTTCCAGAGGCCCGACCTCGCTGCTCCTCAAAGAATCTGCCCAGGAAACAGGCCTCTTCTTGGGCTGATCCTCATGATCCGTGCCTTTTTTGGGTGCCGAGGCTCCAAATGGCCATACCATTGTATTTGCGACCCGTAGGTCGACTCGGCCTCGAGAGTTGTTTGGTTCAGGGTCCAAGTTTGGAGGCCGAGCTGGTAGCTTGCTAAAATCGGTTTGTGGCGGCCTGTTCACCGTTACTGTAGCGCCGCAGACCTGGTACTCTCCACAGTGACATTTGGCTGTCTGCGAATCAAAAGAACAACTCTAGGCCTGTGTTGATGCTGCACCTCTGGTAAGTTCATGCATGATGATAGAATTAAAAGAATGAAAATATTTAATTTATTTATTGTAAAACTTAGAATTATGGACTATATGGCTCCTATCATAAATTCATTGCCTACACTTGTGAACCTCACCACTCGCCGCCTCATCCATGTCAGAGGCCGCATCCGCTCAACAGATGATGCCCAATTCTAATTTGGCTAGATAGGGAGGGAAAAAAAGTCTACAGATTGCGAGAGTCTCTTCAGCTGCTTTGTACCTTAAATGTCCTGCCGCTAGCCGTCTTCCTCTCTCGTTCCTCGTTGTCGGGACGCGCACGACGCAGCACTTTAAAAACGTTAGCGAATACTTCGTCACTATTGTGACATCGACATGGTGTATCAAACTCACCTTGCAGGAAATCTGCGGTGCGCTTCCTCATTCGAGAGTGGATGTATGCCTTGGAAGCTTTGATGTGGTAGTGGAAGTTGTCTCGGAATGTCTGAATGTGGGAGATTACGGCAGCCATTCGCTGGGGAGTCAGGTGCCTTGGGAAGAGAACTGTGGGCAAGTTAGTATAGCGACGCGAATCGAATCCACGACGTTCTTACCAAAAGTAACGTATCCGATTTCTCCGGTGCCGGTGTCTCGTACTCCAGGAACGCTCTGCAGCTCCAGTGGGGGGTCGTTTCTGAACAGCACCTGGGGTGCATTCTGGATAGCTCGTCGTCGGGCATCGACAAACTCCTGAATAAAGACCTTTCCGTACACTCTATCGGTTTCTTCTCGGAAGATGGTGCTGAAGATGACGGTGACACGATCGTGGCTGGCCTTTACATAAATGGCCTCCTCCTCTCGGTAGTGGATGGCTTTGACCTCTCCTCCCTCCATGAGACCCTTGGGCGCCTCTTCTGAGCTAAATTTGGATGCCTCCTCTTTCAGCTTGTAGTGCTCTTCGTATGCTTGCTCGAACGGGGCAGCCATGGCATGGCGCTTTAGTAGAGCGAATTGCATCGCCAACGCGTCGCGTTCCTCTGTATCCCATAGTAAGCTTTCTGTTCTGAGGGCATTGTCGCTGAAAGTTGAGATTGAATCGGCCTACCCTTGGACTCTGGTAGGTTCTCGAGGTCGATCAGCACCGAGAAGTCGTATCCAACTTCAGCTGGAACGACGTATTGTCCGTATTCCCGCTGGAGGACCTGCTCAGCGCCATATTTGGCCAAGTCCTTGAAGCATCGAATCTGGAGAGACAGTAGAATCTTCGTCTTTACTTCAGGAGTTGAGATATGGAACGTAACGCCATCGAAGTCCGATACGGTCTGGTCGATATGGACGGGCGGGGCACTATGCTGCTGTTAGCTTGGCCTGTCTTGAGAAATAGGGATTGGGCTTGTATATACCCTGAGAATCTCTCGGTGAGCACCGACTGGATGAGAGCGTTCTGATAGTCGAGGAGAAGCATTGTGAAGGCTGGCGTCGTGGAAGCTGCTGTGTTGTCTCCGGATCGTCCTGGAGCTTGGTTGACGACTCCGACCCCCGTGGTGGGGCTTAGCTACGTTGCTGTAGACGTCAAGCTGGGGGGGCAGCGCACCACGTGATAATCAAGCTAAGCTAGGATAACACTAGCGCTAGTATCAGCTTGAGCCCATTATCGATAAGCTCTCGAAAAAAAATATCCCATCTGCGCAATTGGCTAGCAGCGGCATGTAAACGCAAGTTTCCTTGGTACGAGCAGAAGCCGGTATTGGAGGTTGAGAGACGGCAGCCATGGTCAAATCATACCTGTGAGTCGATTTGATTGGCAAGTGCGAGCATAGAAAAACATGTTCTGACCATTGACTGCAGTAAATACGAGCACGCCAAATCTTTTGGCAGTATTCTCTCCGGCTCATCGAATCTCATCTGGACATCCAAGGATCGAACGGGGACTGGCGCAGGCCAGGCCATTACAGCGGCGAACGAGGAGGTTTTATGCTGGGATATAAAAAAAGGCGAATTAATCAGCCGATGGAAAGATGAAAGGTGCTCTTATACCGCCACTGCCATCGCGCAGAGCGGCGTGGACAAGGACATGTTTGCCGTGGGATACGAAGATGGAAGCATTCGTATCTGGGACAGCAAAATCGCCACCGTTCTAGTCAATTTCAATGGCCACAAGTCAGCAATCACACATCTTGTTTTTGACAAGTCTGGAGTGCGACTTGCAAGTGGTTCAAAGGACACTGACATCATTGTTTGGGATCTGGTTGCAGAAGTCGGCCTGTACAAGCTTCGAGGACACAAAGATCAGATCACGGGGATAAGATTCTTGGAGCCCGAGGCCAAGCTGCAGGATGAAGACGGAAACAGCGCCATGGTACTCGACAATGCAGAGCTATCAGACGGGTTCCTTTTGTCTACCGGAAAGGACTCTCTCTTGAAGCTCTGGGATCTGTCTTCGAAGCACTGCATAGAGACGCATATTTCACAGACAAACGGCGAATGCTGGGCACTCGGCGTTTCTCCGGATTTGAGCGGCTGCATAACTGCAGGCAACGACGGAGAGCTGAAGGTGTGGTCCCTGGACGCGGATGGATTAAGCTCATCTGCTCAGCGAGTAGAAGTTGTCGCCTCTGCACAATTTTTGCAAAACCGAGGAACCCTTTTTCGACAAAACAAGGATCGAGCAACCGAGGTCATCTTCCATCCTCAAAAAGACTATTTTGCCGTCCACGGCTCCGACAAGAGTGTCGATGTATGGCGCATCAGATCAGAATCTGAAGTTCGAAAAGGCCTGGCTCGAAAGAGACGGCGAAGACGTGAGAAGCAGAAGGATGCCAAGCCTCATGATGAAGACATGGAAAATGGAGACGATAACCTCGATGATGTATCAAAAGCCGATATCAGCGATGTCTTTGTTCAATATGTCATCCTGAGAACTGGCGGCAAAGTCCGTTCGATTGATTGGGCTCTGCCTGCAGGACAAAAGCAAATCTACCTTGTAGTTGGAACCACTAACAACCAGCTGGAGTACTACAGTATAAATCCCAAGGAGAAGAGTGATAAGAAGCAAAAAGACGACATTCCAGATTACACCAAGGCACTTTCAGTCGAGATTCCAGGACACAGAGCTGACATCCGTGCTCTCTCACTGAGCTCAGACGACAAGATGTTGGCGTCAGCATCCAATGGCTTGTTAAAGGTTTGGAATGTCAAGACTCAGACTTGCATCCGAACATTTGAGTGTGGGTATGCGCTCTGCTGTTCCTTCCTCCCTGGAGACAAGGTTATCGTTGTGGGAACAAAGAATGGCGAACTGCAATTATTCGATGTTGCCTCTGCATCCCTCCTGGACAGCGTTGAGGCACATGAGGGAGCTATCTGGGCGCTGCAAGTTCACCCTGATGGCAGGTCGGTTGTTTCCGGAAGTGCTGATAAAAGCGCCAAATTTTGGGACTTCAAGATCGTCCAGGAGCAGGTTCTGGGAACCAAGAGGACAACACCCAAGCTCAAGCTCGTTCAGTCCAGAGCGCTCAAGGTCTCAGATGACATTCTCAGTCTCCGGTTTTCGCCCGATTCCAAATTGCTGGCAGTATCACTCCTGGACAGCACAGTGAAAGTGTTTTTCGTCGACTCCCTCAAGTTATATCTCAATCTTTACGGACACAAGTTACCTGTGCTAAGCATGGATATCTCCTACGATAGCAAGCTTATTGTTACAAGCTCGGCAGATAAGAATATTCGAATATGGGGTCTCGACTTTGGCGACTGCCACAAGGCTTTGTTTGGACACCAGGACAGTATTCTGCAGGTCGCATTTGTCCCTCATAACTCGGACGGCAACGGCCATCATTTCTTCAGTACCGGCAAAGACCGAACCATTCGATACTGGGATGGAGACAAATTCGAACAGATTCAGAGACTGGATGGCCACCATGGCGAAGTGTGGTCAATAGCCATGAGCCATAGCGGCAATTTCCTTGTTACTGCCAGTCATGACAAGAGCATCCGCGTATGGGATGAGACGGATGAGCAAATTTTCCTCGAGGAAGAACGAGAAAAGGAAATGGAAGAGCTGTACGAGAGCACCCTGACGGCTTCTCTGGAGAAAGACCAGGAGGGAGGCGACGAAAACGGCGAAATTGGCGCCGCAGGAAAGCAGACTACAGAGACCTTGATGGCTGGTGAGAGGATAGCAGAAGCTCTGGAGATGGGCATGGCCGATTTGAACCTATTAAAGGAGTATGAGGAGGCTAAGCTTACGAATCCTCACGCCATGCCTCCGCAGAGGAATCCCGTCTTCATTGCTCTTGGAAACATTACCGCCGAGGCATACGTCATGTCTGTTCTCCAGCGCATCAAAGCCTCTGCTTTGCACGATGCTCTGCTGGTACTTCCGTTTGCCTCTGTCCCCATCCTCTTCACATTCATCAATATTTTCGCCACGCGGTCGATGAACATTCCTCTCACATGCCGAATCCTGTTCTTCATGCTGAAGACGCACCACAAGCAGATTGTTGCCAGCCGCACGATGAAGGTTATGATGGACAGCATCCGGGCTAACCTGCGAGCCACACTGAAGAAACAGAAGGACGAGATGGGAGTCAACATTGCTGCGTTGAAGGTGGTAGGCATGCAGATCCGGGATAAGAGCGTCAAGGAGTACGTGGACGAGACGTGGGAGGAAGAGAGCCGGGAGAAGAGCGCCAAGAAGCGAGCCTTTGTACATGTCGCATAAGAGGAAGCGAGGTTCTGGCCTTTGAAAAAGAACAAGAGGATAGTTTTTTGCATATATAGATTCACTGTGAAGCTTGGGCTATGTTGCGGGGATATGGGGAGTCATTTTTTCTTGGTTCAAGGTTCGATACAATAACAAACGAATTCATTAATCTACATACTCGTTCCATTTACTTGTGCAAGTGGATAAATGTAGTGAAATTCTGTTTTCTTTGGAGCAGAGACTTGATGTTTTTAAGATTTGTTCAAGTCGCCCGTGCTTGCACATAACCGGGGTATGTAATATGACTAGATGAACAACAGGACCGATAATGTAGGAATGATCTTGAATTTTGTAGTTTACAATTCAAATAAAACTCTTTAAACCCTTTTTCCTTGAAATTTTTTTTTTCTTATAAAATTTTAACATCCCAGTTACAATGGCCATGAAGCCTCAATCCATCCCCATGACTTTTAATCTAGTATCACGTGACCCGCCGCCTAACGCCGCCTTTACCTCTGTGGGACCTTGTCACGATGAGCTGTGACGCTTTCACTCAGGAAACACCAAAAGATATAAGCACCGCGAAAGCTCAAAGATTCAGATTACAAATCCAACAGGATCCTCACCTCCAGCAGCCAATTTTTTTTTAGACGAATACGATCCAGCCTCAAGCGACACTTTACGCCTCTCAGAAACTCTTCTTCAGAATATTTGCCCCGCTACCCAATCCAGTTTGAGGGATAGCTGAGAGAATCTAACCGTTCATAATGCTCTTCTTCAGGTAAAGCCCTGCTGTCATGTCACGGAAATCATTGCTCGAGATCGAATTCTGATACATGGATGTGAAATGCTAATCTGAATGCGGTGGAATTCCAACAGCTTCTTCAAGACGCTCATCGACCACGAGGTCACTGTGGAGCTCAAAAACGACATCCAGCTCAAGGGCATGCTGAAAAGCGTGGACCAGTACCTCAACATCAAGCTGGACGACATTCAAGTCGTCGAGGAGCTAAAATACCCTCACCTGGTATGGAAAAAACGGGAAAATCTATCTTGCTCTCTCCCTCTCTTTCTTGCTAACCCCCCTTGTAGAGCTCTGTGAAGAACGTCTTCATTCGGGGATCTGTCGTTCGATATGTCCACCTCCCAGCGGCTTCGGTCGATACTCAGTTGCTGGAGGATGCTACACGGAGAGGCAAGTTGTTCTTCAAATTGGCAGAGATGATTTTTCGAATCGGCTAACCATGTCCGCAGAAGCTGCTGCTCAGCAAGCCAAGGCGAAATAAATGGATCCTGGTATAGAGAGGCGTTGGTTTACCAGCTGAAGAAAGAGATGGTTGGCGTTTGCATACGATAAATCATGTAATTCTGGGTCGGGAGCATCGGAGAATGGTAATATCTTTACACACTTTGTGGTGCAGGATCGCTGGGGTTTGTTGCGAGTATAAAAGCAGTCATTTGGCGTTTCTCATGGCATGGGCAACGGACCATCAGATTTTCTTTCCCCCGGCATCATTTTTTTGGACGTTTTAATAAAAATTTATGATATCCAACTTGGGTTCTCTACGTTACCACCAAGCCCCGCCTCCTTCGCCAGCCTTGCCCTCCCAGAGTGGAGAAATGCCTTTCTGTTCGTCGTCTTCGCCCTCTACTAATGGTCTTACTAGCCCTCCTTTCCTCCTCTCTGTCATCCATCTATCTATCCAACCCTTCATTCTTTTTCTTGACTGGTCGCTACCGACATTGACAGTGGGGATTATCTTGTCTATCCTCAGACCCATGACGAACATGGCAAGCTCACGGAAACTGCTGTGTTCAGAGTACGGAACGCCAAAGCACATGGCCTCCTTGGTGCTGCCTCTCTGAGCAACAAGATCCTTTGCCCCGAATCTTGTCCTCCAGCCCTTGCCATGGAGAAGCTGTTGAGTAGAGATACTGCTCGGCGGAGTATTGGCTCCGATAACCCTGCCATTGCCCGGCCGAAAGTTCCAGCCGCTTGGTCGAAAGCCAACAATGCGACTAAAATGCGGCCTGTAGCTGTCTAGATAATCCTGCAAAGTTTCTGCACGGATCTCCATGAGCATTTGCATGTGAACTTGGGCTTCGATGGGATCTGAAGTTAGCAGCGCAGTTAGTTCTGGGTCATCAAGCTGCTTGCATATCTTTATCTTCGCCGCCGACGCAAAGATTTTGGAGCCAAGAGCTTTTGCTATAGCCACACATATCCTCTCCTTTCCAATAGAGTAAGTCCCGCATATTACTAGAAGCCGGTGTTTACGCTGGGATTTCGACTTTGACTGTGCACCATCGTCCGATGGCTTATCACTTTGAAAGTACTTGCTCACGGTACCCGTTCCAGCGGATTTCTCTGACCTCTGCCAAACATCGTCTGCACAATTGGGGTCAGGAGACATTGATGCGATGAGGTCGGCACACGCTTGGATGACATCGCCTTGTGGAGGGAAAGAATATCGTGGATTCAAGTACGTCGTATCAAGATAGCAGATATCAATTCGCTGCTGCCTTGATTTGCCGGATATTGAATCTATCACATCGGATTTGAGCAGCGGATGTCGAACATGTTCAGGACAGGCTCGGAAGTCGCCGCAGTGCAATATCCGCTTGGTTCGTTTGTTTGGCCCATTTCCAAATGGCTTTTCAAAAAGGAATAAGGAGCTCCCAGGACAGTGATTGGCGGGCATCATGGTGACCGTTGCACCTTCAGTTCCGGGAACATCATATGGCTTTTCGAATTCCAGCTCAACAACCCACTTGGCAGCAGTCCGGAGCTGTTGCTTGACCAAGCTCCCGGTGACCTTACTGCAGTAGATTGGGCCGTGTCTCCAACTAGCTGTTAGGCCGATGTAATGGTCGCTGTGGAAGTGGCTCAAGAAATAAGCCTGACATCCTTCAACGGCGCCGTAGCGAAATGCATCAACGCATATTGCGAATCCAGGCATTATTTTATAAAAGGGGCAAGTCCGCTCGTACGCCGGCCGACCTCGAGACGCGGTCTCTGCGGCCGCCGCCGTAGCCCAGGCCGAATCTTCCGCATTGCCAGACATAAGCTTAGAAAAGGCGCTCTTCGGTTTGTTTTCCGTATTCATCTCGAGGGGGTTTGCTTGACCCGGCCTGGGGACGGCGGCCCGAGCAAAGCGTTTGCCAATCTCCGCAGCCTCTACTTCAGGTTTATCGTCGGCAACGATTCTGTCCTTGGTTGGTAGTGGAATAGGGTCGCCGTCAAGACATGAGTTGACATGTCGCGAGGCTTCGTCTGCAGATATGCCAAGTAGGCTTCCAGAACAGACCGGGCAGCTCTCTACCACGGAGTGATTATCCAAAAGTTCATCGAGATCGTCACCAGGGATTCCGGCCTCTTCAGCTTCAAGCCTTGCCTGCTCCCGCATGAATCGCATCTCCCGCATCTCTTCACCTTCAAACTCGTCTAAGTCGAAATCGTCCATGTCAGCAAAATCCCCCAGTTGGTTAAATTGGGCATCAACCGAGGTTTCTTGCTCCAGCGGCGGCGGTTCATACTTTTCATTGGTGTCTTCGGTCTGCGTAGTATCACGAAGTGGTTCTTTCTGGGCAGAGGGGGGCGACGGTTCGGCATCTTTTGCGTCGTGGGATGGTGCGTCTGGTGGGATGGTATTGCTGTTGCTGTTGCTGTTGCTGTTGCTGTTGCCGTCGCCATCCTCATCCTCACTGTCAGAGTCTATAACAAACGGAGTCTTAATCCGAGGCTTGGGCTTCTTCGGCTCGTTTTCATTTTCAGCCTTTATTGGTGGCGTTGTATTACTGGTAGAGGGTTTGTCTGATGCATCTGCCGTTTCCTCCTTTAATGCTGGTTCGGTAGAAGCGTCTTTGCTAATCCTTCTCTTTTTACTTGGAGCTTCAACTTCATTGTATCGGACTTCATCGTCACGTCCATAGAGATCCTCCTTGGCAGCGGATTCCGCAGGTACCGCACCGACGAATAGCGAATCCTCAGGCTTTGCCGTTTTTTGGAAAAAGTTGAGGATGCTTGTGTTTGGCTTGGCAGCAGGTTTCTTAGCAAAGCCAGAGCTTGCCGTTGATTTTCTGGGCGTATGAGACCTGTTGACTTTGGTAGAGGCGACCATAATGGCTAGTTCTGCGACAAGACTGAAGCACCATGCTTTTCTGAACGTGCCGTCGTCATACAAGGCGGGACACGTACATTCACGATTCGCGTAAAGGGCTGGAGTGACTGCGCGTAGTCACGTGCGTGCTAGATTGGTGGGGTTTGATCTACAATTCAATCTATGGTTGTCTACTTACCCGGAACAGATGCCAAAGAGCCTGGTAGAGGAATGGCATCTATTTACTGGCAAAAGATCAGGTTCATAAATGCATTCATGAGAGGCTACAAATTGTAATGAATTGTAATGCAAAGCAGATCATTATGTGTTGATCGATAGATACATTGCTGGCATGAGCGTAAAGCGTATAGCACTCAATCACCCGGATAAGTCTGCTGAGCCGAAATAGGTCCCGGTGTAAAAGATGCCCCGGCGCTGGAACTGTAGACATCCCGATGCATAGAATAAGCCACGGCGATGGATGACGACGCTGATTAGTCAATTCTATTTAACTCTATCAATTGTAAGGGTCGGATTCAATAATACGCTATAATACGCCCTGTGATTCCTTGTTTCAGCTGGTAGCGCCCGTCCAAGGCCTCATACATGGTTTGTTCCAGCGTCTCTACAAGTACCACTGCGCCTCGCTACCTGGGAGTCCAAGTCAACTTTACAACACCACCAGCGAATTGTTCTTGTCTTTTTGGTCGCCATTGTTTGAGAAGCTATATGCTATAAATCGCCTCTCAGTTGATTGTCTTTGCCTAAGAAATTTAATCGTCAGGTAGCCATCATGTCTTGTGAGCTGCCCGAGATGGATCCAAGTCAGAGGACCAGTTCTTGTTATTGACACATCTCACAGCGTGGCTCACTACTACCGCAACACTGCAAAATGTAACCACTCTGCCTCCAGAAGTGTCACTCGCCAGAGCCCTGGAAGTCATACAGAATCACAAAATTCACATGCAGTGCGATCCTCACATGGTCAAATTCGAGTCGGTCCCTCAGCCGTCAAAGGTTGTGACGCCCACTGTTCCAACGGACCGAGGAATTGTCGCCGTGGGAGAGGCTGCGTACTACTCGGTGACGGACAAGGTACACACGCTCCCTGCAGGCCTCTGGGACTCCAACGTTGAGAGTATAAACGAATTCGTGACGCTGGAAAAGGGTGTTTTTGTGAGGCTTTACAGCCCTCTCAACGTGGTGATGGAGACGGTCTGGACTGTGAGAGCAAACGGCAATGGCGGGGTAGATCTGATCGAAGACGTGGTGATCAAGGCGTCCCGACTACTGGTGGGCACGATTAAGAACATGTGCAACACGAACTGGAGCACCTTTCACGGTAAGATAGTGGACATGATGAAGGAGGTTCCGGCACAATAAGGGGACGATACTGGTATATCGGCATTGGCTTGAGCAATATGAAAACTAATACGACTGTGTTTCATCACCCATAGACATGCGATAGGCAGTGGCTGCTGAGATGAACTTGCCGCTGGGCTCTTTATTGGATGATATCTCGTTGTCTTGTTCAAGCCCCATCCATCACCCGCCCTTATCACAACTACCACCTTACCCATTCAGCCACCTCGATCCAGCCACCTGAAGCAAACGCGGAGAGCGCCATTCATCCGTGCTAAAGCTGCTAAAGCTGCTAAAACTGCTAAAACTGCTAAAACCGGTAGTCGCGTTGCGCCAGCAAACGAATGGCTGTGGTTGCCCGCGGCTAAACTCCGCGTCAGAACTGCGCCTCACACCCGCTCCCTTGGGCCTGTCGGGCATCTCTCGAGACTTGATCTTGTCATCTCGTCCGTTTCTGCTCTGTCATTGTCATCTGCGGCTGGGGGACCCGGAGAAGGATGGCTGCAGCGCGCGTGGAACATCGCGACGAGTGAGCAGCGTGTGTTTGAGATCAATGCGAGATCCGTGCCCGGCCGCCAGAAATCCATCCATGCCAAATCCTGCGCTTCCTGGAGATCGACACCCTCATCCAAGGCCCAAGTGGGCCTCGCCTGCAACATGTCGCTCCAAGTAAGATGGCCCGACGTGTCCGGCACCAAGCAGAAGGCGCTGGAAGATGCAAAGAAGATGCAGAATGCCGTCGTCGAGAGCTGCTCCAAGGCCGGCAAGCAAGCCCCGCAGTATGAGCTTCAAGAGCTCGTTGGCAAGGGCAGCTTTGGGCGGGTGTATAGGGCGACGGCCATCGGGACCGGCCAGCTGGTTGCCGTCAAGATCATCGACATCGAGGAGAGCGACACTGTCAACCCCAAGCTGGCCGACACTTACACCGACCTGCTCAAGGAGATCAACGCCCTGCAGCTGCTGAGCGACAGCGGGGCCAGGAACATCAACCATGTCATCGAGGCCCTGCCCGTCGGACAGTCCATGTGGATGGTGACGGAGTACTGCGCCGGCGGCAGCGTTGCGACTCTGATGCGCCCAACGGCTCCCGGTGGGCTGCTGGAGAAATGGATCATTCCCATTGTGCGCGAGGTGGCCGAGGCCATTCACTGGGTTCACGGCCAGGGCATCATCCATCGCGATCTCAAGTGCGCCAACGTGCTCATTACCGAGACGGGCAATGTTCAGCTGTGTGATTTTGGCGTTGCGGGCGTTATTGAAACAAAGTTTGACAAACGGTCGACATTTATTGGGACTCCGCATTGGATGGCGCCGGAATTGTTTGATAAGGAGGCGTCTTATGGGACCGAGGTCGATATATGGGCGTTTGGCGCCATGGTGTATGAAATTGCGTCTGGCTTGCCGCCCAACGTCACCGCTGGGATTGACTTTTCGAGATTGGGCTCGCATCTAAAACACCACACGCCTCGGCTGGAGGGCGACCAGTATTCGGCGGGCTTGAGAGATTTGGTCTCGTATTGCCTTCAGCACGATGTTGCAAAACGACCGACGATTGAGCAGGTGCAGCTCCATAGATATGTCCGTAATACGGAGGAATCGCATCCAACGTCTTCACTTGTCCATCTTGTCCGAGCCTTCAAACTTTGGGAGGCACAAGGAGGAGATCGCAGGTCGCTCTTCTCTGCTGGTGGCGCCCAAGGCCTGGCTGATCTCCAAATTGCAATCTCCAATGACGAGTGGAACTTTAGCACAACCGCAGCATTTGACCAGCAGGTCTTGGACCAGGGAGATGCCCAGGACGTCTACGACGTGTACGGATCAAAGGTGGATTTCAGCCCAGAGGGCTATGATGAGACTTCGCGTCCACAGAAGCCCAAGTCGCGGAGAAGGCCGCCACCACACCTGCCGTCGGTCAAGGCACCTCTGGAAAAGATTTTTGACCCTAATACCATATCAACGTATGAAGAAAATTCCAGAGCATACTATAGTCAGCTTTTCCAGGCCCCTATATCAGATCTTCCCCTTCGAGACGAGGCTTCACAGCCTTCTGACGTACGGGAATCATTAATTGATCTGGATGTATCGCTGCACGGCGGAGAGCTCTCGCAGTATGTCGACATGGACACCATCAAGCCCAGCGACTCACAAGCGTCGTTTGACTACGACTTTGATGATACGAGCTTCTCCAGGGCGCCAATGAGCGACCCAATTGACCTCAAAGATAACAGGCGCACTCAGGACTGGAAATTTCCTTCAATGGCGGCTCCTGCGACAATAAATCCGGAGGAATTCAAGTTCCCGCCGCTCACTACCACGCTCCCCCCACCTGATGATGACCGGCCCTCACTTCTTCATCACACTACCGAACCGTATCAGCACTCTTCTAGTTTCGGCGAACTTGCGCCGACCCCTTCAGTTGACCATCGAGCTTCAGTTGGCAGCTTGATAGATCTCGATATGAGCTTCGCCGATTCATCAACAGACTTGACCCGGCCCTCCACATCCTATTCAGATGTTGGTTCCATTAGCGGTTCAGAGATTGGTGGTACCAATCCTTTTGAGCTGGAAAAACATGCCTCGCTCTATGTGATGAATGCTACAAACCGCGAGCCGTCCATCTACATTTCAGATGACTCCGAATACTCGCACGTGCTTGCAAGCATCCCAGATCTCTCCTTGGATGAAGGATCAAAACACGACGAATCCCACATCAGCAGAGAGAGCAATGTCTCAGCGTTCAGTGAAGGTCGACCATATTCTCTGAGCGACTTTGCTGACATGGACCCCGAACTGCCACCAGAGCCAACTCCCGCTCCAAGCACACCGCAGTATCCGCCATCGTTGCGAGACTACTCTCCGCGCAGTCGGTCTCCGCATAGCCAGTCTCCTCCTGTGCAGCGTCCCCGGCCACCCTTGCGCAACCTCGATTCATCTCTCCCGCCTCTCCCGGCAACACCTTCGTCAAAAGTCATGCTTGGCCAAGCTTCGCCCGAAGAGATACGAAAAGAGCTACGGCGCATGGCCATGAGCCTTGGAGATCATTTGACCTATGTCAACTCGTACATCTCTACCCTGCCGGTTAGAAGAAAGAGTATACACTATTCGCTAGATCCAGATGGAGGTGCGATTTGAGGTTCATGGTGTATGGTGATGCAACCAATCGATTTCCCTCGAAGAAGAGAGAAATAAGGAAACAAAACAAGAAAAGTAATTGTATGCTAGAGACATGATTTATTTACCCTTTTGGAAGGATGTATATTAGATGGTACTTATTTGCTTTACGGTTGAACAAAAAAAGCGTATTCCTTTGCTGCAATTGGAAATTTCATGAAAGATACCACACTAAACGTTCCATGCTAAAGTCTTGATGTATATCTTGTTGCATCTCGCTAATGCAATGCGTGCTCTCATCGTATATTTGCACCCTTTCATCAGAAACCAATCATATTGCCCAATAATAGAGCCTGGTATTTCTCAATCGCCTCTCCAAGCTTAATCAAAACACCCGCTGAGAGCATCTTGACCTCGTTCTCTTCTCCTCCGTCCTCGCCTCTTATCCTTCCAAACACAGACGAAGCCCATTCTCGCGTCTCCACGACTTCCCGCCCTTGGGTTTCGCACAATCGCCGCATATCGCCATCATTGACCTCCAGCAGCGACGCCATGGCGACGAGCCAGCCTTTGAGAGCGCCCATGTCGTCTTGGGTATGTGTTCTCACGGCCAGGAGCAGATTCCACAGTTCGGAGGTGAGTTGGGGGAGCGAGAGCGTTGAAGGCCCTGCTGCGTGTATGATGACGCCCAAGGTTTGGAGGTAGAGTGCTAGTAGGGCCGGGTTGAGGATGAGGGGTTTGGAGGATCGGAGGGCGACTTGGAAGTGGGCGGTGAGGGGGTAGAAGAAGGATTCGGCGATGAGGGCGGCGGTGGTGTTTGGGATTGAGCGGACTCGGGGCTTTGCTTTCGACTTTGACTTGTAGCGGCTTGTAAAGGTTTGGAGTTTGAGAATGTCTGGGCCGGTGGTCGCGTCGGCTGCCTTTGCGGCTAGTGGCTCTAGAAAAGAGGATGTGAGGGATTGCGTTATTGTGTCTAGTGCTGTTGAGGGTAAGGCCTTGAGCTGGGATGAAGGATTGGCTTCGCTTTGTTTGGTTGTTGAGTTTAGGTAGAGCTGTTCAATCTTCTCTGGCAGTCTTTTTGAAGGGAAAGATGCACTGGACTGGTATTCAGAGGTGTCAAACCCGGCGAGCTCTCTGGCTGACAGTCCAATGGCAATGAGAACCTGCGTTCGCTGCGACAGGGAGTAATCGCCTTCGAAGAAAGTGCGTGAGAACCACGGGGCCATGGCTTTTGGCTGAGCGACGATCAAGGCCATCATGCCCTGCAGTTTCAAATCGTTGAATTCTTCAATGTCGAATTTATCCTGGAGCCCGACGAATAGACCGGCGAGTTCCTCTGCGTGTGAACTCACTTCCGTGCCGAAATTGGCCTTTCGCCGAATTAAGACGGGTGCGTTCTGTAGGGCCAGTTTCTGCTTGTCGTATGATTCGGTGTCGCGAAGATATAAGATGAGATCTCGGATATAGACTGGAGCCTTTGGTTTGTTGCGCTGAACCAATGTAGCGTCATCGTCGGAGTCTTCTGGGTCGGAGTGTTTGGCATATGGAACGAGGTCTTCTTCATTGTCGTCCGAGGAGTCTATTTCTTCAATGATGGCTATAGGCTTGATAGTTGAGATGCTGGGTTCTGGTTTCGATTTTGGTTTGGGCTTTTGTTTTTGGATTCGTTTTTGAGGTGGTCTATTCTCTTTCCGTACTGGTAGTCCTGAAGTTTCTGTCTTGAGGATGGGCTCGATGGATCCGACTTCGTCAAAAACACTTGTAAGAGATTTTAACCATTTAGCTTCTTCGGTTTCCGTTTCGTCCATGTGAAAATCGAGCTTTTGAGACTTATCATCCATGAGAGTTGAGAGGGATTCTCCAACTACTAAACCCAAGAAACGAGCTCTGGCCTGAGTGGAAGCTATCCGATTTGAGATTGCAGACAAGTATGAACCCGATCTCACAATGATTCTCAGTTTGATAGGAGACAGCCTGGAGATGTAACCGGCACTGAGAAGCAGCACCTCCGTGTGAACTGACGAGAGATTAGTATGCATCCAAAATCTTGGCTATTTGAAAGTGTTTATACCATTTTGTTGCAGTATGGCTGCGTGTTTGATGTATAGCTGATCTCCAAACTGAGACAAGCTCTTTTCGAATACGGTCGTGATGCCATCTTTGTTTTGAGCTAGAACTGCAAGAACAGCCCTCCTAATGCCTATAGAGTCACCCAGGCCAGCGCCAGAAGATGAAGTGCACCAAGCAACGAGATGATTATAGAGAGTCTCGTTGCCCTTGATGAGTGCGTCGATGATGCCAGCAGCGGCAGAGATGACTGTTTTTGAAGACGGCTCGTCCAAGTCTAGCCCATTGAGGTGTTGGGCAAGATATTGTAGCAGTGTATTTGTAGTCTTTTTGGCGCTATGGGGGTGGGAGAGGCACACTTTGGCAAAGTCACCTGGATTATTTCCTTTGAGGAGAAGAAGACCGTCGATGACCGTCTTCACGAGTGATTCTATGACGAGTAAGCAATGAGTCGTGATAATGACACTGGGAAAAAAAATACCTGAATAGCCCAGTGACATTCCTCGCTGGAAGAGGTCTGAGCAGAAATGCAATTCGCTTTCGCTTTTTGTTTGTCTAGCCCAGAGTACTAAATTAAAGGCTACCCATTGCGAATATTTGGTTCCGTCGGTTATCCATATTGCGCTGGCGCGAATGGTTTCTGATCCAACAATCCCAATTGCTTCGGCAGCTGTAGATATTATGCGGCCACTGGTGAGCAAAGAGAGCAGTGCCTGAGATTGTACTTTCTTTGAAGTCTCGGAGCTGAGTCGTCCCGCTGAAGCTGTCCATAAGGTCCGGATAGCATCATCGCCGTCTAAAGCTGATGCCAGTAGATCGAGGAAGATGCCGATGTGAAGCACTAGGTCTGGCCGCGTAGAATCTTTACTCCCTAGCTTGTGCTCTTGAATGAGAGCTCTGAGGTGAGTAAGAACGGCGTTCAGCCCGGCAACACTTTGTAAGCATTTCGTAAATAGCTGTGCGTCGTTGTAAGCGTCCTCGGCGCCATCGTCCTGTCCACCTTCTTTCAGCAGCGTCCAGTAATTTGAGGTAATCTCCGTCACCAAGACGTGAATGATGGCCGCGCTTTTGGGGCCAGGCTCGTGGACATGGAAACTGTCTGGCCGCTTCTCATGCTGTGTTAGATATTTCAGAACCTGGATGAGCGAATCGTAGTCTGGCTGATTTCGAAGAAGCTCCAACGCTCCGTCAGGTGAATCCACCTGCGATGTCGGTAAGACTTGGACCACCTTCTTAGTCGAGCCAACTTCAGATAGCAGCGGTTGAGAGTCCTTTCGGGGCGTTAGGTATGTGGTGCTGACTGGGGTCAGTAGCTCGTCCATGGCTGCTACCTTGCCTGTGTGAGACAGCCGTAGAAGACGTTTGATAGCGACATCTACGGAGCACGCAAACCAAGTTACTGGCAAAAAAGAAAATGTCGCGACATCAGCTGGACAGGTGAAAAGACGATGGCGGCTGAGAAAGATCAAAGAGCTCTGGCCGATTGGAAGCCCGAGACCCCACCTTCACCTGACCTCACCGAGCCTCACCGAGCCGCGGCCAAGGCAGCTCCCACCTTACCTAACAGCTACAGCTTGCCGTCATCCTGCACTAATGCTTCCCCCAAACCACCTGCGAGCCTGACACGCCTCTCTCCGTTTCTTGTTTTTCACTTTAATCCCGAGTCGATCGCCATTTGCTTTACCATGAGTGTCGAAACCCAGAGGGCGGCGGACATTGCTGCCGACAGCGAGACGATACGATGGTCAGTGCCCGAGACCCGGTGATGCGCCATGCGCCGAGCTGACAGGCATGCAGGAAGTATCTCGACCAGATCAGACGCAACCCGGGCCCCATGACGGATCCGATGGCCGTGGAAGAGGAGTTTCTAGCACAGTTTGAGAAGTTCAAGATCTTGTATGTAGCACAAGCGAGCGAAGCAGAGTGGAAGCAGGAGCAGAAGCAGACGTTTGGCTAACCAGGCATGCCTAGGGTGATGTTTGTCCTACCTCGCACGGATATTCCTTGCTTCAGGCTGACGGCGGCTGCAGTGGCGCAGGCGGTCTAGGATGCGAGATTCTGAAGAATTTGGCCATGTCCAAGTTCAAGGATATCCATGTAATTGATATGGGTGAGGCGAATCGATGCACACGTCGTTGACTGTCACTCGAGCTAACGCGGATCGCACGACGGATAAGACACCATCGACATTTCCAATCTGAACCGACAATTCCTCTTCCGAAAGTCAGACGTGGGCAAGTTCAAGGCCGAGGTGGCGGCGAAATTCGTCGAGCAAAGAGTCAAGGGCGTCAAAATCACCGCTCACAATAACCGGATCCAAGACTTTGACGAGGAGTTTTACAAGCAGTTTCAGCTCGTTATTTGCGGCCTGGACAGCATCGAAGCTCGACGATGGATCAATGCTATGCTCGTCTCCATCGCTGAAGAGGCAGAGGATCCCGATGGAATCAAACCGTTGATCGACGGCGGCACTGAGGGCTTCAAGGGACAGGCGCGAGTTATCCTCCCCTCAATCACTTCATGTATAGAGTGTCAACTCGACATGCACGCTCCCAGAGCTGCTGTTCCTCTTTGCACCATTGCATCTATTCCGCGACAGCCGGAGCATTGCGTCGAATGGGCCCATGTCATTGCCTGGGAAGAAGAGAAGCCCTTTCCGAAGCTCGACAAGGACGACCCTGAGCACGTCACATGGATCTACCAAAAGGCCCTCAAGCGCGCAGAGGAGTTTAACATCCCAGGAATTACATACTCACTTACGCAGGGAACAATCAAGAACATTATCCCGGCCATTGCTTCAACAAACGCCATCATTGCCGCTGCCTGCTGTAATGAGGCATTCAAGATTGCTACCAACTCGGCGCCATGCTTGGGCTTTGAGAACAACTACATGATGTATTCTGGTAACGACAGCATATACACCTACACGTTTAAGCATGAGAAGAAAGATGACTGCCCCGTTTGTGGCCGAGAAGCTCGCCCCTTGGAAGCCGATCCCAATATGACGCTCCAAGACTTGTTGGATTCTTTGGCCATTCGTCCCGAGGCTCAGCTTAAGAAACCATCCATACGCGCAGAGGGAAAGACGCTGTACATGCAGGTACCGCAAAGCTTGGAGGAGCAGACCAGACCGAACCTGAGCAAGTCTCTCAAAGACCTTGGGCTCGAGAATGGACAGGAGGTTGTGGTTACGGATCCTGCGTTTCCTCTTGAGTTCAACTTTTATTTCCGATTCAAGAGGGAGAGCTCTTAAGAGGAGCTGGTCATTATCTATCACGACTTTTTTCTCTTTTACGACACTTTGGGTGTTTTATTTACGGAGTGGGTTCTTATCCTCTTGGGCATTTTCCTGGCGTTGGAGACATGATGGGCCATATCATTGCATCTTTGTACATGGGCGCAGAAATCAAAAGAAAACAAAGCAAATAGCAAATAAACAGATGGATCCTAGATCTTTTATTCTTTTTTACTTTATTTATTGCTCATGAGAGACAAACACCGCAAGAATGCGTCAAAAAATATATGTAGAATGCAGCTATTACCATGCCCCCCCCCCCCGATTTATATACAAAACGCCTTGAACCAAAAACAAGACAAAAATCACTGAACCATGTTAATCACCTGCTGCTCCAGCTTTTTGCACTTTAGCTTCAAATGCTTCACCGACTCGAGGAACAGCTCGTCGCTATCCCACTGGCCCGTGCTCTCAATCGAAAAGATGAAGTGGTCTCTCCTCCGGCCGAGCTTCACCTTGCCCTCAAACTCGGCATGGCGCAGCGCCTCTCTGCTGACCGTGTCCTTCATCGAATCCTTGACCACGGCCTTGACCTCGCCCAGGTGGCCCTCGTAGCCGCTGCCGGCCTTGCTGACGTCCTCCCTCGTGACTGGTTCGAGGCCAATGACGCCCTCGGGGAAGCACTTTTGGAACTTTTCGGCGTCGGCGCCGAGGATGGGCCGGGTGATGTGGATGAGCGGCAGCAGGCGGTAGGAGGCGGTGGCGACGGGCGAGAACTTGGAGTGGTCTGCGCCGATGCCCTTGTGCATGTGCATGGCCAGGTTGATGGTCTGCTTGGGCCGCAGCTTGGCTATAAGGATGTCTGGGTTGACGGGCCGGATGGCGTTTTCGCCGCTGAAATACTCGGCCTGCCTGCCCGTCGGCGCAAAGACAATGTCCCTTGCGTAGACGTGCGCGTGGTGGTACGCCTTGAGCGGGTCGTTTTCCGTCGGCGCGGCGTCCTGGTTGACGGTGCATGTGACGTTGAGCTCGAGGCGCACCGTGTTCCAGTCGAAGCTGTTTGCGTACTGGTCCTCGCCGGCGGCCGGCTTCTTGTACCACTTTAGGAAGTTGTGTATGCCCTCGCGGCCGCCGTTGAAGGGTACGAGGCCTAGTCTATGCGCGAGGACCTCATCCTGGATGACGGAGGTGTTGTTCTCTATAAAGACGTCTTCGATGGCGAGGGTTGGGATCTCGGCGATGAGGATGCGGCGAAAGGCGTTTGCGAGCGAGGCGTCGATGCCGATGAGCGAGAAGGAAGCGTCGTTGGCCTCGTTGCGGTGGAACTGGATGGAAAAGGCGGATTGGAAGTGCTCGATGGAGAAGGCGTGGTCTTCGCCGGGGAAGTGGCCGGGGAAATCTGTGGAGGAGACGTTGGAGACTGTCTCTTTGTTGATGCCAACGGTCTAGAAAAAAAAAAAAAAAAGATATTAGCAACAGCTCATGAAATGAAAAAAAGCTAGCAGCAAAAGCATTTCTTACGTTTCGGCGCAAGTGCTCCTCCGCACTGGGAGCAGCATGTCGTGAAGGCGCCATTTTGTATGTGTCGAGGGAATTGGGAGGGAGTTGTGCAATCGCAAGAGGTGCTTCTACTGAAGTGATCCCAGGGAAATTTTTTGGATGCGATAACGAATTGGCGATAGATAGCAGAAGCGCGAGCCCCGCCGCGGTGAGCCAAGGTGAAGGAAGCAGTCCGCACTTGGCTTTTCTTGGGTTAGTGCCTTTTATTACATCATTTGCGATGGCTGGACAGAGCTTCAAGCAAGTTAACTTACCTAGATAGATAGATACTGCTACTCTTTATCAATATCATCCATTTGCTAAAGTCATTGATTTCCTTACTCTCTGGTCTTTTCAGCTAGCGATAAAGCCATGTATAGTCTCACTAAAAACCAAAAATTCACAGTAGAGAGCGTCTTCGTACCTGATGTACACATAGTCAAATCGCAAACGCCAATATCGCTGTTTATATGTGCAAAATTCATAACCCATAATACATTGCTTTAGCTATACCAAAGTCAAGCTTCCATGTCATGCTATCTAACCTGATAAACCGTTTGAATTAACCCAAATGTTCACACTCCATATCAAGCGTCACCACTACATCGGTAGTGGCTATTCCCTCCAATCCCTTTTTTATTGGTATTCATTTTCGCTCTTTTCTCTCTCGTTTCTCTTACTCGATATCTTCCATATTCCATACACTGACACCCTTCTTCTGCACGCTGTCTTTCAATCTGGAAAGCACCGCCTGCCGCTTGGTTCTCTTATCCATGAGATCTCCTTTCTCCTCCCTGCTGAAACCGCTGACCTTCTTCCGCGGTGTATGCATCGAACCGGACAAAGACATGACACTCCCGGATAGACTACCAGAAAAGCTCTGGCGGAAGTTGCGCGATGGTGTCGCATCTGGAGCGAGTAAGCTCCTCCTTGCCTGCGACGTTCGGAAAGGAGACCCATCCCTACTAGGAGACTCTAGTCGCATCCTTCGCAGCTGTGTTTCCAAAACATCGACATCTCCACTGCGCTTCTCTACCATGCTCGTCATTTTGGTGATTGTCTTCATCACAGCTTCCACAGTAGGAACGTTTGTGGATCCCCTGCCCGAGGCGCTTGAGATCGACGCCATGCGGGTTTTGAGAAGAGTCAATGCCTCCTCTGCTTCGGCGAGAAGCTTTGAGAATTTGGTGTACTCCCGCCTCAGGTCATTCTGCTGTGCTTGCTGTTCTGCACTAAGAGGGAGCGACCGCGCAGCATCGGCCTGATTTGGATCTACTCTCGTCATGATAATCCTCTTCAGATCCTCCTGCTTGGCTCGGAGCCGGTGCATGTCCCTGGCTAGGTCTTGGCAGGCCTCGAGTTTATCGCTCAAGTCCTGTACTCGGCCATCGTCCAAGTCGCCCATAAGCTCAATCTCGAGAATCTCCCCAAGGTCACCAATTTCACATAGAACCCAATCGTCTGGATCTTCGAGGTCGTCGGGCGTTCTTCCATCTGGAATGCGGTTATCGGTATGACCCTTTGTAAAGGCCCTTACAGACCGAGCATTGAGTCCAAGGGTATCAATCATTGAGTTGATATCTCGGTAAACAGCCTCGACCTGCGCAGGAATGCTCTCCTGGGCTGGAGGAGCAACATTTGAATGAGCAATGAATTCATCCAGTACTAGTTTGCCTTCAACCTCGGATGCGAGGAGTCTTTGTACGCTTTCATCCTCTTCATCAATTAATACTCGACCCTCTTCGGCCTGTTGTCGCTCTCGCAATTTTCTTGACTGCTTAACGAATGAGTCTTCAGTGGCAGTCTTGACCTTGCCCGCAGTAGTTGACGCAACGAGCTGCGAACGCTTAGCACCCAGTGCCTGAGAAGCCACGCCCGCTGCGCGGTTTCCCACTCCGCCTTGCAAAGAGCCGGGTACTCGAACGCTTGGGGTGCCCCCGGATGCGCTCTGGCTGAGCTCCCCAAAGAGTGGTCGTGATCGTTGCTGTTCGGGAGTGTGTGTAGGGCTGAGGTCTTCAGCTACATCAATGCCGCTACCCTCAGATGCATTGTCATCTAATTCGCTCTCTTCTTCTTCTTCTTCTTCTTCTTCTTCTTCCTCCTCCTCCTCCTCCTCTTCTTCTTGCTCTTCTTCCTCTTCCTCTTGCTCTTCTTCCTCATCCTCTTCATCCTCGTCGTCTTCGGACTCTGGAATAGGAGCTCCGTTCTTGGATGTAGGGAGCGCGAAGCTCGCCGGTGATGCCGAAGGTGCTACTTTGGAGAAAATGCTTGCCTTGGTTGGATCAGGGGGTAGAGGGGCGTCTTCGATTACTGTTGATTTTTCCTCCGAAGGCTTGGTGCTGGTCAAGAAAGGATTGGGCCTTGTTGCCGTATTCTTTGACGTGGTTGTGGCAAAGGGGTTGTCCTTTACCGTTGCAGTTTTATCCGAAGAGAATAGGCTACTTTGCTTGGAGGCTGTGGCGTTTCCGAAAGGGCTAGAAGCGGCCGATGTGGCGGATGAGTCTGAAGAATCACCGATTAGATAAGATGACTTGCTCGTTGCATCTGGAGGAAGAGGTGTCTCGTCTGTGTCCCCACCTTTGTTTACAGGAGCCTCAGCCGCAGGCTTTCCAAAAGACGTAGACCCAAATGCAGGTTTGCCTGGCTCAGTTTTGGCTCCAAATAAGCCGCCAGTTGCTGGCTTGGGGGTAGTGCCTCCAGATCCAAATAATCCAGATCCAGTAGTTTGTGGAGCATCCGTTTTGGCACCAAAAAGGCCAGGTGTAGCGGCAGGTTTGCTTGGTTGGCCGAAAACTGAACTTGTGCCAGTTGCTGAGGACGGGGCACCGAATCTTGACGGTGCGGGTGTTGCTAACGGGGTTGTCGAACCAGCTTGCGCAGACTCGGAAGGTTCGCCAGTATCCATATCTTCGTCTGGGACCTTATTTTCGGCATCGTTGAGGGCTGATCCAAAAGCCGATCCAAACATTGACGATCCAGAGGGTGCAGTTGTTTTGTTATTGTCTTCTTGAACAAATGGATCAGGCTTAAAGGAGCTTTCTAGTTTGAATGGAGTGGACCCAAAAACGCTGCCGGCTGGCTTGTCTTGAGTAGAACCAAAGGCATTTCCTGAGGGCTTTGATGAGAAGGCGGTAGCTTCTGAACCAGATCCAAACGCACCTCCAGTTCCGAATGCGCTTCCAGTTCCAGCCAGCTTACCACCACTACCAAAAACACTAGACCCTGTAGTATTAGTATTGCTACCAGCAAGAGAAGCAAATCCTCCTTGAGAGGCAAACCCCGCGAACCCTCCCGATGAAGCGGGCGCAGAGGGTTGAGCAGTGCTTGCAGCAGTGCTTCCAAATGGACTTTGAGAGGCTTTGTTTGCAAAGCTAGAAAAGCCTGATTGGCCAAAAGCTGGGGTGGAAGCTGCTGCCGCTCCTGTTCCTGCTCCCATGCCGGCGCCAGCAGAGGCCCAAGGACTGGCTCGCATGCCCAGCTGGGATGATTGACCAAAGGCGCTCGACTTTCCAAATGCAGCAGCCGGTGCTGCTGAGCCAAAAGTACTTGATCCAAAAGCTGCTCCACCACTTGGCGTAGCAGCAGCGGCCGCACCCCCTGATCCCCATGGAGAGGCTTTTTGGCCCAGCTGTGCCGACGACCCAAAAGAAGGAGCAGCTGAAGCGGGCGCGGAAAAGGGCGAGGGTGAGCTGGCAAAAGGTGAGGCTGCAGCTGCGGTTGCGGCTGCGGCTGGTGTTGATGCTGACATAGGGACCGCATCACCTTGAACTGCTGTCAACCCCGGATAGGCGGCGCCTTTCTTGATAGAGTCAGTATAAATGACCCACCAGGAGCAGAGTACACCTTCGTGAGTCAGAACCCAGAATCCTGGTAAAGGCGTCGGCGATTCCTCAAGCTCCTCATCCGACGGTATGGGCTTATAGACTTTGTCCTTGCTAGATAGGTCCAGGGCAATTCCGATGGGGGTCGAATCATCCATGGTGTCAGTCATCGGAAGGGTGGGTCGCTTAGAGTCATCGAGTAGTTCGGTAGTCGTAAAGACGCCTGTAATGGATTCGGCAGGCTTATCGCTTGCAAGGGCGCTTTTGGATCGAGTCAGCAGACCGATATCAGCTGTTGCCGTAGATGAGACGATGAGGAGATCCTGAAGATCGGGAGGGAAGTCTCTCAGTCTCAGTATGGTATGGTGGGGGATCTTCTCAGATCCAATAGGGTCAACGGGATCCATCAGTTTTTGGAACGAAAAGGTCGAGGGGTTTTGGCGTGTGATGACGTGGTAGACTGAAGAGGGAGGAGATCCGCTAGTTGTATGAATGGCAAGGAAGAGGTTATTCTCAAGCCAGGTGAGTGATGATACTATTCCGTCGTTAGCATGAATACTTCTTTTCGTTCCTTGAGGACCAGTGATATTACCATGGCAGTCGCCCATATTGGGAGGCTTGGGAATATCGGCCTTGCCCTCTCCCTCAGGCGTCATTTGGTGAATAGTTCCATCAGCCAATCCGGCACAAAGCTGTTTGCCTTTTGAACTCCAGGCAGTACAGCTAACCTGGCTCTTCAGCGCGTTGCTGATTTTCCGCTCCTGGAGGTTTGCAATATGGAGGTTGCCGCCACTGGTAACAATAGCAAAGAGCTCTGGGACCATGGGATTTGGTACCAGTGACCTCAATGCCTCCCCATTTGTCGATAGCTCAAACGCGGAATTGGAAGATCCCTGGAGAAGGCTCTGCACCTCGTAAACGGCAAGGCCGCCACCAGATTCCGCTGACAGCACCAGGTAATTCTCGTCGGCGGTAAACACGAGCTGCGACACCCGCATAGGCATAGGGATCTTGAGCTGAGGCTCGAAGCTTCGAATATCCGAATCGCCATTTTTGGGTCCCTCAAAGGCTTTTCGAATCGACTCAGTGGTGGCGATGATGACTTGGTCAGGGCCGGCGGCAGCAACCAGGCCTCTCTTTGAGGCAACGCTTAGGAGCGACGAGGTAGGAGTAGGAAGCGACTCCCAGGGAGAAGTGAGACGCACTTTGGCATCGCCAGCAATGGCCAGGAAGCCGAGGGCCTACATGTATAAAGACTTGCGTGTCAATGGTCTGATCAACACTTTTGGTTGCCTATTCAACAGAAAGACAACAAAGGCAAAAAGAAAAAAAAATTGCAGCAAATCAAGCAGCCAAGCAACAAAGATATTGCCACTCACCTCCGTCTGAATAGTTTCCAGGTCAGGGCCTGCATTGACATTTCCCGCGCCTCCATTCATGGTGTTGTTCGAGGCGTTGAATCCAAACGCCATTGTCGTCGTCGCCTCAGACGAGCTCCGGATCTCGTTTACAATCCGACTGGCAGACGAACATGGGTCTGCGGCGCCGCGCTGCAAAGTCCCGTCGTCGCTGGAGCTCCCGCCGGCAGAAGCTGCGCCTGGAGCTGCCGGGGCCCAATTCGGAGGCAGAGACCGCGAGAAGGGCGAGGGCGCGGCGAAGAATCGGTGAGGCGAGAAGACGCGTCGGTTGTTCTGCTGCAGCGGACTGTGCAAGAGTAGCGATTGGAGGTGCAACGGGAACTGCGCCGCCTGCACCATTCTCGCGACCCTTGCATGCGAAGTCCAACTTTTTGGGAGCTCTTGGGTGGAATCACGTGGGTTCGCACAGCTTGAGCCAATGGCGCGTGCAGCTGCGCTCCATCTGCCCACAGGCGAGGCGGCTGTCCAATCAGTGGCGCTGCCAGCTGTGCCGGGGGGGCCTTTTATAGAGGGGAACAGCAGCGCTATAAGGCACTGGAGGTGGGAGCTTGTACCTCGTGCGCTAGATTCCAGTGCGCGGTGACTTTGCCCAGCACAAGTCGTTGGCAGCAAGGTGCCTAAAGGCAGAAGGCAGCTTTTAGCCTCGTCATCAGCTACTGGCACTATAACCAAACATCGACCGTCTTCAGCCTGCGAGCTTCACCAAAACGAGAAACCACCAAGCATTGAAGTGCGACAGTACGACACAGTAAATACTGATGCTCCACGGCTGTTGATTCCTGCAACCTGGTATACACGAGCAACAGACGAGACCAGCACGACTGGTCGTAAAAGCACCCACAGCAGCCTCAAGATGCCGGGCTTCGACTTCTCCAACTACAACCGCAATGCGGCCCTGCACGCCCGCGGAGTGCCTCTGCCAAAGGCGACCAGCACAGGAACAACCATTGTCGGCTGCATCTTCGACGGCGGCGTTGTGGTGAGTGGGCATAGATCCTGTTTCTTCTGCTGCAGCAGCTGCTCTGCATAATCAATCACCCCTCCCCCTCTCTCCCTCCCTGAAGACACAACATCACAAAGCTAAAGGTACATCTGGCTGACGAACCCCAACAAAACAGATTGCTGCTGATACCCGAGCCACCTCCGGCCCCATCGTCGCCGACAAGAACTGCGAGAAGCTTCACTACATCTCCCCCCAGATCTGGTGTGCCGGAGCCGGTACCGCCGCCGACACCGAGTTCACCACCGCCCTCATCTCCTCCCAGCTCGAGCTGCACTCCCTCTCCACCGGCCGCAAGCCCCGCGTCGTCACCTGCATGACCCTCCTCAAGCAGCACCTCTTCCGCTACCAGGGCCACATTGGCGCGTACCTCGTCGTCGCCGGCTGCGACCCTACCGGCACCCACCTCTTCACCGTCCACGCCCACGGCAGCACAGACAAGCTCCCCTACGTCACCATGGGATCCGGCAGTCTGGCTGCCATGAGCGTCTTTGAGACGCAGTGGAAGGCGGACATTTCACGGGATGAGGCCGTCAAGCTGTGTAGCGATGCTATCCTGTCCGGTATCTGGAACGATTTGGGTTCTGGTTCCAACGTCGACGTTGCCGTCATCACCAAGGAGAAGACTACCCTGCTACGAAACTACATCAAGCCCAACGAGAAGAGCGCGAAGCTGCAGAGCTACCGCTTCGAGAAGGGCACTACTGCCGTCTTAAACGAAAAGGTTATCAACAAGAGCGATCTTAAGCGATTTGTCACAGTACACGACTTACCGGTTGAGGGTGAGAAGATGGATGTTGATACCTAAAGATGGGGAAGGAATAGCGGGCGGTTAGGGCGTGACTTTGTGCTTTATCCGCGAAATAGTTAACAGACTAGAAACCAAATAAAACTTCAAAGCTATGATAATGATACAATGTTTTGACCCCTTCATGAGATAAAAAAACGGGAAATTGGAGAGACAATTTCCAAAGCTATTACAAAGATACAGCTTTTCGAACAAAGTCAATGAAATAAAGGACATTGGAGAAGTTCTTTTTGGTCTTGAAATTATTGGATTATCTTTGTTATCACCCTATTTGTCCTGGATATGAGACGTTTCCCACAACGTCTTTTTGGATATATGAACAGCCAAACGCCCGGCCAAAAAAAGAGTAAAATCAACCGCACTCTATGCGGACTCGGTTTAGAGAAAAAAAGGGAACAAAGGAAATATGAATATATGTACGCCGCAGACAGCAAAAGCAGAAAAAAAAAAATTTCTTCTTACAAGAATCAAGAACCAAGGCTTGTCCAAGAAACAAGCTTTAGAGCAGTGTGTCCCAAGAAAAAGGGGCTCATCGAGCGCCCAGCATGCTTTCAAGAGCATATCAAGATAAGAAAGAAGAAGAAGAAAGCACGGAAACTAGAAAAGGAAGAAGTGAAAGCGAAAAAAAAAAAAAAATGAGAACCCGCCTACTCAAATGCTGAGAGTGAAAAAAAAAAAAGAAAAAGAAAAGAAAATAGAAAAACAGGGAGAAGAAGAAGAGTAGACGAGAAGAAAATCGGGCGGCAAGGAGCAAAAGTGGGAGAGGGAGAAAAGATAAAAGACTCCAATATTGAAGCGAGACAGCCAAATCCTAAAACTCCGTTATAGATGAATGGGACGAAGAGATTTCATCATCATTAGAGTGGCCCGTTTATGAAGCGGGCTTTTTGCCAAACATTGCCCGTGAGCGCGATTTGCTGCGGGCTCGAGCCTTCTTCGGGATGTCAGGGGTATCCTCGTCATCCTGGTATTTTGCCTTGTGGATCCTAAAAGACGATTTGAATTAGCCCATTGCCTATAAGAAATGAGAATGAGAGAGATGCAGAGATGGAACATACCAGCTGTTTCCTACCATGCTCATACCCTTGGCTTCAGCCATTCGGTAGAACTTGGCACTCTTCTTCAAGTTCTTTTTGCAGCCGATTCCCTGAGCGTAGCAAAAACCAGCTTCCGCCAAAGCATCGACATCACCCCATGCTATTCAATTCGTTAGTAAGACGAGAACCATAATACATAATACAAGTGGAGATGTGTCAGTTTCAACTTACTGCCGGCGATTTCAAAGCAGCGCAGCGCAAGTGCTTTATCTTGCTCAATGCCCCATCCGTTCATATGGCTTACGCCCAGCTCATAGATGCTCAGCGCAAACTGAGCCTTGTGAGTTTTGTTTTCAGCGACGTTGATGCGCTTTCCTTCCTTGGCCACCCCCTCATCTTCTGCAACTTCGGCGCTTGCCATATCGGCTGCTTTCCGTAGCCATTGCACTCCTTCTTTCTGATTGGCCTTCATGCCCCAGCCATGGCGACAAGCAAGGGCATACAAAAGCATTGCTGTTGGGTGGTTGAGTCGAGCTGCATGTCGGAGGTGGTAGGTGGATTCGTTCAAAGAGCCATTCTCGTGGCACTCTATTCCCTTTGCTAGGTGCTCTTCAGCCGTCATCTCTGCAGCAGTAGGTGCAGGCGCAGGCCCGGCGGTGGTGCTCGTTGTTGATCGGACGGACATGGTCGGGCGTATCGTGTTGGCAGAATCGCTGGTACCAATCGAGGCAGGGGTCCTACCCCTGGGTGCTTCTCCGGCATGCAGGGTCCGTGATCTGCCTCTGGGGCCATCTTCGGCTTGTCGCCTGGATTCATTTGAAGGTCTAGGTCCACGGCCAGCGCTCTCTGAGCTGAGCTTACCTGCATCGCTCTGCTGTCTGGTCATTGCACTAGAGATACTAGCAGCATCATCCGGAATGGTACGAGCAGAGCTAGACGGCCGAGTAGGAGGTGAAGGTGGTGCGGCCGCCTGAGGTTGGTTGTCTGAAGACTCGGACCGCTGGATCGACTTTCCTCGGGGCAGAACAAATTTTGAGTAGACATAGGTGCCGTTGCCGTTATTTTCTGCTGGCTGTTCCACAAAGGCCTCACTGTGCATGCTTATCGGGGTCTGGGCCGACTCGTCAGCCAGTATAAATGACGGCTGACTATCTGACGAAGCCTGCCTAATGGGAGGGTCGAAACTAGGGGTTCCAGATCTGCTCATGGGTCGAGAAAAGTTGAAGGCGGGCCGAGGAAGCGCGGAAGACTCAGAGGCAGCAGATGGGGATCGTTGGAAAGAAGGCATGACAGAAGATGCCATATGGTGTGGGAGGGCTGCGCTGCCAGAGGACAGTTTTCGGGAAGGCAACGACTGAACCGAACTGGACATGGTGCCAAACGACTCCTCCTCTGTCGGTACAGGAGAGGGCAAAGCGCTTGGAAAGCGTCCGGGGAAGAGGCTTCTGGGCGGTGCCAAACCGATTTCGTCGAGAGAGCTCTGTTTGAACCTTCGAGGAGAGGAATCTGAAAAAGCAGAAGAGAAGGACGAGGGCTGAGGGCGGCCAGAAATGGGGGATTTTGTTGATTGGCGATCAAGTGGAGGGAGGATATCGTTTTCAAGAGGTGAAGGTGATCGGTCTTGTCGTGCCCCGAAGTAGCTGTTTGGGTCATCACGTTGTCCCAGCCGTCGACCCCGAGCATATTCGGGGATATCTGGTACATCTGGCAGATCCTCGGGCACGGGGGGCACGCCGTCATCGGGGGTGGCCGGGATTCGACTCATGCGTGGATGCATAGATCTTGGCCGTTCGATTTCGCCCGAGAAGGCGTCTTCCACGAGCCCCAATCCAGCGGAAAGCGGAGGAGCAGGGGATTCATCTCGCTCAGACGCCGAGTCCTGGGACATGGATCGGAAGTATTCTGACCGGCCCTGGATGATGAGGGGGCTCTCGGCCGTCAGAGGGGGGAGCCGACTAACGCGATTTCCATCTTTGTTGGTAGTTTCCTGGAGCTGTCGGGCCAGCAGGCGACTCTGCAGGGCGAAGGCGTCCAAGGGAGAGAGTTCGGGGGGCGCTTCCCCGGCGACATGGAGCCGCGGCGATCGCAAAGGTCGAGAAGCAGAAGAAGCGGCAGAGTTGGCGGAGTGGGATCGCAGGTCCAGCAAGGACGGGCGATTGGTCACGGCGTCTTTCATGTTGGTCAAAGCCCAAGTCCAGCGGGTTGTGTGGTGAAGGGATAATGGATAGCAGCGAATGCGCAAGCGCCAAGGGTGCTAAACAGGATAGATAAATAAAGCCAGGAGCCTCGGAAATGCGATCATCAAAGCCTGGGCGGGGACGCGCAGAATCGGAATCCCAAAAATAACGGCCCAGAAGCAAAAGAATGGGCACCGTGGACCGGTTGGGCTGGGCTCTTCGCGTCGCCGGAGCTGCGCAAAAGCACGGGTGCAGGTGCAAGGTGATGTGGCGGTGCGGCGATGTTCTGATGACCAGGCCAGCGAGGATCAATGACGATTCGAACGGTCGTGTCAGCGTCGGCGTCGGTGACGGGCGGCACGAAAGATCCGAGTGAAGCAAGGCGAAGAAAGAGAAGAAAGAAGAGAATAGAAGCGACAAAGGAGAGTCCAATACGAAGAGAAGGCGAGAAGGATAGACTGGGGTGAGTTTAAAAAAAAAGGACGAATCGAAGAGACGCAGCTGCGCGATATCAAAGGCTCGCAGACGGCTGCTCGAACAAAGAGGTTGAAAGGTGCTGGCCCCGGGCAAGGTGGTGTATGAAGTAGAAAATACGGAGCTCTGTTTCTTGTTTAGGATACGGAGCAACGGGGAACAGTCGTGCTCGACAACGTGCGTTTCTTGTCACACGAGGGGCCAGAGTCGCGGGGAGGCAGAGAGAGAACAAGGGCGGCAGAAGAGAAGCGAAGAGAGAAGCGAAGCGATCACGACACGGGGAACGAGGCGCTCAAGGCACAGAAGCACAGAGGCAAGCCTCACGAAGACGCACGGCAACGAGGCTCGCACTGGTGGACGCCTCCCTTGCGGTCTGAGAGGCGGGCGGCTGGACTGAGGATAGGAGGAGCAACGAAGACCAGAGTCTGAAGGGTCTGAAGGGTCTGGGTCTGAGGGTCTGGAGGTGGATGGATACGAAGCAAAAGGAGGTTAGGAGGCCAGTGGCGGCCCCCCGTAGCTACGGCCGGCTCCAGGTACTCTGTACGGGCTTGCGCAGCCAGCGGCCGGTGGCGGCCCAGGTACTGCGCTACCGGCACGGCTAGTGGCAGCAGCACGAGGACTAACCCGAGATGGTGGCTTGCCCTTTAGACTTCAAGGTACAGAAGCGTAAATGCTGAAGGTTCAGGATCCTCTTTCCTGCTGCTCTGTGCCGTGGCCCCTAGTGTTTGATGGGGGCAATGCTAAAATAATGGGTAGCTATCCAGGTATTCGTGGGAGCTGCCCAGGCAGCGCTGGAGCAGAGTGCACGATGGGTGAACGAGTGATGCTACACGGCATCGGGGGAATGCCAGGCTGGTAGATGCAAACATACAGTACCGGGACCGGTACATGATATGAGAGTTTCCGCCCCAGGTAGGTCGAGATTGTATGGTGGGCATCTGCTGCTTGGCACTATCGCTTCGTATTGGCATCAATCAATGATACTTTGTCGCTAGCAGCTAGGCGCAGTGTACGCGGACGGCAATCTGAGCTGGTTGAGCCACTGCTCGCAGTCCATGAGCCGCCATCGACTCCCATAAGCTCGTATTGTAGAGATCTATCTGTTGCTGTGCCACTAGTACCGCTACTTGCATGCTGTAAGTTCTGGTCAACACCACCATTTTCCTTTCAAGACATTGCTCCATGAATACACCACACACACGCAGCGTCGCCCCCGGCTCTCGTGGCTTGACGTTCCTGGCCACACTACCAAGGTACCTAATCTCGGGCAATCTCCCCAGCGTGTGTCTGACCCCAAACATAGAGGCCTGCAGGTCATCAGACTTTCGCTACGATCCCCCAACAGTTTATACCACAACCTGCAAAGTCCTAATTGACACAAACATTCCTACGTAGGTGCCTACCTATTCAATCGATCATTCTCTTACACAGGCTACAAAGGGCAGGCATCTCGTCACACTGACCTCGGCCAAAGCCACACAGACAGCCGCACGCAGCTATACGCGCAAAGTGCCCAGCAGAGGTGGCCCAGAGTCGCTGCAAGTACCGCTACAGGGACTGCTACACAGGGCCACATTGGGCGAGGCTCAGGGACCCCCCTCAGGGACCCTTGGCATATAATTGGGTGCGCCGGCGACAGCCATTGTCTGGGGTGCATTGGGCTCATCAAATTGGGAGCAGCCACCGGGTCCCTTTTTTTCTGGGGACCTGGCCAGTCAGCGGCGATGCCTCCATCATTTTAAAACATGCACGGAGAGGCTAAATTGGCCCATCCTTATTTCCTGCATGCAGACTAGCAAATTTTTTGAATTTAAATGTGCCTCGGCGCGCATCCATCCCCATCAGGTTAACGGGCAGAGGATTTCTCGCGTTGCTGGGTGTTATAAAATCAATGGTTGCTGCAGATATCGGTCAACTGACGCTGTATTATTGTTTGCTTGCCCACTATGGCTCTACAATCGATGCCCCTCAGTGGCAATGACAGCAGCAATAACGCATTAATCTTACGCAAGCAGCTCAGCTGCGCCGTCGTCGTGGCAAACATTTGCTTCTCGCCAGCTATCTGAGCTATAAATAACATCCAGCTACTGTACTATGCCCACGTATAACACTATTTCATCGTCTTCGTGCCTTGAAGCTCCGTAATAAGGACTCCTCTGGCCCATCTGCTGCGGTCAGACTGTAATGGCTCTTTGTTATCGCCTTTTAGTGCCATGCCAATGTCGGTGCCGAGTCATTTCACCTTTGTCCGTGATCCATCGTGAGGATCGCTTATAAGGTATACAGTAGAGTAGCAAGGGGGGCGGCACAAAGGGAAAATCGATTGCGCAGATTGCATGGCCCAAATTGGACCTCCCACCAACAAGAATGTACAAGAATGTACAAGAATATCATGCGATTGGGCGGCACTTGGCCCATGCTCTTTTTGCTGGCTGCATATGCACGCGATGCTGCTGCTAATATTAACATCGGGCTCTTTGACGTGGTGCCTCTCTGATCCATCTTCATCGAAGCACGGTCGCACATCGCATCGCATCACCCACTGATATCGGCAGTGCATGCACGATGAGGTCAACCATGATACACCGCTTCTAGCAAGGGGGCGTGTGTCCCGTAGTCCATGCATGCTGTTCTTCATTTCTTCTCAATTCCAACGCCGAGCAGTTTGGATTCCATCTCAAGACCGCTGTCGAAAACAAAACAAAAAGCCCGTTTCTGGCGTCGCAAGCGTGTCACATGCGGGCTCCGCCACGGCAACGGATGAAACAGCGGCGGTGCAAATGCCAAAACACAGGGCGCTGCATATGATTCTGAGACCAATGCTGGGCGATCCGGTCTTGGGAGACGATGCTTGAGCTCGATGGAGCTCTGCAGCTCGTAACAGATACGATATCGCCGGTTTTTGCCCTCTGCTGATGTTATAATAATATCTTGTGGACGACCTGGTAGCTGTGGGAAGCTCTCTTGATGGTCACGAGGCCACAGCCGAGTTCCGGGATTTGCTGCCACTACCAGTAGTGGTATCTCCTGGTTTGGCATAAGAATCCACCGCGAATCTATTTATATCATTCTGGATCTCCGGTTGAGATAGCCATGGTTGCAGCTCCAGCAAGGCAATCTGTTTTCCCGCATACTGCTCAAGCTGTGCGTTAGCTGTTGCCAGCTCATACTCACAGCATCTATACTTGGAGCAACGTTATCTATCTCGAGGCTGTGAAACAGACGCACGCTTCGTATTCCCGCGCGGAATGTTCTAGACGCCATAGCCGAATGGATACTGCAACCGATGCCTTTCATGTGTGACCAAGTACCAAGATTTACAAAATACTGCAATTATTGAATTGCAATGACATCATGAGAAAATCCAAACACGCGGCTACAGAATACGACTGATGGTAGAGTTGTAAACACCATTGGAAATGCTAATCACTGCCGCCCAAGTCCAATTGACTCGTCCCTAATCATCATATATCGATCTATATACTTTCATTGATCCCCTTTTCAAAAAAGTTAAAAAAAAAAAAAATGATATTCCATCCAGAACGCCAATGGTCCATACGCCTCAAGAGTCCCAGCGAAGCAATCTACAATGGGACGTCTTTGACCATGCTCTCTCACATATCCTTAGATCGAAGCTTCTTCAACCTAGTGGCACCCTCGAACAAGCCGCGGTCAATCGCAGCAGCAACCGTCAAGGTCCCGCCGACAATCGCACAAAGTCCAGACAGGAAGCCAAGGAATGTCTTGGCCCGCTCTTCTCGGTTGATAACTTTCATAGGGGAGATGTCCTAGGTACACAATGTTAGCTTTCAAGAGTTGCACCATAGGGACTTCATCTGCAGTAGTATCATGGATGCTTACATAGGAGAAGAACACGCCGGGAATACCACCCTTGGAGTGCAGCCTTTCAGCGTGACCCTCCTTAGCGTCATCGCCTCCCATCAGGCTTCGTTTGTGGCTCGTAACGGAATACTGGTGTGTCTCAACACTGCCATCAGACGCAGAGGCGGACTTTTGCTCCCAGCCGAGTGGAAGATACGACGTAGGAACAATCTTGACAAAGTACATGTAGTTAAAGTTGGGATCGCTAGTTTCCTGGTGGATTCCGTCAAGAGGATTGAGGTGGTGGTTGGTCCACGCAGTTCTGCGGCCCATTCTCGCAATAACCTCAGGTGGCAGCTGGGGTCCAAATCGCAGAGAGTGGATGACATGAGTGAAGTCGTGTGCCTTCATGCCGTTAGGGAGGTCCCAGTAGTTCTTGAGATCGTGGACGTGCATGTTTCCGTTGCTGAAGCTTCGGCCAGGGGCAAGATGGAAGTTTCCAACGACCTTGTTGACCTGCAACAAGCCCTCAATGCGGCAGCCCTCTTCTCGCTGCTGATCCAATCGCTCAGAGTAATGTTCTCTCTCGCACTGCTCCACGCCCTCGCCTCGGCCAAAGGCCCACGACGCCTGCGCATAAGCTTCTCGAACCTCGTCACAGGTATTGCAGCAGCCGGGCTTCTCAGCGTTAGCAGGCGCAGTAGCTCCGTAGCAGCCACCGCAGTAGTCGGGGTTCAGGTGCTCGGCCTTCTCATGTAGCTGTGCCAGCGAGTTGCTTTCAATCACACCACCGCCTCGTGATGGGGGCTGCAGACGAAGCTTGGTGATACCGTGGGCGACACCATGCTGCTGCTCGCCAGAAACGTCCATGACATCCAGAGTTAGCAGCTCGCAGGGCATGTTGGGAAAGGTTATGTTGAGGTGAATGTCCATTCGCTCGCCTTCGTAGTTGTGTTAGCCCAGCGTTCCAACGAGCTCCAACGCGCAGCTTGAGTTCCTTCACGTACCTCTGCCTTTGTCCACCACCAGCTCTGGGTGTACCACGATGCGCCGATACGAAGACCATTCTCCCCAAGACAGGAACAGCACAACCAGCAGCGACACAATTGTTACAATGCCGCCGCTGGTGGTCCGGATCCGCGCCTCATCCACCGTCTTTGTAAAGGCGTCGAGCCTTGTGAATCGCGACTTGGGAGCCATTGCGGATATGCAGCCAGAAACGCAGTTGACGAGGTACCAGCCAACAGGTTTACCTGTGCAGACAGCGCAGCGGTTCTATCCCGTTAGAGCGCAGTCCCTAGGGAGAGCTTGCAGAAACCAGAAGCAAGCGGATGGTTCTCTCTCTGCAATTGCATCGATAGCGAGAGACCATGAACGAGGACGGCGGCGCAGAAGCGGGTGGCAGAAGCGACGTTGTCAAAATGTCTTGAGGCCACCTGTCGCAACAATACCTGAAGCTGACTACTAATCCCACTTGTACCTGTTGCATAGCACCCGACCCCGGGCACAGGCGTCTAGACTCGCCGCAAGGCCCTGAGCTAATGCGGGCTATAGTGGCAAGGGGGGGTCGCCGGCGAAACCTCGGCTGACGCCTGCCGCTGTGCTCCATTGCCTATTCTGGCGCAGTGAAGGCATAGACTTTCAAGCAAACGCGAAGCTCTCTCAGCATCTCGCAGCCTCGTCATTGTCTCCTCCCAACCAACCACGAATACCCGCTTGCGCTCCATTTGGCCTCTTTCAACTTGTCCAAACTAAATCTTCGAAAGCTGATTCACTACGATAAACCTATTACTGGAGAAAAAGGGCAGAGCATTTACCATTCAGCATCGCGATAGCATCATAGTACCGAATCTTCAAAACGCTGCCCAAAGTCTCGTTCAAATCTTCGTCCAAAGCCCACGAACCGCCAATATGTCGACGAGACCTCCTTCAAGGGTCGTGTTTGTGGGAAACATCCCGTACGGTTAGTCATGGATAGGCCAATGGGCACAACTGATGCGCCTACCCGACCCGAACCTATAGCTAACAGCGGTACTCTAGGCCTCTCTGAGGAGCAAATCACAGACATTTTCAGCAGCGCTGGAAAAGTAGAGCGCTTCCGCCTCGTCTACGACTCGGAAACTGGGCGGCCAAAAGGATTCGGATTTGCAGACTATCCCGATACTGGTTCGATATGCCCCCATCCAACACCTTCACCAACAGACATGGCATAGCTAACCATATCCTCTCTCAGACTCTGCTTCCTCAGCTGTCCGCAACCTGAACGAATATGAAATCATGGGCCGAAAGCTTCGAGTCGACTTTTCCAACGAACAAAAGAGCACCGATGATGATGGCCAAGTATGTATCTGCAGACCTCTGCTAGAGCCAACTTTCGCTAACTGAATAGACACCCGGACAGAATACCGGTGCCTCGAATAGCGGCGCTGCTTCGGGATACAACACTCAATCAACACCCCTTCCTCCACTCCCGGCTGGAAAAGAGATACCACCAGGCTTGACTTGCACTGATGCCATCTCAAGAACACTCAATACCTTGCCGCCACCCCAGCTACTAGACATCCTAAGTCAGATGAAGACGTTGGCCACATCAGAGCCTCAGCGAGCGACAGAACTTCTCCAGCAAGCCCCTCAGCTGGCCTACGCCGTCTTCCAGTCACTGCTTTTGATGGGCCTCGTGTCTCCCGAGGCCATCCAGTCTGTGGTTGACCCGAACGCGCCACCTCCACCGGCCAACTACTCATCGGCACCCATTGCTGGATATCCTGGCATCCCTGTCGCGAACCACACGCCACCGGTTACCGCAATGCCGTACGCACCTCCTGCGGCAAACAACGCGGGTTATGCTCCTCCAGCGGCGGCACCACCTGCAGCAGCTCCTCCAGCCATGGGCCAAGACCCGGATGCTCTGATGCGGGCCGTCATGGAGCTCCCCCAGGCTCAGATTGACATGCTTCCAGAGGCTGATAGGCAGCAAATTATGGCTCTCAGGGCCACGTTTGCTGGCCAGCGGCGCTAACCATACTAAATATTAATGACCAACTTTTGTCAAATTATGCATCGAGCACCACGAGCACAAAGCATTCGCGCTGAACCAAAACTTCATCACTGTCGATGAATGCATTGGTTACAGAAATATGCGAGCGTCGGGGACCCTTTATGGACATGCAAGCTCTGCATGTAACGATAGTTCTCACTAGCGAAGACGACTAAGACCAGACGGCATTGTTCTCTTTATAAAAGATACCATGCACATTTCAATCCTGTTCGAAAACTCACGACTTTGATATACCAGTCACACCAGTAAGACGGAGAAGGAAAAGAATATTCATGAGAGGACGGGTGAGGAGTTCAAATTGCAGCAGCTGCAAGCCAGCCGCACAAGAGATGAGTGAAGGAAAAGAGATGAGTGAAGGAAAGGACAAAATCTATGGATTGTGGCTAGAAACAGATTACTTTTTGGTAGCACAACCTTTAAGGCATAGGTGCCCAGGATATATTAATGTATATGTTGTAAGGAGGACGTTGAGAAAAGTTCTTGACTACATTTCTAAAATGAAGGCGAATAAAACAGAGGCAGGTACAATAACTAGAAGTCGTATTACGACGGTCGCTCCAACATTGGAGTATGCATGTTTGCGTGGATGGCTCAAGATTACCCTATACGTTTTCGCAATCTTTTACAATTTCCTCCATCCAAGTAACCTCATAGTAAAGAGTACGAGAATGCATGTGCTGTGAATGTTTCTCTTTTCATCGTCTTGTAAATGAATTCCTAATAAATCGTGATAATGAGCGACAAGAAGGATGGAAAAGACGATGCCCAAATTTTGATGCTGGTGGGTGAAATGATAAGCATATATTTTATCTAGACACACCAACTTACCGCGGTAAAAGATGAGACTTCTTTCAAGAACCGAAAAATACTAATGCTAACTAAAATAATACTGATATGAAATACTCAAAAAGCTTTACTCCATATCCATATGTAAACGTATACACCCGCGGGTAATAGGGGCGGTTTGATATACACACCTTGACACTCCCTACCATACCTAGTACTCTGTTCTATTGCTTTCCATTCTGATCCAGATCCAACAGGATGCCACTAAACAAAGAAGAAAAAAAGATCACACCTGTAACGCCACTCCTTCCATAGTATCCATTTGTTGCCTTTGGAAAGGGAGTTCTCAAACAATGTTATACACCCTCTTTGCAATCCAATAACACGCCAGCCCGAAAAAGAGCAAGCCGGCGGTGATGCACATAAACCAGGTGAGGTCACCTTCGATATCCTGCCCTGGCACCCACACGTTCATTCCCCAGAGACCGGTGATGATGTTCATGGGGAGAACAATGGTTCCTAGGACGGTGAGCTTGCCGAGCACATCGGCGGTCTGCTCCTGTCGCTCATTCATACGAATGTTAATCTGCGCTAGATAATTTCCGTGAGATCGAGCCAATATCCTAGAAGAAAATGAAGTGTTAGCTAGTTAAACAACGCCAAAGAAGAGGGCTTGCTGCGTACTTCTCATAGTGACTAAGATTAGAGGTCATAGTCACGATATGATCTTGAATATCGCCAAGATAGAGGCCAATTTCTGACCTTGGAGCAACCTCCCATCGCTCGTTGCAGCGCTTTGCAAATCCCTTGATTACATCCGCCTTATTGCCCAGTAATCGATACAGACTCATGACGCGTTTCCGGCAATCGCCAACACGTCGAAGCATGTCGCCACTCGAGTCCGCAATGGTCGTGGCATCGTCAAGTTTGGTAGATTTTTCATCCTGCAGTCGCTTGTCGGACGATGTGTGCAGCTGCAAGATGGCCTCGTCGATTTCGTCGACCTCATCCTCAATGTTCTGAATGAGAGGCTGGAAAACGTCGGTGATGTCGTCAATAATAGCATACGAGATCCAATCCGACGAGAGAATCAAATAGTCCCGCAGTTGTCGTATTCGTCGACGGACATTGGCCGGATGTGGCGTGGGCGAGAAATGAAAGCTCAAGACTCCCTCGCGGAAGACGATGACGTACATATTGACGGGCTCCAAAAAGTTTTCGCTGTGGATGTCCTGATCAAAGGTGCGGTAATTGACAAAGTAGTAGTGTCGAAATAGCTCGACCTTCTCGCGAGCCTCTTGTAGCATGACGTCTTCGGCTGTTAGGGGGTGAATGCCAAAGGCTTTTGCCAGGACCTTCATCTCATCCTCTGTCGGACAGAGTATGTCAAGCCACCACACGGGTCTCTCTCCATATCGAACTTGCTTTTCAGAAATTTTCGGCACCTCTGTGTTGCTAGTCTTGGGGGCAAGATGATTGTCGGGGGACTTGTTTCCACCACGAACCGAGGCAGACCTTGAGCTACTATTGGTTTCGCCTCGAGCAAGCGGCGACATAAAATCATCTCTCCTATTGTCGAAAGAGGCTTGCCGCGTAGAGGTTTTCGTATCACCTTCGAAGCCATCTGCGGAATATCGCGCTTTGGATGGCTGGGAAATGACATCCTCCGAATCGCTTTCTTCGTCAGACGACAAGACGCGCGGCTCAGGAATGAATAATTCCTGGAAATCGCTGCCTTGCTGAACGAGCTCTGAGATGGTCTGGCTGTGGACTGTGCTCTGGAATTCTTCGTTGAAATAGGTGAATCTGTAAGGCGCTTCCTCATCGGTCTGAAACCAGCCCTTTCGGACCGGGCGCAGACGGCCGTTGATTAGCTGTGGCTCAGTAATCTTCTTTACTCGTCGCTCGTCGCTGCGATCTTCCTTTTCGTAGCGCATCCAGTCTTCTAGCACAGACAGGTCCGGCCACCGACCACGGCGACGACGTGTTCTGTACCGCGGAGTCTCATATCTAATCTCATCATCGCCCATATCAGACATTCCGGGCCCGGGGAAGCAGACGTCGCCGGAGACCTCAGGAGCCAGTCTCATTTCACTATTAGTTCGATGGTCACGGCCCTGCCCGGCTTCCGAGAGCGCCTCATCGCCGCTCTCCATTCCGAGCTCATCTCTTATCATGACATCGCCAAAGTTCAAGTCCATTCCATCAGTCGGGCCAAATGTCGGGGAGCCAGGGATAGAGGGCGGGTGGTTAACATCGTATTTGTCCTTTGAGCTAAAGGCCGTCTTGAGCCTTGCCCTTGAAGACGAGCTCGAGTTTCTGCGGCTTCGATTTCGGTTGAGGCGTGTATCGCTTGCGCCGTAGCTGGAGACGCCCTGCTGCGATCCCGGATGCCTTGCTGTTTCTGATAATAGCGGAGAGTTTTCGTCCCAGCGACCGGAAGGGCTTTCGTCGCCGCTTTGCGCCGTCTGCATCGACCGAAGGCGACTGGCGCTGACGGACGAGAAGGGGTTCTGAAAGGAGCCGGGCCCAACTACCGTCGATGATCGCCGTACGCGCATCGGATGCTGTTCTCTAGAGAGCAGAAAGGGAGAAGAGGTTACATGCCGGTCCACTCACAGACAAAGGGGATGCAGGTCCATGCAGTCAACATGATCACGAGGGTTGTTGCTTACCTGTGGTCCAGTAGCGCTTCGCTGTCGATGCTCGTGCCGCTGAGGCTGGCCTGCGCCACCTTGTAGAATCCATTGCCCGACGACTCGCCCAGCTCATCGTGGCTGTCCTCATGCAGAATCGCAAAGCTCTTCCGCCGCGATCGCTTCTTCTTGCCGCCGCGATGGCCCTTACGCTTCTTTGGCGGGCGTTGCGGCTGGCTGGTGGGATGCGACGTTGGCCCAGGTGACGATGCAGCTCTGGCAGCGGCTGAGGCCGATGTGCCCTGTGGAGCAAAGGGATTGCTGCTGGACATTTTCAGCGGCTTCGTCGAGACGTGGGAAGCACCATCATCCACTGCTGCGTCGCCGCGCAATGGTCAGGAGTGACGATGGTAAAGATAATAGGGGGCCGTCTTGTCCGTATTTCGTGCCTGGCATGGAGATTGTTTGTCCAGGGTTGCTGGCCCTGGCGAGGTTGGAAGAGCGAATGCCTTGGATAGTGATGTCAGCTAGCGAGGCTAGGCTGCTGGGGAAATCGGCCAGCGGGGGGTTGTTAGCGTTTGCTTGCTGTGGCGGGTTCCGGCGGCCAGCGGCGGACAAAATAGATGAGACAGGCGAGCATCAAACATGTCTCGGCACAGCCACGAGTGCATATGCTTATAAAGGCAGGGGATAGGACATAAAATGTACAGAATAAAACGAGTAAAGAGGTGTTGAAACGCTCAATTTGAGGATCTACTTGAAGAGACATTCATCTCTTGACTCGTTATTGTTATCCATGCCTCTATTGCTGCTGAGCTGCCTATTTTGTCACCCTCTCCCAAAAATGGTTTCCGTCACCATGAGCTCTTCAGATAAGCTTTGGCGTACTAAATCTGCCGTCTCCACAAACAGCTCACCAACGGGCACTGGAATCTCCTCGGAGCACCTGCTCCAGTGGCTTGTGGCGACGATCCGTGCCCAAGGCAGGTTGGTATAGCATTGAGTTTGCCTATTTACTGCTGTATACGACAAGTATCGCTCCTACAACACAGACTGGCTGGACGTGATAACAACGAGAAGCAATTTGGTATATACGGCATCGCGGCAGTGATTAATTCTAATATTTCCAAGGCTGTCGGACCCTCCTCTTTCCTGGCCTGCGGGCCAATCGTTATTCTCCGATTCCATATGCGCGTGTCAAGTGATAACTGCACTGGACACCATGCATGCGCTACTGCATCCATCTCATGGCTCTCCTTATGCAGCCGCGACACCATTCGCCGGCTCTCCAAAGTCCCACAGCTTCACCAACAGGCTGTCTGGGTTGGTGGCGGGCTCGTCTTGGGGCAGGAAAACCCTCTTGGGGATGTGGAATTCCACCACGGGGGCTTTCTTGATATCCTTTGCAATCTCCGCATCGAGCAACTGTAGAAGAAAGATGTTAATGGGCATGTACTACTGACGGGATCATTTGGCATATGCACTTACACTAGCATAAGAGTGATCGAGGAAATCTTCCATGTTGTATGACTGCTTGGTGAACTGCTCGGAAACAATCTTTGCAACGGTTGCAACGTTCGGGTGATAGTGCGACTGCAGCTGAACAAGCTCCCACAGGGAGCTGTCAATTGCGCCGGTCTCGATGGGATCTGTCTCTTTGGGGTTGAAGGAATCGTCTGCGCCATTGTCCTGGATATGCTTCTTCAGCTCCGGGTCTTGCACAACTCGATGGATCATGAATGTGCAGGTTGGGTGACGTTTCAAGAGGTTGTAAATCCAAGGGATGACAGTCACAATGGCGCTCGGGGGAGCGTTTAGTGAGAGTCGAGCAAGTCTCTTGACAAAGCTGGCAACAAGAGCAGCGGGAAGATGAGTCGAGGCAAGGAAAGTATCTAGGAGACGGAAAAAGCGGGAGCGATGCTTGGAGTGAAGGATGTCTTTGTCGAGGAGTGAGTAGAGTTTGGGATAAAATGATGGGTAGTCTAGGTTCCGCTCTTGGATGAGATAAAAGACACCGGATAGAGCTAATAGGGACATTGAGCCGCCTGCATTGTAACAGCTGGTGAGGAAGTCGGATAGGAGCTCGGGCCTTGTAAACCACGGGGCGATGTTTGTTGATATGACGCTGAGAATGCGTTTCCGCTCATCCTTGCTCTGGACAATGCTCAGTATGGCTAACCAAGCGTCTTGTCCCTGTCGCTTGTGTTGGATAGCTGATCTCAGATTGTGAGATTTCTTTTGAGGACGAGGGATGTAAAAATCCTCGAGCTCCTCGGCAGACTGGGGGACTCCATCTAGGGCTGAGAGCAAAGCAAACGCTCGGTCAAAAAAGCCGTCTGGAATATCATCCTTGTTTAATCGCCCCAAGATTGTCCTGTATATAGGTAAGTATCATAATTGTGGAAATATCCAAGATTGCTGTTATGGCTACTCACTTTACTGATTTGAATGTGTAGTATCGAATGTCGTCAAACTCTTCCACGTACGACTCGAGAAATGCCTTTCTCACCTCGTCGCTATCCGACATAATCAAAGTCGCAATAATGCCCTCTAGGAAGGCCTGGGGAAAGGTGTATTCTTCTTTATTGTGAAGATGCTCTCCCTCTGCCTTTAGGGTCCTCATGCAGAGAGTGAGTGCAGTCACAGCCAGATCTTCATCTTTTAGCATGCTCTGCAGCAGTGATTTGTACTGTGAATATTGGTCTTTTAGCCAGCTGAAGACCACAGCTTCCTTCTCTGACTGATTTTTCTTTCCGACGAGAGAACCCTGAGCCAGTAATCTTAGGAAGATTCGACATAAAGCCACTGCGGCCAATGTGGACTCTTCCTCTCCATCTTCGTAGCCACTGGCGATGCTGACAAGGTTGGCAATATCGTTGTAGTTCTTCTTGGATTCCAAGATGCCTTGCTCCATGAGTAGGATCTTTCCGCTGAGGTCTTCAGCCTCCTCATCTGATGAACGCCGTCTCTTGGCGACTTTGGTGACCTTGTCGCCTGTGGAAGCCCTTTTGCGCTTCGCGCTGTCCTGAGAGCCTGCAGGCATGATGAGCTGAAATATTTGTGGAATGAGCAGAATTGAGCAACGAGCTTCTTTGTAGAAATGTGAAAATATCTTCTTTAATGTGCTTTCAGCAAAACGTGATATTAGGCCGGTCCCAAGTTGTTTGCCAGCTGAGATTTGGTCTGAGAAGCACCAGAAATTCTTATCGCTGAAAAGATAACATGGAAATTTCACTGGGCCTTGAACATCCCAGCCAATGAGCTGCCTGTTCCTTTTTTTTCCGAGTCGAGTCGACACTTCAATTCGGAGCAAGCTCGGCTAAAAACCGCAGCCCCAGCATGTTCATTGCTCCCCAAGCAAAAGCAACTCCAACCTCACGTGACTCCAGCGTGTTACCGAACTAGCGCGATAAAACCTCAAACCTCATTCCCAGCTTCCGATCCGATTTATATGACAAGGCCGAGATACCCCGTCCGAAACCATCTCACAATGGCGTCTCGCTTGGTACGAAGCGCTGTCGGTATGTGAATCGCCGTCGCAAAAACACCGCTGACGCCCAGGTCCCAATTGGTGCGAAGCCGAAGGCTGACCAGAGTGCGCAATTTGCAAACAAATACAGGCGCTCCCCTCCTCCGATCCTCCATCTCCCGCCGAGCGGCCCCTGCGATCTCTGCTGCTGCCGTCCGATACTCCAGCAACGTCCCCGCCGAGGAGCCCAAGAAGAAGGCCCAGAGCATCATCGATGCCCTCCCCGGCAGCAACCTGATCAGCAAGTCCGCCTTCCTCAGCGGTGCTGCCGGTCTCAGCGTCTACGCTCTCAGCAATGAGTACTACGTCATGAACGAGGAGACTGTCGTTGCCGTCTGCTTGCTGGCCGTCTGGACTGGTCTGCTCAAGTACGGCGGCCCTGCCTACAAGGAGTGGGCCGAGGCTCAGAACGAGAAGATCAAGAACATCCTCAACAGCGCCCGCGCTGACCACACCGAGGCCGTCAAGACCCGCATTGAGGACGTCAAGCAGATGAGCGGCGTTATTGACATCACCAAGGCCCTCTTCGAGGTCTCCAAGGTACAATGAATTGAGAAATCTGGGCTAGTCTTGTTGCGACCCAATGTTAATACTCGTAATGTAGGAGACTGCCAAGCTTGAGGCTCAGGCTTTCGAGCTCGAGCAGAAGACTGCTCTGGCTGCCGAGGCCAAGACTGTCCTCGACTCCTGGGTCCGCTACGAGGGCCAGGTCAAGCAGCGACAGCAGAAGGAGCTGGCTGCTTCCATCATCGCCAAGGTCCAGAAGGAGCTCGAGAACCCCAAGGTCCTGCAGCAGATCCTGCAGCAGAGCGTCGCCGACGTTGAGAGTACGTGGACACTTTTACGCCATGAACGGCCACGATTTGCATGTTGTGACTTTTGACTAACGAGTATTACAGAGATTGTTTCTTCTGCCAAATAGATGACAAAAAAAAATTACTAGAGTCTAGATTCAAGGTCCTCGCAATTTTTTCCTTTTGTCACGAAATAAACAACCCCTGTGCATATAATAGCACCTGTGCAATTAGCCAATCAATCAAGACACTAGTCGATATATATATATTCGTCTTCAAAAGTTGATTCTGATCGAGATGATATGTGCATGCCGCCCTAGTGAATAGTCTTGATAGGGGGGATTGCGTGTGCAAAATATGTTTACTCTTGTATTTTTATGATTAGTGGATGGAATTGGCAATAAAAGAATTCTTCTTAAATATGTACACAAAAACAATTATTTTCGGGAGATCAACGCTAATACCATTACACCACGTTAAGTAGGGTAGTATATAGGAAAAGGGGGCCGCTCTCTTGTTTGAAGCTATCCAAATTGATGCTATTGATATCTACCTAAGTACCCTGCCTACCCAATCCCGCACCAGAAAAACATACACACATTATAAACATAAGTTGGTGATCGATAATTAATACAGCAGTCGGACGAAAAAAACAATAATTGATCCTCCCCGAGAAAAAAAAATACCAGTTTCCATGAAAATATACAAATGAACCAAGCAAAAGCAAAAACACCTCACCCTCCAATACTAATAAATTGGCCTCCCTTCAGCCCATTTCTTGCTCTCCACTGCCTGCGCCGGTGAATCAGCAGCCAGATCTCTAGTCCATCTGCCACTCATCCGCCTTCTTCGGGCTCCCTCGCCATTAATAGGGCCAATCCACTCCCAGGCGCGGCCAACCTCGCCACTCCTGCCTTCTCGTTGGCCGGTACGAACATTGCTGTTCTGCTCAACAACCTTCTTGACTCTTTGCCATATTCTCTCTCTCTCAGCCACTTTATGAACAGAGCGAAGCACATCATCTCTCAAATTGGGCAAAAACAACCAGGGATCATCTATATCTTCGGCGCCCAACTCCTTCTGATTGGCCAGTCGATCCAAGACTAGGTCGACTAAAGCCGGGACTTGCGCCGAATACATGACATGTTGGCGGTAGCGAGCGCGCAAGTAGAACACCGCCAGCACGACGGACATTAAAACTCCAATTGGGAATCGATATCTTGCCAGCCCGAGGCGGACGGAGCGCTTGAGCGCACAGGTGATCGGAAGGCGAGCGAGAGAGCTGGACGATAGCTTGCGGTTTGAAAGACCTGAGGGATCGGACGATCTGTTGGGTTAATCGCGGATCTGATTAGCTGCTATGTCAGAAAAAAAGAGATTGAAAATTGGGGAGGATTTTGGTGGTTTGAAGCCGAAGCTTGAGACCCCATAGAGAGAAATGTAGAACTTACGTAGTCGTTGCAATCTCTACAATCACTTCTTCGCGAGTGGTGATTTCGCCAATGGCAGCCACCCAGAGGTCTTCGAATTCATCGCTGTTCAGCCTCTTGCTACGCTTCCTGCTCACAGTTGACTTGAGCTCTTCCTCAGCAATGGCAGGGGAGCTGATTTGGGCGCCGGACTCGTCGACCAATTCGCCACACTCATACCTGGCGCGGCGTTCCCTCAGCTCCTCAATGGCCTTATCAGCAACTGCCTGGACTCGGCGCGCCTTTTCGCCGTCTGGCTCACAGGTAGGTGGAAGTGGGACAAGGCCGCCAAAAGACAGGGGGTGGGGCTTGAGGACAAAATCGCTGTGGCAGCGAACGGAAAAGTCCTCGTAGCAGTAGGCGTGCAAAGGGCAAGGCTCGCACGAAGGCTCCACGAATGGAACTATGAAATCGGGCACTGGAACATCCGGGGGGATAATCTCGGTCGCTGGTCGGCCGAGTCCGCAGTAGCCAACGGCAATCTTTTCCTGTCGATACCAGGCCAAGTAGACGCCGAGAAGAGAGATGAAGAGGACGAAGAAGGGCGTCCTCAGGTTTGACTTGCGGGCGGGCCTTGCATGCCTCCGGGGCACAATCTCGGTCTCTCCCCTCCTGGCTGCCTCCTCAAGCTCCAGCTGCGCATCAGGCGTGAATTCCTCGCCGGCATCCATGGACCAATCTGGCGTTCTGTGTCTCATCTTAGAAGAAGATAGTGCCTGGGATCTCGCAGTTGTGGACGGCCGTTGAATGCTCAAAGGCTCAATGAACTCATCCTGACGTCTTCGGGTGACTGCTTTTTCGCTTCTAAGGATCTCCTCGAAACCCGGTCGTCTGCGGCTCGGTGTCTTGATGGCGGGAGAGCCCCTCTGGAATGGATTGTCATCACTAAAGACGCTCTCTTCTTCTTCCTCGTAGGGAGCAGTAGAAACGGTAGATGGCGGCGCGGCAGACTTCAGCGCACTGTAATAGGGCGTAGGGGCGTAGGGCGTAGCAGCAACTGGAGTAGCAGTGTAGTGGGATGAGATGGGCGTGTCATCCTCGACTTCCGGCTCGTCTTTGATTTTCGGTGTAGCAGATCGCGGAGGCTGAGGGCGGCGCGCCGACCTGGGCGCTTCATACTGGGGGGCCTCATCCTCTTCATAGTGCGATGACTGTCGGCTCACTGAGCGGCTGGCGGTTCGCGAACTGCGCTTCGGCTGGCTCTTTACGGGCGTCTGCGCTGGCTCTTCTTCGCGCTTGACCTTGGCCGAGGCCTTTCGAGGCGATGCTGATCGACGCGGCTTGGACACTGGCGTCGGCCTCAATTCATGTTCGTCCCATCCGTTGTCCTCGGCGCTGCCCGCATTGACGATGCCCATGCTGGACCGCTTCGCGCGGGCGCGTTGGGCGCGCAGCTTCGGGACCTGCGGTAGGACATGCTCCTCAACGAGCTCGACTAGCTGGGTCTTTTTCGCAGTGGCGGGATACTCGACGTTGTGCGTGACGAGGATGGAGCGCAGTCGCGGGACGGTGACGCTGCGCGGGTCGAAGCCCTCTTGGAGATAGTCGTCTGCGTCGGCCATTTTTGCTTGAGTTCTTGGCCAGCAAGTTGTTGCGGTGGGTTCCAAAAGACGGATATCTCAATGGTATATGGTGGACAAGAGAACAAATATGCGATAGAAAAATACAGCAAAGGAATGCGGAGCGCCGTGGACTCTCGCCGGCTCGTCTCGAAACTGGCCAGCTAGCCGGCAGTAAATCAGCAGCGCCGCAGCTTTCAAAACAGTGACGGAGCCCCAGAATAAAAAAGCCCGGGGTCTCCAAATGTGAAACTAGTTTCCGGTCTCAAGTCCTAGTCGCGAAATTAAAAGGCAGAGCTTTATATCTTTCTCAGACGAGGCACGGCGACCAAGAATGCGTTTGCATGTGTTGATTGAAGGACGATGCAAGAAGCAAAAAAGTGCGATGCTCTATGCCGGTGGTTGAAAATGTATGTGTGAATTTGCTTTTCTCGCCGCACATACGTAGCGCCGTTGTCTGTGGCAACAACTGGAGCCTTGGAGAGAAAAAAACGTTACGGCCCACCCCAAGCTGTTTTCAGCGTTGGGGCAGATGCCACATGGCCGCGATCTAGGCCTAGGCTGCGAAGCTCTGCCTAAAGAGTGGCGCACGCACCGCCACATGGTAGGTTGCGCCACACCCCGCCACAGCGAGTTCCGTCATGCCATGTGGGATGGAAATGTGAGCTTCATGCATGATTTCTGTGTAGAGACGCTTTTGTGTCGCATTAGCCATTGAGGGCCAAGGATCGCAGCCGCACTTTCATAATGGCGTCCAGCCGGGCTCTGATGGCGAGTCCTCGCTTTGTTTGCCGCAGTTGCTCCCGCCAGGCGCGCAATTCGACTTCTTATCGACGATCCTATGCCACAGCCTCTTCTCAGCCCTCTTCGCAAGATATCTACGATGTGGTCTGCATCGGAGGTGGCCCAGCCGGGTTGAGTCTTTTGACTGCGCTTCGTAAGAAAGACCTTTATAATTGCATCTCTACTTTTGATATTCATAATGAAATGAGAGTGCTAATTGCTCTTTTTTGATATTAGGCGCCAATCCTACAACCTCCCGCCTTCGTGTCGCCCTTGTTGAAGCGCAAGACCTTTCCAAGACAGCTTCTCTATCTCTCCCACCTACCCAGTTCTCCAATCGATGCAGCTCCCTCACGCCCACGACCGCTCAATACCTCAACACCATAGGAGCATGGCGACACATGCAGCGCAGTCGCATCCAAGAATTTCACGAGATGCAAGTCTGGGATGGCGTGACGGATGCGCGCATAGAGTTTGACTTGCAGCCTGGATTCTCTGCTAGCACAGGAAATGTCATCGCATACATGACTGAGAACTTGAACATAACATCCGGTCTTTTGAAGCGAATCAAAGAGCTTGGAGGGGTTGACGTGTTTGATGCTTCAAGAGTCGAAAAGATTACGCTCGGGGAAGAATCTGAAGAGATGGATCTCAGAGAGTGGCCTGTCGTACATCTGCAGAGTGGCAAGTCTCTAGCTGCGCGGCTTCTTGTGGGAGCTGATGGCGCCAACAGCCCTGTGCGATCCTTTGCGCGCATCGAGAGTCGAGGATGGGACTATCACAGACATGGACTTGTCGCAACACTAGAGTTGGAAGGGGATGGATGGGGAGGCGAATATCACAAAACTGCATACCAGCGATTCCTTCCGACTGGGCCTGTTGCCATGCTTCCACTGCCCGGAAACCATGCAACTTTGGTCTGGTCAACGACGCCTGAGAATGCCGCCGTGTTGAAAAAGCTACCTGCCAAAGACTTTATTGCTCTGGTTAATGCAGCGTTTCGACTCAGTCCCGTTGACTTGGCTTACATGCACACTCAGGCTACGGGCCAAGAAGAAGAGCTTGCATGGCGAACACAGCACACGTCTTTTGACTCTAGAGCAATCCCACAGCTTGCGGTTGGCGTCCAAGAGGGTAGCGTTGCATCATTCCCTTTGAAGCTGCGACATGCAGACACTTACATCGGTGAACGTATTGCTCTTGTTGGTGATGCAGCACATACTGTCCATCCTCTCGCAGGACAGGGCCTGAACCAGGGACAAGGGGATATTCAGAGTTTGGTCAAGGCCATCGAGTATGCTGTGGCCCACGGTCAGGATTTGGGAACGCAAATGTCTCTCGAGTCATACAACAGCGAGAGGTATGCCGCGAACCACGTGGTGATGGGAGTGTGTGATAAGCTTCATAAGCTGTATTCCGTGGAAAGTGGTCCTTTGATTCCCCTGCGGTCACTCGGCTTAAAGGCCGCCAACGCTCTGGGGCCATTGAAGAATTTCTTCATGGAACAGGCTTCTGGTCGGGGATTAAAGGTTTAAGTGTCTGCAGCTATGGCTGTATAGAAATTGCCTTTCCCGATCCACCCGAACTTCTATCTCTTGGTCCCACGAGTATCTAAATAACCCACCTGTATCAATATAATACTAGTATGTAAAGAGTTTTCAAAAATCGCGCGCATTCACCACTTTTCGAAAAAGACCCGAGGGGCCACCGGACATTGAACATAACAAAATTCTGGAGAGTATTTACGAAGTTCTCCACGTCAGCTATGGCTACAGACAAAGAAAACGTAATTCTAATATTTTTGCCTTCCACCCCATTCCCTTTACCTGTCGACCTCACCTGCACATCCAAGTTAGCAAATTTCTCAAGATACAATTCTGTGCCATGTTGACGATACGTACCAAACACAAGATCCATAGTACCAATCAGAGCGACCGCATCAGCCAACAAGTGGCCCTTGGCGACGTGGTCGAAACCACCCAGGTGGGCAAAGCCAGGAGCGCGGATGTGGCATCTGTAAGGGCGCTCGCTGCCGTCGCTGACTACGTATACTCCCATCTCACCCTTGGGGGCCTCGATGGCAGAGTAAGTCTCTCCGGGAGGTACGGCGTAACCCTTGGTGTAGAGCAGGAAGTGGTGGATCAGAGCCTCCATGTTCTCCTTCATGGCGGTTCGGGGAGGAGGTGAAATCTTGTAGTCCTCGACGCGGACGGGGCCGGCGGGCATCTGGTTCAGGCACTGGAAAATGATGCGCAGTGACTGTCTAAACTCCTCCATTCTGCACAGGTATCGGTCGTAGCAGTCGCCGTTGGTGCCAACAGGGACATCGAACTCGACCTTGTCGTAGGCGTCGTATGGCTGGTTCTTTCGAACGTCGAAAGGAATGCCAGAGCCACGGAGCATGACGCCGGTGAAAGAAAGGTTCAGAGCATCAGCAGCAGAGACAACACCAACACCTCTCAGACGTTCAATCCAGATACGGTTATCAGTAAGCATCTCCTCAGTCTCGTCAATGCGGTCTCCGAATTGGGTAGCCCACTGGTAGATGTCATCCAGCAGACCAATGGGGATATCCTGGTGAACACCTCCGGGACGAACGTAGGCGGCGTGCAGACGAGCACCGGAAACACGCTCATAGAATTCCTATCCAAAGTCAATTAGCAAAACCACTCAATTTCCAGGGCTTTTGCTTTTAATTTGAGCGAATCGCATACCATGAGTTTTTCTCGCTCCTCGAAACCCCACAGGAAAGGCGTCAAAGCACCAACGTCCATGGCGTGTGAAAGGACGGACATCAGATGGTTCAGGATACGGGTGATTTCGCCAAAGAGGGTTCGGATGTACTTGGCACGGTCGGGGATCTCAATGTTCAGAAGCTTCTCGACAGCAAGAGCAAAGCATTGCTCGTTTGTCATCATGGAGACATAGTCCAGTCGGTCGAAGTATGGCAGAGCCTGGAGATAGGTCTTGTACTCGATCAACTTTTCGGTTCCTCGGTGCAGTAGACCGACGTGAGGATCGGCTCGGATGATTTCTTCGCCGCTAAGTTCGAGAATCAATCGCAACACACCGTGGGCGGCGGGATGCTGGGGCCCAAAGTTGACAGTGTAGTGTCTGACTTTGCGATGCTCGACGCTGTTGTCGCGCGGCTGCTGGGCGGTGCTCTCGGGAGCGCCGCTCTCGGACTTGGACGGGAAGCCGTAGGGGTCGCCGGTCAGGTTGAAGTGTTCGTCCGTGGGGAGAATTCGCGTGCCAACCTGCTCCTGGCTCGAGTATCGTCGGAAAGCAGAGGCTGTGAAGGGTCGAGTGGCGAGAGATGCCGTCGCAGGTCGCAGGCAGAGTCGCCTGGCGCCGGTGCCGACGAGTCTGTGCAGGGATGAGGCCATTGCGGAGGAGCGGCGAGGGCCGGTCGGAAGAGCTTCAAATGCCCAGTAGAGCCTCTGGCCCGAGATCAATGGCTGGTTAGACTGACGATGCTCGCTTTCGGAGTCGTGGCCGTCATGCCTCTCGGAACTGAAGAAACGGGGAAGCTCGAGGTTCCGTGATGGTGGGGCGCCGGGATATCATTTTTGCGCCACAGCTGGAGCGATTTTGCCAATTGCGGGCTGCTGATTGGGCGCCATGGCGCATCTCATTAATTCGCACATGAAGCGATGAAGCGTCTTGGGGATTGAATTGACTACATAGTGAGTGCTGCGGCGAGCTTCACAAGTTTTAAATCGCTTTGTCATTTTAATCTTTCTGTCAGCGAGGTAGTTTTGACATTGTGGTACCACTGCATGGATGTTTCGCAGCTCAGTCACCCCTCCTAAGCCTGCATCTTGTAAGTGCATGTACCTAGGTACCTATAGATGGGCTTTGACGCTCTCCAGTCGATGCTGGTTTGACAAGTGATCTTGGTTCTGAGAAGAAACTACTCTAACGATAGGAAAATACTGACTTAATCATGCAACAGTTGTAAATGAAAGCAACTAAATAGTTCCAGTAATTTCCAATTGTGTTTAGTGTACATGTTTGTTACAGAGGCTACATTACACGTCTGCAACCAAGCTTCAAACCCTCTCAGAATTTATCGCACTTTGCGCATAAGACAATTCATCTTTGATGAACATAGTTCTCGTTGAGATGGTTGTTCATTTAATCTTTGCTGAGCGATTGAGTATAATTGAAGCTTTATCAAGGCTGCTCATAATCTGCGGGCCTCCAAGACTCTCAATGTTAAACTCATGCATGACCGGGAGACAAGAACTGTTCAAACAAATATGCGCCAAGTCAAGATTTCATTTCATAAAGAGCATCAGGAATATTTCTGTAATGGTTTCTCATATCAGCTACTATAAGAAATACAATGGAAAAGTTGAGTCACGCACCACTTTCCTACTAGTCGACATCGGAGGTAGGATTTTTGGCGTATTGGCCGTATAGGCGTAAAAGTGACTCACCCCCTCCAATCCTTCAAGTTATAAACGACCGCTTCACACGAATGCTCGAATGCTAAAACGACAATGAAATATTTCTCGATCCCAATTTCTGTCCAAGTTGTTGGCCAAACATCAACCCATTTGGAGTTGTCACCATGCCTAGAAGAGAAATTAACCGAATCCTCCCATCATCATGCCCTCCAAGCAGCGATCCGGGAACCATCCTAGTCGAAACCGAGAGGCTCATTATACGGCGATATCTATTATCAGATGCTCCGGCTCTAGCGATGGCTGCGAACCACGAACAAGTTGCAGCTTACATGAGCGATCGCTTCGCCAGCCCGTACACCGTTGCCGACGCCGAGAACTTCATCAAACAAACTTTCCATGATGACGATACCGCGGCATACCCTCACTCGTCAGCCATCGTCTTGAAACCGGGATTCCCAGGCAATCCGTCCACTACTGAGCCACTTATCATTGGTGGTGTTGGATTACACCATTTGACTGACATATTCTACCGAACGTGGGACATGGGCTACTATCTTTCTCCGACAGTGTGGCGCCAAGGTTACGGAACTGAAGCACTGAGCGCATTCACAAGATGGGTGTTTGACACCTGGCCATTGTTGAACCGTATACAAGCTCGTACATATGACAACAACACAGCGAGCCAAAAGTTGTTACAGAAATGCGGCTTCGTGATAGAGGGGAGAGGAAGAGGAGTTATTGAAAAGAATGGAAAGCTCATGGACGACGTTGCGTTTGGTCTTATAAGAGATGACTTGAAGTGAGGTGCTTAAGGTTTCAAGTTTTGGAATTGCAAATGTCAGCGACTTTTTCATTGCTACCTGGGGCATTGGCTGTCTAATCAACCCTATAGCCTTTGCGCCTCTATCTCGATGGTAGTAGGTCAACCCAATGAACATAGACCTCTTTTATTTCTGGGTGTATTTTCGGTATAAATAAACTCTTTCCATTCAATGCTTCCAACTGTCTTTTGCTTCGTATGTGTTTGTATGGCTGTTCAATGCCGAATCACCACTCGAAGCAAATACAGCCGTCCAGAACGGGTCGTTGAAGTCAACTTCTGTGTGTTGTACATTAGAACTCTGCGGCAAGACTTCATTGTGTAGCTGAGACAGTTGATTGCTATCTTCTCCCTGATCCCAGTATTCTTGGAATATCGAGATGGGCTGCGCTGGCTCATAAACGGTTTGCGGCAAAGCATCTGGAGGGTAGTCGAGATAAAGGCCGAAGTCGGATGCGATGTTTGGTGCTTCTTGATTCGAATTCGGCACTGCAGGCAACGGCAGCTCTTGCGTCGTCACCAACTTGTCTTCCACGCCCCCATTCCACTCATCTCCATATGTTGCTTCTGAGACTGCTTCTGAGACTCGATAGGGATCTGAGCTGTTGATGTTCAAGTGACCATCGAAAAACATATTTTGCGATGGCCATTGTAAAAGATCAGCCGATTCTGCCATGTTTGGAAGAGCATTTGCTGTCCCGTGCTGATGATTGTTGGTATCGTCAGAGTCCCTCTGAAGGCCTGCCGCTCGCTGCTTGCCGTTATCTCTTTGGGTATGCTCGTAATCTCCCTTTAGCCTCGTCTTTGTCCTTCGAAACAATAAGTAGTCGTCGTTTCTTTGTGCCCAACTCGCCGGATGTTCTTTTGCCCCTTCAGCCCACCGCTGCACAGCTGTAAAGGTCGATTTCATTGCAATCCAAGCGCATTCGTTACAAGTCCTGTAACTGCATCTTTGTCTTCTTAGGACTCTTGGTATGGAGCAGCCGCATGTGGCGGCGTTCCAGTTCAAGCTCCCGACAACGCCATCAAAAGCTTGGGTTGTTGCAGAGTTAGCGATGGAAAATGCGTCACATGGCTCAATGATGTACCATCCAACGGGTTGAATGCAATCACTTTGGCGGCAGTAAATTTCCCCTGCACCGCACATTTGAGCTCCAGAAGGCAGTTCGGTTTCAAGAGTGGAAATGTAGAGATATCCAAGAGATCTTTTCGTTTGTGCAGGTGTTGCGGCAGAGGTTGAATTTAGGTGACTGAAGAGTTCTTTCTTTGTCAAGAGATGCAGGAAGATAAATTTCTGGAGGCAAGCTAACCATCGTTTCCGTTTGAACACGAGAACACCAAACGCTTTTATGTCAAACGTGGTGCTACTGCTCTTTGCGCGGAAACGTTAAATTGCAGAAATGTAGGTGGACTGAAAGAAAAAAAGAGCAAACGAAAACATTATGCGATTCAGAGAAGCAGCCTGGAGTCGGTCAAGAAGTGTTTAATCAGCTATTTATACGCGTCATGCTCTCAAATGGGCTCAGTGCGCTGTTTGTATGACAGTGATTCATGCTATGCTAGGACTCGCTCTTCTTAAATTGCCAAGTAGTTGAATGTCAAAAAGCTTACTGAACAGAAATGAGATGATCGTTGCAACAGATTTTGTCATTTGAAGCTATTTTATATTGACTTAAGTTTGTAATTCTCCAAGAACAATAGAGCCTCACAAGTAATGTCGGAACTGTCAATCTGCCTTATGTCCTCCTCGACGAAGACGTTTTCGCTTATCAAAGTAAAGAGTGATGAACACACAAAAAAAAAAAAAAACTTTCTGGAGCAACGTTTCTGGACCCGCTCAGTTCTTAACCTCCTCATTATGGTCATTCTCTGCATCAATCGATGTTATCACAGCTGCTGTCGTCTGTGCCGGACCCTTTTTGTTGTCTCCCGTTGATTGAGAGCCTTTCTCTACATCTATATCGTTTGAAATCCTTTTGGATTGTCAGCGTCGATCACAAAATGAAGCAAGCGTAACATAACGTCGAAAAAGATTCTTACTCTTGCAAAGTCGCCCTAGGCTTATTATGTACAGGGTCAAAGTCCGGGTTTTCCTGTTTGATGGCTGTAAACATAAGACCAGAATCTAAATTGTTGATTGATTTAACAGGAGTGAGAAACAGTAGTAGAGTAGCGAGTAGCCACACGCCTACTAGGAGACTCGGAATGGTGATAAGGACGGTCATCGACAGTGCCGAGGCATCGGGACTCCAGACAACGAAATCATCAACGCCAATTAAACCTATAACCATATTCTCTAGTGTTTGGTCAGAATTGGATGGATATAGTGTTGTATCAGTCATAACATTAGAGGTTGCAATGAATGCAGCTTGAACAAGGCGCGACAAGTCGTTTCGTATGCTGCTGGTACCGGCATCGAAGATTTGGGAGATGGCGGTGGTTGTAGAGAGCAGCGCCGAGGGCCCAAGATGTGAACCTACAGTAAGGATCATGGGTTGGTATAGGTGGGTGGAAAAGATAAGTTGCACACCCTGCGAAAGCTCAAGGCCAGGAAGTAGAGTGCTGTTGAGCTCCGAGAAAGTGCTGTTGTGACCTTTGTATGACCACACGTTATCTTCCCAGCAAGACAATACAGGACGCGCACTGCGTACTCGGTAGGCAGTGTCTGTATTTGCGTTTGGTATCGTCTCGGTGAGATACCACGGGTCTGTCCCCGCGGTGAAGCTGCTTCTTTGGGTTGAAGAGGCGAGTACGGTCCAGGTAGCATTGCTGGTTTCGAGAGCACCTTTGATGAGGTGGGGCCCCGGAAAGAAATATGCGACAGGCTCTCGACCATCAAACAGCGAAGCGGATTCCGTTTTATTATAGATAGTGTACCAGTCCACGACATAGGGAGTGGAAATAGTCGTCTTGTTGAAAGGGCTATAATCAGTAACACACGAGCCGCTGACGCTCAGTGTAAGCTCTGGATATTTTTGTAATCCAAAGTCTACTCCTGTAACGTTATAGCTGTAACTGATACCGATGATGGATTCGCCATCGCTGGTCTTGCCCAATGTCTCTGTAGGAGTTATCGTCACTCTTTGATCGAGTAGTTCTTTGGCAGAGCCGGTGCTACCAATTGCTCGAAGGGCTGCTGGGACTTCTAAGAAGTAGAGTGCTGCAGTTGAGGGGTTATCATGTTTGACTGGCGGAACGTATACTGCGTTCGGATTGACCGGCGCCGTGTTGTTGAGAATAATCAGGGGAGGGACGATGATGGACAACGCGGTTTGCCCAATATATGCGACGAGCACGAGAAATAGGATGCCAACCATCCAAATGCGAATTCTTTCTGTTTTTTCTTGGGTACACTTGAATGTCTCCATGAACGATCCAAGAAGCTCGCCTCTATTGTTCCACAGAACCGGAACGAGCGGAGGGAATGATTTGCTTTCTCCCTTCTTCTTTCGTCGCCATTTCAAAAGATAGTATAAGACAATGGCAATGATAATTGTCCATACTTGAGCCATAAGCATTCCCAACATGACAGAATAGGCCGAGTTGAGCTGTTTGGCAACCCAAGTTGGGACGGCGAAGGCACTTTTGGGTCCATTCTTGCTTGGAAAACTGAATCGTTTCCAGAGCAGATACGTGTCCCGAGGCTGAGGCACTGAGCTAAAAACCATGTTGAAATAACAGAAACGAGTATCTCTAAATGAAAGTTGAAGCAGGGGAAGAAGACGGCGTGGGTGAAGCCAGGGAGAGAGCGGATTGAAGACATCTGCCGAGAGGAGACACCATCTCCCTTAAGTCCGCTGCTGAGTGCGGCTCAACATGTAGTGCTCTCATACAAAATACAGCGACACTGGACATGCCATACACTGCTTAGTTCGCGCTGATTGTGGTGTGAGCCTGAATGCCTAATTCAGTATCTGGTAAACCGCAAGAGGGGTAGAAGCTGGCCATGCTTTTGGACTGCAGCCGCGGCCGCTTATGTCGCAATGTGTTGAGAAGCGATTGGCCTGTTCCAGGGGAGTGTATGCAGCTACTTCATGAAGTACTGATATGGATGTCTAATATAACTGGGATAGGGCCAGTCGTGTTGCTGATATTGCTCAGGGCCGCTTCATTGGCCGCACTATGGACAATTACTTGGCTCAGGCCTGTGATTGCGAATACATATTACCTCGCCTTACAATATCTACTTGAAACCAGGGTAAAGTGTCTGTTTGTGTCTATTTACATATTGCATACGAGAAGATTACTCCGTTTGCAGGGTTACCAAAGAGCTATAAGAGCACTACCAACTCGTATAAAAGCCTGGAACCTCTCGACTGTATCACTCTCGATTCTCAGCTCTTTTCTCTTCATTCTTGTAGCTGTATTCGTCTATTGCCAATTCTACCAGTTTTAATAACCCTCCGTTCGCTGTCATTTGCCACAACAATCTCATTGCAAGATGCGTGGGCAACCTTTAGCAGCTCTCCTTCTAGGCTTGGGCACTCCGGTCTTTGCCGAGCCTCTCTTAGATGTGCTTGTTGCATCTGGTGCCGCCAATTTTGCCACCTACATCCAGTCAGACCCGGATGTTCTAGCCAAATATCTCTCTGGCCAGATCCAGACTGTCTTTGCACCATCAGATTTGGTCCCGCCACCTGCAAGCCTATCAAGACGTGCTCCTTCGCCGGCTGATGTGGCCAAAGCTGAGATTCAAGGCTCGGAAGACCTCGCTGACTTGAGAACCGCCAGTGGCTCCGAGCCAGGTTCCGTTATCCCAACTGGCACTGACTCCGCTGGGCTAGGTGGTCAGCCTCAAGTTGTTACTTCCGATACCAGACCTGCAAATGTGACCAACCCGACTAGACGTTGGGCATCTTCGGCTAACCTGACCGGACCATCCTTGCTGAGGATTTCATCTGGTTTGGGAAACATTGCGAACATCGTCCACGCAGACATCCCGTTTGACCATGGGTTTGTCCACATCACTGACAAGTAAGTGCTGCTCCTACATGGCTCCTACATACTATGTGACCTTAAAAGTGGAATTTAATATTCACCATGTGATAGCTACTTTACTCTGCCCGTGTCAATCTCTTCTACGGTTCAAGCGCTTGGGCAGACGACGTTCTCCAGTTTAATCAGCGGCAGCAACATGACCAAGTCGCTGGAGAGCACGCAATTCGCCACCGTCTTCCTGCCCTCCAATGCAGCCTTTGCTGCGGCCAGTGTTGGCCCATCCATCAGTTCATCCACTTCCTCGCTCATTTCTAACCACGTTGTTGGAGGCTTTGCTGGCTACCTGCCTGTACTGAAGGACGGTGCTGCATTGACGACTCAAACGGGCAATACCCTCGTCATTAGCATCCGCAACGGCATCTACTATGTCAACGGAGCCAAGATTATACAGGCGAACATTATAACTGAGAACGGCGTGGTGCATATCATTGACAAGGTAAGTCTGTAGCTAGTGGTGCCAGCTATGTATAGCACATATATGCTAACAAGGTTTTTTTCTCCTGTTAGGTACTGTCACCTTCATCACCACCTCCAATTTCTTCGGGTGGTATGCTGTCCAAGACAACCAGCTTTATGTGCGTGATTGGAGCTGTTGCTGGGGCAGTGCTGGCTCAGCTCTGATCCTTCGTCATGATTTGGGTGGCCGACTTTACCGGCTGGAATAATAATATTGGGAAGTGCCTTGATAATTGGTTCAGATTTGAGATGCTACGTATTAATGTACAAGGATTTTGACAATACGAGTATATGTATACTTTGATGCTTGCTTGTAAAAGTACTTCATCGTGACTTTATAACGCGTAGTATTGTACGTACCCAACCTGTCAAAGGTGGTGCAAGGCGAATTTGCAGTAAACACAGGCCAGTTGCCTTGCAGGGCAGATCCATGATTGTCATTTCCGCGAAACATCGTGATTGGACCATCATTTTTGAGCTGTCAATTAAGCACTTTTCAGCTTCGAACTAGGTTATGGCTAATCCGAACGGCCCAGCAACCGTTGCGTCGCGGTAACTAACTTGAGGTTAGCATTATGCCTTTAAGACGGGCTGGCCCGGCCACATTAGTGTTTCTGTGTATGTGATGGTATTTGTCTGATACGCCCTCTTGCTATGAGGCTGTAAACTGTTGACGAGTTTGTATTCGGTTAGTCGTGGAATGCATGTCTCAGGCACTTGGTGCCTCTCGCCGCCGCCAAATTAGCTGTCCAGAGTATTACTGGTAGACCGTCCCCTCCTTCACGGATAACGTTCCAATCAAATTACGAAATATAGTAAAATGGGTGTAGATGAAGTTTTCGTCCCTAGCGACACCGGGTATAAAGTTGGAAACCGCGGAGATTCGAATCTTGTGGGCCATGTTAGTCCAGGATCACACCCGACAGCTGCAAGTTGGCGAAGAAGATGTTGCCGAATCTCATTGTAGCATCTGCAGGTAAATTCGCAAGTACACGGCATTAAGAGAATACCTACGCATAAGCATGTGTTAGGTATATTATACTATTTAATCTTGAGTCACAACTTTTGCTACGAAGCCATACTCTTCCATGTCACTACCGTCGCTACTGTCTTCTTTTTCACATCGCGGCATTGCAGTATAATCTTGCACGCAAAAGTTGGATTATCGCGTAGCAGCATTCAAACTGAGGGGAGACTGCATAGCAACCGCAGTATTAATAACCATGCGGCGACTTCAACGCAGAGATGCCCGAATAACCCTAAAGAGTTTAACTGGCGGTAGCGTCGTGTCCAGATATGGATGCATGCATGATGTATGGACACACACGCGGGATGTTTGTGGGTTCCGACAGTAGAAAATCTAGTGTCAAGAAAGTATATACTATAAGAATATACTTGTTTGAAAGCCGTCTCGTAGTTCTCGATATACCTATTATATGTAGCTAAAAGCTTCTACCCTGCCACATGAAATACGTTGAGAGAAGGCATCCAATATCGCCCATGGCGTGTAGAATTGACACCCAACAGCCAAGGGTCTCAGTGACGTACCTACATGTAGGCTGCAACAAATACGGCGATTGTTTCCGAGCCGTACCAGAAGCACCATCCATTGTACCTTGCTGAAGCTGAATTCAAGGTCTTCGGCTACGGGTGGGGGCTGAATTCATCCGTCGGCACGCCAGTAAGCATGTCGCTGGTTTGTAATTGGGCTACTCATTACACAGATGCCGACGAGCATGTAGACGAGCATGTATCAGCCAATCAACAAACATCACGTATACAGGCAACTAATTTCACCTGAAAGGTGGGAGTAATCACTTTGTCTTACCGCATGCTTCAGCTACTCCGCTCTGTCACCGAACGATATTTCAGCCTATCAAGTGAATAGCCAGCCCCCCTGGTAGTATGAGGCGATATCTCTTACCCCTCTCCTAATATCCCAGCCTCAGAATAAAAGAAGCGACAGAGCAAAGAGGGGAGGCGAAACTCCTGCGGCCTGAGACTTGGCTGTATTGCTTGCCTGCAGACTCTGAATTTACAACAGTGGTGAGTTTTATTTGCATCACATAGCATACACGTATTCTCCCAATTTTCAATTGATATAAATGAGATGCGAGGAAAGAAACAACAATAAAAAGCCAGGTGGAATTAGTTACAAGGATTACACTATCGACGGCTTTTCTGACTATCATATATTCTCCGTCGGAAACGCAATCTTTAAAGCCTTTTTGAGTTTATTTATGTAAAACTAGAACTTGGACTGGAAAAAGAGGAAATGGAAAGTTAGTTTGCATTTTCTTTCACCATGTGCCACCCAGTCAGAGGTTAAGTAGGTGTAAACTCTCGAATAATGTATTTCATACAGTGGCATTAATGTTCAATAATTGGGTTTGTGATATGAGCGTATATTTACATCTAAATCTATTTTTTGAGGTATCATTACTTGTCTCTCATGTCAGTAGCAACGAGATGGATATATCTATCCTTTGATCGCCTCGGTTATGACTCTCCTGTTATGGTATACTACCCGTCCACAACCAAAGTTGTATTCACTCTTTTACATTGAATTGATATTAACGGAAACATGGTATATGAGTACGTGAATAGCTCCAAAGCTGGCAAATAGACTCATAATAAGCTCTTCTATCTTTGTATAGCCTCTATATGTTGATCCCGACAGCTCCCTGTAAGCACAACCCCATCTTGTATAAGGAAGAGCAATCGTTGAACCTCTGTCACCAACCTATCAAGGTGCTTGAGTTCTGTTAAGATTTCCTATCGTCCCTCTGTCTCTCAAACTCATTCATTCCCATGGCATTCCTTTCTGTGCCACAGAACTTGAGCCTACTGAAAGCCAATCCTTTAATTAGTCCGTCTCTTGATGTTGAAGTCCTCTTTCGTTACCAACCTCAGGAAGACAGAAATAAGTTCTCTATAATTCGCATCCAGATTCTCAGTCAAAATGACAATCACCATAAAACATGCATAATTCGGCTAAAGTCTCCTTTCGCATTACACTTTTTTGCAGATCCAAATATGCGATTCAGATCACCGAAGGCCCCCTTTGCACGTGCTTACTGCGCCAGTCAGCGATAGTCAAATTCAGATGTAAGATCTTGGCGGAGATTATTTCCGCCTTCATGAGAAGATATTAGGGCTTGTAATAGCTATTGTTTCAAGCTTGTTGATCCATCGCCCAAGAGAGGAAATTGTGATGCGTGAGAACGTCCAATCGAGGAATGCTATAATACACATTGAGGCGTACAACAGTGCTA